AGAATAAGACAACACGTCACTTTGACATGCAATAATAGTTATTTATTATACAAGAGTGGAAAGTTCCTTTTTAACCGCGTGCTCGATTTGGATGACCGAGCAAGCGAAGGATTCTAAAGTTGAATCACGAGCGCAGCGAGTGATTCTAAATTAGAATCCTGAGCGTCAGCGAGGGAAACAAACGAGCACAAGGTGAAAAATCTTTCCACTCGAGTGCAATACGTAACTTTTCATCCCACCTCAGCGAGGAAATGACAAAATGAAAAAGAAAACAATTTATAATGACAAAATATTTTTATTTCAATTAAAACACATTAAGATAATCTATAAATTGAAGAAAATAATAAGAAGTAGAAAATAATTAAGAAATATTAAATGTAACGTTGCTACAGTTACTTATGTTAAGTTTAATATTTTTGTTAGGTAATGTTATGTTGGTGTTTGTGAATTGTGCGCTGTTTTGTGGTAAACTACTCGTATCAGTAATTTTAAATAGTTGTGCCGATTCATTGGATTCTATTGGCGTAAATGTTGGCGAGAGAGGGCTATTGTTTCCAATCTTATGGGGGCTCATTTTAGATGTAGAAGGGCGAGACCAAGAATCTGACAGAGGTTCTTTCAGCGTTATGGCCTCCACGATACTATTACAAATTTTTGATTTACTTTGGATTGAATCCTCTATGTATCCCTCTACAACCGAATTAGACTTCCAGCCTCCATGGCGCTTAAGCGATAGAAGATCAGCCCCTGATTCGGCCAAAAGTGTGGCTGAGGTTCTTCTAAAACAGTGACCGGTGTATAACGGGGGTTCTAAAAGTCCGAGAAAAGTTGCTATTTCTCGTGGAATACTGCCAATTTTATTCTGACCCATAGGTTGTCGGATACACTTTCCGTTGCGATATTGTAGAAAAAATCGTTCAATTGGGGTGTTAGAAGGACGTAAAGCTTGATATTTCTGAACAATGTTTACATATTCCTTGCGAATAACGAAGTTGCGGTCTTTTTTTGTCTTGGTATTTAGTACATTAATTAATAGCAATTCATCAGAATTATGAGAATATTTTGATACGTTATTGACATTAAGTAGTGTAAGTTCATTTGTTCGACATGCTCCGGTTATACCAATAATAAGAACAACCTGTAACAAAAGAAGTATTTATAATCGTAAATAAATTAATCAAATTAAAAATATTGTAAGTACTATGTACAATTTTATCAACAACAAAAAATTACACGTATTGACTTACTTTTGCCGCTAAATATACGGAATCAGGTGCTTCATTAATAAACTTTGCAATTTCAGATGCTGTGAAAACCTTCGATTTTTTTGGTTTATAACCAGATGAGGCTCTTTTTAAAAATGCCACTAATTTATGATAGGTGTCGATATGAACGTCTTTCTTCATCTTAATTGTTAATTTTAGCATTGAATACGTACTCCATAGCGTGCTTGCTTTCTTGGTCTCAGATAATTCTATAAAATATGCCAGCAAAACGTTTTCGGAGAAAGTTTTTGCTCCTTTAGCTAGTCGCCACATGTTAAATATATCGTACTGTTTCAAATACTTCTCTCGTGATTGCTGAGGGAGAAGGCTCATTTGCGCATTATTAACTGTTTCAGTTAACTCAGTTGGCGTTAGATAAACTTCATCGTCGCTAATGTCACTCATTTTAGTTGATTTTTTTGTACAGTTTTTAGGTTATGTTAATTATATTAAGCAATAAAACGTGAAAAACTAGAATGGCGCGAAGCACGCAAATAAAACAAAGAAACCAAGAAGGTTCCAAATTTAAATTTTTTCACAATTTAAAAAGTTCTAATCATAAATTTGGCACCATAGAGGTTACATTAAATAGGTTTAATGACGTTTTGAATTTACAATTATATTGAGTACTCATTATATGTGATGTTCTAAATTCAAATCTACTTTGCCGCTCAAGCGAATAAAATAGAATTTTCCAGCCAGATTTCGAAGCGCAAAATTACACTTTCCGAGGTGGTGGGATGAAAAATTAATTGACATGTGGAATTCGCTCAGAACAATAACTAAGTTTTTTCCCTCCAGGCCATTAGATTCAATAAATCTATTCTAAGCCGTAGTTTGGAATAGAATTGGAATAGTGTTAGCTTTCATATAAGTTAACATCGCTTTGTGCACCTACTGGTTCCCGCCTATTTCGCGGACGACACGCAGCAAAATTTATAGGTAGGTACCTACCTAATTTAGATACGAACGAGCCACCGACGCACCATTTCCGTTCTATTCTCGAATGCAAACATTTGCAGTTTAGGTGGTGTGGCGAGTAAACATCAGCTCGTCGCGATCCCGGTATTATTAGCCGGTCGGTGTCAATCGGTGTCGTTTCTCTACGAGAGAATAGTCGCGATATCTAAGTACCCTACCACTGTCCACCATTCATTACGCGTAACGTCATCTCATGGGCCATCTCTCGGGAACGGGCGCGTCACGCGAATGCAATACGAGTTTGATATCCTGCCTATTTTGTAAGACTTATTATCATAGACCTTTTGAGATTATATACAGAGATGTTTAGTCTACGATAATTGAGATTAGAAAGTTTGTTGATTACATACTTAAACAGATAGATTAGAAATACTTATCGAAACAACGATTAAAATGTCCAAAAACATACTAATAATACACAGTAATACAAATGGAAATATCCATTTTTTATTATTTATATCAATAAAAATATACAGTCCTTGGATCTGTAATCATTACTACATTCTAAATTTCAAAATGCACGGCTGAACACTGTCCGGGTTTTGACCATTTCGTAATTTACTAAATAATAAATGAAGACAACCTAATGATTTTTGCGTAAATTATTTAGGTATCAGAAAAGTCGTACTTAGAACGCCCTTTATAACTCTAGAAGCACACCAGCAACGCTCGCTCGTACGTACGCGTACGTAGTATCATCGCGGATCGATGCACTCCCACGGTGATCTTCAGCAAACTAACAAGACAACAATCGCGACTGCAATAAGCCGCGTTTTTATTTCCCCCGGAGCGAGTATTTCACAAATAGATTGTATAAGCTCGATACAAACAAGTTATACTCGGAATAGGGGATCTCGAGTTACCCATACCCACAGTACTTACGGCTATTATTGGCGATTGTAATTATAGATTAAATGAACTTGAACACTGTTTTCTTTTTATTAAAATTATATTTCTAGGAAAAAACAATGACCATAGTTGGAAGAACAAATTTAGTTTGTCGCTTCTGTTATTTTCATTAGAAGAGAATAAATTTAGTATAAATAAATTGATTAAGATTTTAATTTAGAGCTTTTGTACTTTAAGACGAAGAAATGTAGGCACGATGTAAAACATAGAGTATGTTATCCGTATACGGTTCAAATAAATTAATAAGGTGTAACCAAAGAAAACTTGTCCGATCAATGTAATTTATCTGCAACATTCGGCGATGAAATTCCTGTAATATTTTTTCTGGTCTAACCGTAAACACAGTGACTCACCATACTGTTGTTTTGGGCTGTGCCAGCCTAAAATAACAATGGCGATACGAACTAAGCGGTAAACAGGTCAATAGATATATAGTAGCGTCAAGTAATCTAGGATTTTCCTAGTTTTTCAATGAATTCATTTACTCGGAAACGCGAGATGGCGTAAAGCATTAGTTGAAACATGTACATAAATGAAGCCTTCGACTTCAGCAATGGTGTCAATTCTGGCATGATTCTCTAAACTTAAAACTAAATTTAACATCAGTCTCTCAGAGAATGACAAGGATACACTGTTGTCAAATTTAAGTTTAGATTTAGAGAGTTATGCCAAAATCTCCACCAATGTTTGTTTTATTTATTTATATATTCAATCGCTTCGTAATTTGCAGTACGGCCATTGTAGATAAAATGGAATCGAGATAATCTTAAAACTTACAGAAATATAGATTTATTAGAGAATATAGGAAAAAATATTTTCTATGAAATAACTATTCATTTGTTAAGAGCGATTGTTGACTGGAAACGCCCTAAATTACCTACAATCTTGTGCAGTGAGCTACAATATGCACTGTTTTTTGGTCAATAGTTGTTATATTTCATTTGGTCTAATGGTCACTCGGAAAGATCGGAAGTTTCACATCTGCCAGACGACCCGTTACTTCTTATTTTCTACATTTTTTCGGCCAAATTTGCGGCACGAAAGCGGTTAAAGTTACGCGAAACCCATGAATGACGGAATTAATCCGTCATCACCCGGCTTTGAAATCTCAAGTTTCATTATATCGAAGTCCACGCGAGCCGCGCATATATATGCCTTGCGCCCGCACGATATCAAAGATTCAAGTATGAATCAATAAAAAAAAACTATCTACCATAAGAGTATGGACCATTTGGCATGGAAAAATGGAACTGCCTAGGAAATCAGTCTCGTCGAAGTGTCATCCGAACATCTGGGGCGATCCGTCGGGTATTGGCCCAATCTTACGATATTTATTTGTCAGAGTCTCAATCTTGATGCACACCTGCCCCTTGCAAACTATTTGTCAGAATATTCTGTACCTTATTACTATGGACTCACCTTACTGACTAGGAAATCAATCACGTCGAAGTGTCGTCCGAACATCTTAGGCGACTCGCTCGGTATAGGCTCAATCTTGATGCACAATCTATTTGCCAGAGTATTATGTACCTTATTATTATAGACTCACCTTGCTGACTAGGAAATCAGATTCGTCGAAGTGTCGTCCGAACATCTTGGGCGACTCGCCAGGTATCAGTTCGATCTTACGATATCTATTTGTCAGAATATTCTGTACCTTATTACTATGGACTCACCTTGCTGACTAGGAAATCAGTATCTTCAAAGTGTCGTCCGAACATCTTGGGCGACTCGCCAGGTATTGGCTTGATCTTGCGATCTTTTTGTCAGCCTCAATTTTGATGCACACCTGACCCTTGCGATCTATTTGTTAGAGTATTATGTACCTTATTACTATGGACTCACCTTGCTGACTAGGAAATCAGTCTCGTCGAAATGTCGTCCGAACATCTTGGGCGACTCGCCGGGTATCGGCTCGATCTTGATGCACACTTCCTGTCCCTTGCGCGCTGTTTCTACTTGCTTGTGGTTTATTTCGATGGACGTCACTATGCCCAACTCCACGAACTGTTGGAAAGAATTTTATATAGTGATGCGAACGAGTTGGAATGACTCCAAAAGCAGTTGAACGGAATAATGCTTACTATTTTCCATCAGACGGATCAACGGCCTTTCGGAATATGGCTGTATGCCGAAAGGCCGTTGGTCCGTGTCTTGGCCTATATTTAAATGCTGAGTATTTTAATTACGTGAACGGAAGTTAAAAATTAAAAGCCATATTTGGATTATAGAATGCCACAAAATATAATTATGGCTTAAATCGTACAGTTTAATTTAAACATTGGGGTAATATTCAAAAGCAAGAGAGGTTGCATCAGCCAACCGATTCGAGGATGGCGACAATCTCTTTTTTAAAGAGCTTCCATATTGGAAATTTTTATTGATAAAACTAGCATTTAAAAAGCATTTTTTAAAACATAGCGTATTATTTCAGCGTGATTTTTAACATACATAACGTTAGCATTTTCAAAAAATAATGTTAAATATGAGCTTAAAATATTGTTGATAATGCCTTCAATACTTCATAAAAATCTAGAACTATAGTGTCAGATTTGCGGACCTACGGCATTGTTTTTCGACTTTCACAACAAGTTTTTCTAACAGAATAAACTATATTGAATTTCCATTCAAATCGATGACGTACAAATCATAATAATCATTATCAAAATCATTTATTCAGTTTAGGCTTATTATATATATTATAAGCACATATGAATGTTTAGAAGCTACGCCATCGGTCCGTAAATCTACCTTGTACTGAGAAGAACCGGCAAGAAACCCAGCAAGGGCTGTTTTTTTTCCCTGTTTTATTATTATTAAAAAAATATATAAAGAAAACTATATTGTAATTGGATTAAAAACTCACTTCTTTACTGGGTACGCAAATGGGGGTGCCTTCCTTCACTATACCCGCTTCAATCATCACGCCAGCGACAATGGGGTCGCGCGAGTTGAATACGAACTGAGGCAGTATCTGATATAAATGAAACCAAAAAAGTTACGAATATTATCTCAAAGCTTTGTATATGTACTACGTCCATTAGTTTATGCCTCATCATCATCATCAGCATATAAATGTCCCCACTGCTGGGACACAGGCCTTCCCTATCGATGGAATAGGAAGATTAGGCCATGACCCACCACGCGGGCCCAGTGCGGATTGGCGGGTGCTAACGAATGCAGATGCAGCCGGGACCAACGGCTTAGCGTGCCTTCCGAAGCACGGAGAAACTCGAGACAGAAGATTTTTGGTCACCCATCCAATGACCGACCACTGCCAAAGTTGCTTAGCATCAATGATCGCAGTCAAACGCGTTAACCACCCGCGCCATCGAGGTAGAGTTTATGCATACTGCAATCAAACACGTCAATTTACTTTTAAATTTGAAATAAGTTGGTGTTTCCTTGCATTATTATTAAGTCATCTTCACGTGTTGTCTTTTTCAAAGTGAAACTTTTATTACATCGCCACAATTATTTTCGTTTATATTACATTTTGAATTGTTATTAAAAAATTCAGACCCTATGAACAAACATCCGTGGTTCATCGGTAGAAAGCTGGCCTCCTCGCAGGCTAAGAGTTGGAAATCCAGCCGAGAAAGAATACTTTTTATAAATGATTAAAGTTTCACATGCATCGTGGTTTTTATATTTTTGTTAGAAAAAGACAACAAGTGAATTAATGAAGAATTCAATTTAATTAACGTTTCAGATTTAGGCCGTAAAGGGACAACTCTTCACTGATCGCAGACATCTTCACTGCAATTTTCTTTCGTGTCCTGTTTGGTACAAAATCTCTGTATTAAATAAGTTTTTTTTCTTTTATTTTGACACCAAAGTCATATAATTTTACAAAAGTAGTTTATGTTCAATAAACGAAATAGACCTAACAGTGCCTTAACACAATATGAAAACAGACCTGAAGTTAGGACATGGTCAGACAATGAAAATCCAAACTGAACCGTTACAACACACAATTGTATGACGAAATATTTACAATTCAAAATTTTATGTGTGTGTGTGTACGCACACATATACATATATATTGATTTTAAGCCTCCCCTGAAAGTTATATATACATAGTTAGCATTTTTTTTTTTATATTTGTGCTGAATGATCTTTTTAGTAATATTATTATATACTTCAGATGGCAGCTCCGATTACAAGAAATACTGCTTTAAGGATACAAGTAATATACATAGAGAAAACAAGAGAGAGAAAGATAATGAAAAAGAGAGATACACCTTAAGTTTGCACGGGAACACGGCGATATGTTTGAACTCCTCGCGCTTCTTCTGCCGCAACTCTTCGCGGTAAGCGGTGAACTTGTCGAACAAGTGGTATATGATGTCTGCCGCGAATATCTTCACGCCCAGATTGTCCGCCATCTCTTGGGCGTCCCGTTCAATCTAATGCAGGAAAAACAAAATTAAAAATAACCAAAACATTCATTTTTATTGTAGTAATAGGCTATTTGACAGAATGAAAAATAAAGTAACAATTATTGGGATCTGTATTTTCATATGAGTATGTATTAGCATTTTCATTTTACTATTCTGAGAGAACAAAAAAAATTAATAACTTTTCTAGAGAAATACTTACAAACTAAGGGGTAGGATATTCGGCGCTCTTTTTCTGAATGTTCGCCGACTACGATAGTGGCCGGATAGTCGGCTATACCGACTAGTCCCGTCTAATCGGTACATCTCTAATTATTATCAATGGCAATAAAGAGAAGGTCATCCAGACTAAAAAGCACAAAGACATACCTTGACATCGAACGCCAATATGGTAGCGTACTGCGAGTCGTGCTCCAACATAGCGGACGCTTTCATCACGTCGCGTTTCACGACCGGCCCTATCCTGATGGCCGAGTACTGAAGACAAATACGGGAGGTCACAATAATATGGAATGATGATGCTATAACTAACATTAGATGGTTATTCTTATTTGCAATTTGTCATTTTGACATCCGGTTGTCTTTATCATACTCTAGAGGGAATGAAAAGTATAGCCTGCTGGCAAATTCACAAAAAGCAAATGCGAATGCTGTGCCGGCATTATACAAAATGAAGTTATGATTTATTCAGATTGATTTATTGAAAACTTTTTTAAATCGTCCCATTAAGGGTGTTTTTTAAGCTGATAAAAAGATTGGGCAATTTTTAAAAAAAAAATATTGGATTTGTGATCTAAAATTGACTATCTCGAGCTTTTCCATGCTTTGGAATGCACGTTAAGCCGTTGGATCCCGGCTGCATCTACAGTCGTTAGCACTGGGGCCGCGTTATTATTGCCCAATCTCCCTATTCCATACAAAAGGGGGGCCTGTGCCCCAGTAGTGTGGACATTAATAGGCTGATTATGGTGATTGGTGAGTGTTGGAAAATATTGGTAACTTCAACTAACAACTTCAAGGAGCGAAGTTCTTTATTCCCAGATACTTCAATCATTTAAATAATCTTGAATTCGACAATATCCTTTACTTAAGTGTATTTTTAACATGATTTTTCAAATTATAAAGAGGTACATTGCCAATACTATGTGGTCATTTATTTTACAAAGTATTTTGTAGACTTTTATATTGCTTATATACCTACCGAGTCTACAAAAAGTATTTTAATTTAGAAACTTTTATAATAGGTATTTAGTTTGATTTATATCTTGAATATTGATTACTTACAGGAATTTTGCTAGCTTTCAGGAACTCCAGTAACGCCTCGAGAGAGCCCAGCGTCGAGGCTTGTACGTACACGCCGCGTTCCGACAATTTTATTGAGGATAACGCAGATTTCAATTCCCGTGCCACCTCCTCTCTAAGGGAAATAATTATAAAAATTTACCTGTATTCGAAAAGTTTTTAGTCGAGATATCAAATTATGAGAATTTCTCTACAATTATTAATCATAAAACGCTTTAATACAAAACGTCGACTAAAGTTTAGACTCGGTTTAAACCAAATGCTGTCTCTGACTGACTTATCTTTGTTAAACAACGGGAATGGCAGTATCATTTCTAGGCTGGGTTTAACAGTTAATGTTTTGCCATAAGAGGGATATAGTACAAAAATGGTCCTTCGAGCTGGATAGTCAGTAAGTTAATTCTTTACTATTTATGTTTACATTGATAACTGTCAGCTTATAGTGCTAAAACTATTATTCCATATCCTGGCTGACTGTAAGAATATCTGTCCCTTTCATAACATTATTGTCATCTTTTTATTATAAAACTTCATTATTTTTTCATAGAAAACGTTCCTATGGAATTAAAATAATTGTGTTACTTTTCGCCTTCACCGAAAATCATTATTTTATTATTTTATTTATTATATAGACTACTCTATTTATTTATTATTATTTTTTAATACCTTACTCTAACATCTATGATTTATCTATTAGTGATAAAAGGCTGATCTAAACTTACTTGAGCACGTCAACTTCATCTGGTTTCTGAGCCACTAATAGATTCAGGCCAGCGATAGCTTTTTCCAATTCCTTCGCTGCTATTTTGACTCCTTGGGCGCCCACGACTTCTTTGTGCTCAATGTAAGCATTCTGTTTTGAACAAAAATCATATGCGTACGTACAAAAAAACTTATTTAAAAAGATAAGTGATGCATCTTTACCTTTCCATAAAAAAAATATTCTAAATACTTTTTTAGTAGATCATTGAACAAAGTTGAGATTTTAATTGATACATTCTTTGAAAATCTACGTGATTAGCAAAGCAACTCCTGAGGGCCAATCGCCCAACGAGATTGCTATGGTTATCGCTATCGCTTCCGACTTCATTTATTTTGCATTGGTAGTAACAATATTAATAAAATGAGCTTAAGGTATTTGAAAACCTTCGGGGTTCAGAAATAACAAAATGAACTCGTAAGCAATAGCGATAGCCATAGCAATCCCTTTAGGCAATTGACCCTTGAACAAATAATATTAAAATTTCAGAACTTCATAACCCATTTCCTGCATGTTTTCCGTGGCACATTGTTACAATACAGGAGCTTTACTGTGATTCTATTTCTCAAAGAGACTAATTATGTCACATTGATACATTTCTTTATCTTTAAAGGGATCGCGATTAAAATTAAGACTTAAAGCCCCCAGGACTACAAATCACATAAGCTATGGACATGTCAAAATTCTAAATACTGTTACTGTAAATCAATAAAATATCAACATAGCATACCTTGACTCTAAGTTCCTTCATCGGCTGTGGCATAAGTAGTGATCTTATCTGTGTGACTATGGGCCCATCTGTTCCGGCCAATACCATAGTGTCGCCTTCGTGTAGAATGCCATTGATGAGAATTGTGTCTATGGTGGTACCGAGACCGGGGATGGCTTTAACCTAAATTTTTTTTAATGGGTTTTTTACGGGTCAAGTAATTTTGCAAAGACTTTTTATTATATTTTCAAAAGGATCATTTGTTTATCTTTATAAAGGCACAGGAGGATTTTTTTACTTTAGGAAAATCAAGTTTCTTTTTTCTAATCATAGTTAAATTTTTTAGAATCTTTTTTTTTAACTTGCACTGATCATATGTATTTATGTAGCTTCAAAATTTGTAAACCATTTTTTAAACAAAATCATTTTTTAACTAAGGGTTGACTCAAGAAATAAGTTTGTAAACGTTTTTTCAACAAAAAATAGTTTTAAATAGGGTTGAACTCAAGAGGTGTGAAAAAACCATAATGTCATTTAAAGGTGTCTTATTACAATTTCAACATGAAGAAACACAGTTAAAAGGTTAATATCTAAGTCTGACGATAATAGTTTACCCAATAACGAAATATACTTTACCTCTAAAACGGTAGCCAGCAGTTGATTAGAGAAGACTAGTCGTTTATGCAGGGGTCCTTCGCACGCTTGAACGATCATAGCGAGTAAGTTGCCCATACCTTCACCGGTCACCGCAGAAGTTGGTACCAATGAAACGTATGTACGAGGATCCGGGTTATCATAAAACAATGCAGCGTTCAAACCCTGTTTCGATTTAAATATTAATAATTATTTATACTTTTAGAGTATCTTGGAAGGAATTACTGATTGTTTCATCTGAGGAATTTGTATATAAGGGTTTATATTGAGAGCGAAGCAATGCGAATCAGGTACATTTCGCTCTACTCACACGAGTAGAGCGAAACGTACCTGATTCGCATTGCTTACTTAGGTATATTCGCATTGCTTACTTACATAGGTAGCAGAGCTAAGCAAAAAAACATTCTCTATGTGAATTGAGCAGGCACCTATGAATAGTTAAAAATCAAATTCATTTTGTTTCGTTCAAAACTTGAATTTTATTTTAAATAATATGTTATTGATATGCCCTTGAATGACTTGAATGACTTTTAGTTTAATATTGTAATAATGATTTATTAAAGTTAATAAATCATTATTACAATGATGTGATGAGTGTTCAACATTCTTTATCTTACATCATAAAACCTATAAATTATTAATTAATTAATTGTATCTTTATTGCTACAAATCAGCTAAAGGCTGTCTTAATATCATATTTAATGGCATTTTCTGTGTTAAGGGTGTTTTAAACGGCATAACGATATACCTGTTCAGCAAGCGGTATCAATTTGATGTTCTTTAGAAAAATATGTAAATAAAACTAAGTAATCAGTAGCGCAAACAATTTTTAGGTCAGAGACCAACAAAATCTTCAGTAAAATCACAAACCAGGACACGACAGAAACGTTTTCTATTATGAGCGTATTAGAGACTATATTTCCGTATACTTCATGTCAATATACCTGTTCCGCAAACTGCAACATGACATCTTTACTCCTCTTCTCGAATTCGATCTGAGTGTTGGTTTGCTGCGTTTTGAGAATATCTCGCACATCTTTACGCTGGACGCTTTGCCAGTCATACAATCTGTCGATCTTGTTCAAAGCCACTATGAAAGGGGTCTTCTTCTGCTTCAGTAGGTTGATTGACTCGATTGTTTGCGGCTCGAGCCCGTGCATAATGTCCACTACCTATGAAAAAAAAATATAAAAATTTAATGTGTTATGTTCTGACATCTCATCTTTGATGTATATATAAAGTACGGTCCTGGAAAATGTAAGTGTCGATTGGGATCATAGACAGAGATAGGACTGAGCGTTCTCTGTCCAACTGTAAAGTAAAACAAAAAAAAGGGTGTGTGTAGGTATTGACTTTTCTTTCTCTCTTTTTAGAAGGTTGTCAATTTTATGCGAATATCAGTTATTTATGATTATCATGCTGTCAGAAATTCATTGGTTCAGAAACCAAAAACCAACCAAACCATAACAATTAAATTTAATCCTTTGAGTATGTGAGTGATCCTTTTCTAAGAATGTCTATGTAACATTTTATGTGGTACTATTTTAGTTGTATAATGCAGTTCATAGCATGCTTAACAGACAAGTATACTATGAATTACATTCTACCACTGAATGACAAATAAGTTTCTGAAAAATGTATAAAATTTTACTTACAAGAATAGCAATGTCGCATAGTGATGAGCCTCTGCTACGTAAATTGCTGAAAGATTCGTGTCCAGGTGTATCAATGATTAGAAGACCTGGCAATTTGAATGCTATTTCGCTTACCTGAAAAAAAATGTAAAGGTGAGTATGTTTTATGTCAGCTAAAGTTCTATTACCTTCTATACCCCTGTGTTAATTTAAGAGCCCTTTCACATTTTTTGTAATAAATCGCAATTTTTAAGCGCCTCGTTTACCCCCTTTGAAGAGATTTTGACTATTTCCAATAGAAGTAAACAGTAGATTTATTCTTCCTATTGTAAATTAATGTAGAATATTTGCAAATACTATTTTCCTTTTTTTGTACTGATCGTTCTACCGCAGCTAGTTTACAGAAAAATCGATAATATGCACAACTTCAAACGCCTCAATCTCTCAATAATGTTCAATAAATTAGATCAAAATTAATTACTACGACATCAGAAATATGTTTTTGTTGAAACACAATGTATTAGAATCTTGATTTTCCATCTCATTAATTATTAAAAAACATCTAACCTCCGTGAGTTTTCCCAAAAAATAACGCAGGTTTACCTCGTATTTTGAATGAATTAAATAGAATTACTATCAAAAAACTTTCATAAAATTAATCTACAATCATTGAACTACTGAAATATGTATATTTTTTTATAATTAATTCATTAATAATTATTTTATAAGACTTGAAACATCACCCGTAAAATGCAATTTATACTAGTGCATATCTACGCGCCGTTCAGTACGGCGCCAGCGCCTTTGGAGGTCGGACCTGTGTCAGTTTGTACCGCACGCGTCCCGAGCGATTCTACGAGTGCATTCATCGTAAAACTGGCTGGATATACTACGACCGCAAAAGTTTGATCGTTGACTGTATGTTAGTTTCCACAACCGTATTAATTTTTATTATTATAAGTACCTACCTAGTTATTAATTATCGTTGCTTCAACTAATATTTTTGTTATTAGCTTTTACAATGGGGCGTAAAACTCCTGCTTACCCTTGTGTGAAAAATGAATGAAACAATGATGCAGCCATAAGGAAAACTTGTGAAGCAAAGTGAATGAATATGCTTATAACATATGGCTTTTTACCCGGCTGCGCAATGCAAGAGCGCGAAGCGCGACGCGCAGACAGGGTTATGTGTTTAACAGTCTATTTATGTATGTTTGTTCCTTTGTGGCACACTAGAGACCAAACGCCTGGACCGATTTTGATGACTCATACATCAATCGATTCGTCTCAATCATGGGAGTGCTACTAAAGATATGATAGTAATCAAAATTCAATATGGGCAAAATTAGGCGCCATATTGTGCCGAAGTAAAAAAAATAAGTTGACTAAATATGTCGAGTGGCGTATCACTGTCTAGATAATCAAAAATCATATTTAGGTTCCTAACACCATTTTTCATTTTATATGATTGTTTAGGATCTACAACGCTTTAAAGTTGTATGTTAACTTCTTACGCTTTTAATTTCAATCTTACGTTTGTATGGATCTTTGTTACTCTTTCACCTAAAAAATACTGAATGACTCAGAATTTTACTGTTTTTCATTTTTTTTAACGATATTACTTAATGCTACAAAAAAGGTTTACTTAATATAATGACAAATAATTCGCCATTTTTCGCTAGTAAGTACATACTTATTGGAATCCCTGTATTTATTATTCAGCTCGCGATAATATTGGTTTTGTAATAATTCTGCAAAATTCAAAGTAAATAATGTAGATTTCTATAGGTAAATCACCCTTTCATCACCCTACGCCTATAAGTATTGCGATGTTGTAGCTAAGAACCAAGTTCCCATCTACTTCTATATGGGAATTCATTATATTCGATTTAGCTATTAGGGCACGGAAGCGCAACAAACAAACTCACTTTCGCATCTATAATATTATATTATACTTACTAGTGATCCACCCGGGCATTGTACGGGCGAAATTTATTTATCGGGATAAAATATAGCCTATGTCACTCGGACAAAATGTATTTAAATAAAGAAAAATGTTATAATAAATAATGTAGCTACTTTATGATGAATTAATATTTGAAACCGGTTCAGTAGTTTGACAGATTATTTGTTACAAACATACAAATCTTGCCTCTTTATAATATTAGTATAGACAGTTAGGATAAGATTAGTATTTAATTGATGAAAAAGATTTAAAAATATAGTAAGTAATAGGTTTATTTGATTATATTTGTAAAAGTTACTTAGCATTTGTGCTTAACAGTGATACACACAAAAAAAAAATTGGAAAATAATTGCCATGATTGCACTACAGGGAGTACTCTTCATTCGAGCTTTACATTATCAATCAAAAAGGGTCGAACACAAAGTCTTTGACCTGTTAAATGTAAACGCTTTAAAAGAAAACTACAAAGAGAACTATAAATTTATAATAAATGAGATTGCTATGGTGCTCTACCTAACGTTATGAAAATTTTATTATGCGCCTTTAGTTTAATCAAATATTATAAACTTTGCTTTGGTGATTGCATAATTATTTAATTTAGTGATTTAAGGCAGTTGCCACCGTTGTCCAAAACAACAGACGGGAATTACTGCTTTCTTCAACCTGCGACATAAACGTCATTGATTGGTATCGTATATAGGGTGATTAACAACATTTGAACTTAACTTCTGGCATCTACATATTGGGGTTCTGTGAATTATGTAGGTATATCAAATTATGAGACTAGGATATGACACTGCATTTGTATATATCACAATCTTAGAGCCGGACGTTGACATGACACTGCAACCACTGCCATTTTTTAATAGTCGACGAATAAAAGTAAATGAATTTTATACTTACTGCTAAACTACTAAAAAGAACATAAACAAAAGTTGACTTTTTGAATAAGTGCTAGTTTACTATAAAATTTACAAACCTAAGAGATATTTATGTAACGACTTGATTTAATTTCACACATTATTGCGAAAATTGAGGCCCATCTGTAGCCTTGACCCCGCTGGTAAAGTCTTTATATGTCTTAATAAATCAATCTTTTAGACCCACGCAAGGTACTTAATAATTCCCGCGATATTAATTCCCTTACTGAAGTAACAAGACTACGGTATATACCGTCTTAAAATACTAACTAACTAAAAAGTGTGAAATAAAAAAGGTAAATTTAAAAAATCAAAAAACCCGACTGCATAATTATACTTCAAATAAAAACTGAAAAGAAAAAAACAAGTCCAGTAGTCTATAATTCTGTTAATAAGGAACAAAGCTACGTAAACAGTCGGGACCCATTGTTGAAAAATATTATGTATTCTTGAATATCTAATGGGTCCCGACTGTTAAAGTAGCTTTGTTCCTTATTAACAGAATTATAGACTACTGGACTTGTTTTTTTCTTTTCAGTTTTTATTTGAAGTATCATTAAGCAGTCGGGTTTTTTGATTTTTAAATTTACCTTTTTTTATTTTTGTGGTTTGCATGGGTCTTGATTGTATGAAAATGGTAATTTGTCCGGAATTTTAAAGTATCTTATCTATTTAATGCTAGCCATACACACTACGAGAAATCGTTACGATCATACTGTACAGTTCGAACGGAACAGTTTATCGGACATGGCATACGTATAGAAAACTGTGCAGTTTTATAACATACACGCTACGATTTATCGGTACCGTTCGGACGGTACAGTCTAATCGTAACGATTTCTCGTAGTGTGTATGGCTACCATTAGGTATAAAATTGTAGACCGTCAAGGTACTATTTTCCTGAATAAGTAGGTACTAAAAAGTGGCCAACAATTTTACGGGCTTGGGGTAGGGGGACTCCCCTTTTCCGCCAAAACCCATCCCCAGCAAAGCAAACGCATACTTTCAGGGATATTGAAGATTCAAATTTGAGTTTAGGGATCGACAAAAACTTAAACTAAGTACCTTTTATCCAATGAAGGAACTTCTAGAAAAAGCAAACGAGCTTTACCACTTCGCTCGCTCGGCTTACTCTGTATAGCCCAAGCAATAGAGGAAAGCCAAATAACAAAATTTTACCACACTCTAGCTTTTTTACAGATTTAAGGGTAGGTTAGGGATGTCGAAAGTTGAAAAAAATATCGATACATCGATATTTTAAAAAATATCAATATCGGCTTCGATATATCGCGATAAAAACATCGATATATCGGACCAATTTTCCCAAAAATATATTTAGGTCAGCAATAATAACAATACAAATTATAATAAAAGAAAGAATTATCAAAGTACCAAATTGCCACCACACTACATGACAGTACAATATCTCACGAAAGATGACACGCGGAATAATAATGGAACGAAAATTATCTCCCTAAAAATAGACCCTATTTTCGAATGATGAAAATTATTGCAGGGCCTCCTTACGTGGCATCTTTCGTAAACAACACTAGACAGTCACACACTTCCACAGAATATAATCGAATTCAGCACAACCAATTCACCAGCGAAACAGATTTACAAATCATAGAAAATACTAAATACAGCACAAATCATAGATATGTTGAATATCGTTAGTCTGAGCTTCAGTTACGATTTTTCCAGATACGAATTTAGTTAGATCGTGATATGCCGCTAATAATAGGGAAGATGCAATATTTTTATTTTTGTTTTCATTTTAAAGAATTCCATGTAGAATAAACCACAGATATATTAAAAAATTAAAACATTGTGATTTATCGGAAAAAATGCGGTTTTAAATTGACAATTTAAATTTTCGCCCGAAAACGAACCTATGGTTGCGAAGACGTCACTCCTATCAGTCACTGGTCGTAATTGTTCGTTGCTGGCTTTAAAATTTCATACTTTTGCATATTTTTTCGACTTTCGAAATATTTTTTTGAAAAATTTAAAATCTACTATCCATCAACATCATGTGATCATAACAATACTACTAATATTCCGAAAAAAAGCCGTGTTGACTCATGTTTTGTGCCAATCTACTTCAACAAAGTTCCCAAATAAATTGTTTTTGACTGGAACTTCTGACCCAAAACTGAAAAAAAAGTGGTTTCAAGCTGCGAAGAGAAATGACAATTATTCTCCAAAAACCATTATTCGATGCTGAGAAGATCACTTTGACTTTGACTGACGTATGTCGGCGAATATACTTGTTATATGCTTAATTAATCTGCTTGTACGTAAAAACGCATTAGTAACCTACCCAATACTTACATAACCTGTCTATAACATATTTTTAATTTTACAGTTGGAGAATGACGTCGAAAATTAGATAAAGTTTAAAATGTGTAGCACAATCTTCACATTGGCAGGACTGAACCAAGCTTTGCGTTTCATTTAAAATAACTGTAACACGATAACCTTCTATATAAAGTACGTAATACTTTATGCTCCGGAGAACTCGACCTTTTACTGTACATAATTTTCCATCTCTTTTAATTTGGACATAGCCGATTGCATTATCGCCGTAAGATTTGTAGAAGCCGCTGAATAAAATACGAACTTTAACAACTACGATTTTTACATACCGTAGTAATTTAGTCCCTTTCATTTCTACACTTAAAAACTCTGCACGTTGGACAAAAAAAGTTATAACCATGTCAACGCTAACTCTTGGTAAATTCCTGGAGTCTGCTTTGATAAACGCAACTTCCATTTTTATTAAATGTAAAAAAACGCAATAAATATTCCCATAAAATAATATTAACTTTAACAACCATAACCTCAAAGAAGTTGTCATAACAGGAGTGACGTCACTTAACGCTGATTGGTGTTTTAATATACGTTCCGTTTCAAGTATTTTTAATTCGTAATAATTGTTAAAAAACAACATTATGTAAAATAAAAACGTTGCAGTGGCATTTCTTTTATATTTTTTTAACATTTTAATCATAAAATTTTCATAAATATTATATATGCATCTTCCCTATTAAAAAAATATATCGTTTTTGATACGAATTTCGATATTGGTTATTTTGTATCGATGTATCGATATATCGAATCAAAATATATCGGCTAAAAATATCGATATATCGAACAAAAAATATCGATATATCGATACATCGATATATTTTCAGCAAGCCTAGGGTAGGTCGTAAGAAGCTTAAGTTTAAAAATCGGGGGAATATAGGGTGGCCACAACTGGCCGCCATATTGGGAAACATTTTTATAGCTATATCTTCGAAAATATTGACTTTACGGAAAAAAATGTACTACGCTTTTTTGTTTATTACTAAATTTCCTAACTTTTATGTCTTATATATTTTTTGTACCTCTTACAGTTTTTCAGTTATTGTTGTTTATTTAAACATGTAGTTATGGTTTTTCCTTTATAAAACCTTTAAAATGCCATTAATTAATAAAAAAAAACTTATAAAAGTCAAATTTCGTCATTAAATTTCCTACAACATTTGTTTAAATCTTTTTTTTATTAAATAAATACTTTTAAAGTTGTGCGTCGTTAACGTAGCAATGACGACCATTGCAATAGCAAACGAAAAGATAGCCGTAAACATTTATCAATCGCTTTTACTTACCCCTTTGACATGTTTAGTTTGCTCCTTAATATTTTCAATGGGCACATTCGTAGCACCTATTTGCTGTGTAATGCCGCCCGCTTCGCCGTCTTGTACGTTGGTCCTGCGCAGTTTGTCCAGAATCTTCGTCTTGCCGGTGTCCACGTGGCCTAGTACGCAAACGACTGCAGCGCGAAGCGGATTGTTCACTTTGTTAGCCTCGTTTTCTTCGCGTCGTTTCTAATGAATGAGTTAACAGTAAGCTTTTAGCAAAACTATAAACTTGCGTTCCTGATACGAAATTAATGTAATTTTTTACATTTGAAAATAATAATGACTGTGTGACTGGTCAAACTTTTCATATCAATAAAAATGAGTTAGAAATATCAAAGTTCATATGAATGTAGTTATTTGTTAAAGGGGCTGATAGAACTACAGAGTAGAGATGTATCAGATCTCATTTGCTAATGTTGTGAAAGAGAAGCCTTCAGAGCCTTTCAGAGTGCAGACTCTTTTTATGAAAATATATTTTTTTAATATTACAATCACAATGTGTAGTATGTAAAAATTTTTACCTCTAATCTCTTCAAAATTAACTCCCTCTTCTTCTGTGCATCAGTCATTTGATCATCTTCCGAGTCTTCTTCAGAACTAGATTCTTCTTCGGAACTATCATCTTCCTCATCTGAACTATCATCATCCTCTTCTTGCTGAAATCATTATATTGTTTTTTTTTCTAATTTGTTACTTTCAACATTGCTTATCTGATTACAGTGCATTATGTCATCGTTACGTATTTAAAACCATTACAATCCCAATGAACAAAACTATAACTGATAGCATTTGTTATGTTTAAAATACATTATTGAGGAGAAGATCGTCTAGTCGTGAGGTTGTTAACTTGGTGGGTAAAAACTAAAAAAAGTTCCTAGTTTCAGTTTTAAAATATGCTGGCTGTAGTTTTAAAAATAATTTTTATAGAAAAAATGTAATGCTAAAATCAGACTACATTTCTTTCTTATTAATTTCAAGTAACAAAAATAACAATTAGCATCTAACTAACCTCTTTGCCTTTCTCTCTTCCCCTCTTATCCTGTTTGACAGGAGTTACAGGTTCTGGCTCTGGTTTCTCTGGTTCCATTTCCTCTTCCGATGATTCAGCATCCCATGCATCTTTAACTGAATCATCATCTAATTCTTTTTTAGTTTCTTCTGACTTAGGAGTGTCCTCCTGAAAAAGAAAATTAATGATCCTTTGAATGATATGAATTAATAACTAGACATCTTTGGGATTTTATAACAAAGACTTGTCACTTTAATTATTTGAAAATAATACCTTCTTATCTACAATTTCAATTTCTATCTTCTTTTCTTCAGAAGGTGTTGTAGGAGTTTCCTGGGATATTTGACTCTTCAACCTTTGGGGTTTGATTCTTGTACCAGGTCTTGGTGGCTTCTTTTCAGCTGAACCAATTTCAATACCTTGAGCTTTTAATGACTCTAAGAGTGCTTGTGCTCTAGCTTTTTCAGCCTTTTGCTTAGGAGTTAACAATTTACCTTCAGCTTTAAGTCTTTCTTTTCTCTCCTTTTCTTTTTGTTTTTTCCGTTCTTTACGTTCTTTTTCTAATCTAATAGCTTCTAATCTCTGTCGCTCACGTTCTTCTTCTTGTCTTATCTTTTCTTCTTCCTCTTTCTTCAAGCGCTCCTCTTCTTCTTTTACCTTTTTAAGCGCTTCTTGCATAGCAGCTATAGTCTTTTTGGTCGGGCCTTTCTTACCCTTATCATCCTTTTCTACCTTCTCACCTTTCTTTTTTTTCTTTCCATCAGCCGCTGGGGTACTGCCATCAACTTCTTTCTCTTCAGAAGGAGCTTTTACTTCCTCTTTAATCACTTTCTCTTCTTTACTTTCGGTTTTTTCAGATACCTCAGCAGTAACTACATCAACACCTTTCTTTTCTTGATCTTTTTCTTTCTTCTTAGCTTCTAATTTTTTCTGCTTTTCCCTTTCTTTCTTCTCTTTTTTCTTTTGAGCTGCTGTTTTAATTGTCACATCATTCTCATTATCACTACCTTCCTTTTCTTCTGCAATATTTTCCTGTTCTTCCTTTTGTTCTTCTTTCTTGCCTTTTTTCTTCGATTTAGGTTTTTCTTCCACTGCCTCTGGTGGTTTTTCAGCATCAATTACGGAAATAGGTTCTTTTTTAACACCAGCATATTCCATTTCAAGTTCAGCTAATACTTTCTCTAAATCATCATCACTATCATCTTTCTTCCTTTTAGCTTTTTTACCTTTTTTACCAGCTGGTTCCTTTTTCTCTTGAGTTGGTTTCTTTTGTGGTTTCTGTACAGAACTTTCATCATCAGATGATGGTGGTGCTTCAATTGGTGAATCATCTTCATCTTCAATTTCTAGAAGAGCAAAGGCACTTTTCTTCTCTTCTTTTTTCTTGCCTTTTTTCGGTTTTTTCTCCACTTCTTCATCTGATTCATCTAAAACAATAATATAAAAAAATCTGAGTCCAAAATAAATGAAAACAAATTAATTAATTAATAAAAATTATATCATGCCAAGCACAAAATGTCTTTAGTGCTCATAATAAAATGGATTTTAAAAATCTAGTTACACTATCTGACTTTATAAGTGTTCATAGTCTGCATTTATGTATTCATTCTTTTAGGTACTTTGTTCCGTAACAATACATTGGTCTCCAATACTCTTTCTGGTTGAGAATGCCTACAACATAATGTCCACCATTTGCCTTTTTGTGGCAATAAAATTTAAATAAACAAATGAAATAACTAAACCGCAATTGAATATATCCAATACATAAAAATAACAGACAGAGACACCAAGAGAAACCAAATTTAAGATATTACTTGTCACCTTAATTCAAAACAGTACTAATGCAAAATAAACTATGACTAGCAACAATATTTTAGTAATGATCACTTGTGATTAGACTAATATTTGGTTACTATTGGGTATTCGGCATATTCAGCTGCTTTTATTATATTCGGCCGAATACTGAATATCTACATATTATTCGGCCAAATACCGAATACTTAAATAATATATTTTGTCATAGAGAAATAATTGGTAAAATGAAAAATTTAAATCAATTGATTACGTATATATTCATATTTTCATTTCTGTTATGTATAATCATTTATGTAGTCATTGGTACATAACATAGGTACATAATATTATCTTCTGAATTGGAAAAATGGAGGATTCTATGTATTTGAATTATTGTGTTAATCAAAATTTAGAAGGGTAAGGTTCTCATTTCTTTTATAATCATTTATTAAGTAGTCATTGGTACATAAAACAGGTACATAATTTAATTATTTTCTGTATTAAACAAGTTAAGATTTTTTCTATGCATTTGAAATCTTTTCATAATCAAAATTTAGAAGGGGAAGGTTATGGTGCAGAAAGACTAACTTTTCTGCATTTTTAGGAAGTTTGTAGACCATCTCAGCTTCAGAGAAAAGGCGCTCTGAATAAACACTACTTCCTGGCGCCGACAAATATTTTGCTGCAATCTTAATCAAACACAGAAATTCAAATTTCCTTGCTTGCCACCGTGTATACGGGTTGTCATGACGTGATATATTACTAATATTTAAGAAAAGATCAGAACAACAGCAGGCGCGCGGGCAATAATTACATTAGAGAAAAACAAAGAAGCACGAAACAATCAGACGTGACAAATTTTAGGTGCTAAAATCCAGCCGAATACTTTTGCCTAATATTCGGCTATTCAGTCAGGGGCCTCGCCTAATATTCGGTATTGGGTATACTGCCGAATATACTATTTGTTGCAAGTCTACTTGTGATTGTAGTACTATAATAACTTTAACCAATCATTGTTATTTCATAATATTTTGACATAAGAACTTATTGATCTTTATCACTCAACCGAGTAATTTAAATAATAATAATTAACATATTTACAAATATAAACTATGAGCATTACTTTTAACATTATTATAAAAAATAAAATAAACAGGTATTGATTAACTTACCTTCACTGCTTACATCTTTCTTCTTTTGCGACTTACTAATAGAAACATTTTTAACATTTTTTGTGACCTCTTTGATATCCTCATCTACTGATTTTTTGTGCTTAGATTTAGTTTTGAGCTTTTCCTCATCACTGTCGGACTCGATAACTTTTCTAAAAAAGATATTGATAGAGTGATAGTACTACACAATCTAAGAATACAAAATGTTGGTTTTATCTAAATAATGTGACCCCACTTTCGAAAAAAAAGGGTTATTCAATAATAAAGACTATTTTCCTAATTAGTCAATATTATTAATAGCGAAAGAAACCCAATTCCTTGTCTATATCCCGGGAAAGAATTGTATTACCTAACCTAAAAGTACATAATATAAAACCCACTTTTTACACTGCGAAGTTGGTTTAACGCTCTCTATTTTTGTTGTCTCCGCGTCGCTATCACTGAAAAGATTAGTTGAATGTTATTTTTTTTCATGATTAAACGGAAAGAAACTTTAAAAACATATGCTAAAATATAACTTACCCGTCGTCAGCGGTGGGATTCTTCTTTCCTTTTTTAGCCTTTCCCATGTTGACTTCTTGATTTTAAGTCACAATACCGGTTAAATGATGTTCTGTTTCCGTATATTTTGTGATTTCTATCATGTGAAATACAAGCAGAGCACTTATTTTACAATATCCAAAGAGCGATCAGGATTCTAGACTTCTAGTCGTCGTGTCCGTCCTTCACATTGAGCACGTCGCACGTCAGAAGATTTTGTGAAATTTGATTGACATTACTGATTGATTGACTGTCAAAATGAATACGTTTAGTTATTCAACCAAATAAAGTCAAATGCGTTTAAATACACTAGACGAATAATAAACGAAGATTAAGCGTGGACCTCAAATAAGTTTTATTAATGAACAGGGGGCCAATCGCCTAACGGAAATGCTTTGGAAAACGCTAACGCTTACGATTTTATTTTGTTATTTCTAGCCGCCTGAGGTATTCAAATGCCTCGCGCTCTTTCTTTTTCTTTTGCATTGGTAATAACAATATTAAAAAAAATGAGCGTGAGGTATTCGAAAACCTCAGGCGGCTAGAAATAACAATATAAAATCGTAAGCGTTAGCGTTTCCCAAAGCATTTCCGTTAGGCGATTGGCCCCCAGGTGCCTTGATAGTTTTCCGTTAAATGTAAATAAGGATCTCTTAAATTCACAAACTTATGAATGTAAGGGAAAGGGATCCTTCACACAGCTCACCAAATTGAGGGACCAACCAAGCAGGGCCAGATTGAAAGCACCTGTCCTGCCTTGGGTTGTGGCATAAGTACCCTCACAACTACTAGGTACTAGGTTGCTTATCGTAAGTAGTCCGGCCCAGATTTATAGGCCTCTACTCCTTCGTTGCCACTATTTAGAAGTGTGGAGGACACATGACTGTTCCATGGCGGATCTAATAAAATCAATAGATAAAAGGAAAACAATTTTTTTATTAAATATATAGTGGTGTCGATTCTAGCATGATTCTCTAAACCTAAACTTAAATTGGACAGCAATGGTGTCAATTCTGGCGTGATTCTCTAAACTTAAAACTTAATTTAAGGTAAGTCTCACCTTTTCATTCTGTATAGAGAAGGACAAGGATGTACTGTTGTCAAATTTAAGTTTAGCTTCAGAGAATCATGCCAGAATCGACACCATTATATCCTTGTCATTCTCTATACAGAATGAAAAGGAGAGACTAATGTTAAATTTAGTTTAAGTTTAGAGAATCACGCCAGAATCGGTACCAATAATTCTTAAATAAACGTTAATTTAACATCATCTCTCCTTTTCATTCTGTATAGAGAATGATAAGAATAGACTGCTGTTAAATTTAAGTTAAGGTTTAAGGAATCATGCCAGAATCGACACCATTTCATGAGAATGCACTGCAAGAAATGGAAATGTGGATTATAGAAAAACTATTGTAATTGTTGAAAAAAATACGTAAGATGAGGTGGTATGAACTTTGTGTCTTTTGCCTTCCTATTACCCTAAGAAAAAATTGAGTTTCCTAATGCGCTTACCACACGCACAAGCTTCACCACAGTTTGGCCTGCGCAAGCATCTCGCACGAAAAAACTGTACACTTTGTGCGTTATGGGCCTACCACACGCACAAGCTTCACCACAGTTTTGCCTGCGCAGGCCGGTTTGTACACGGAACACGGTGCGTGTAGTTGGTAAAACTGTATCACGCGCCAACCCCGCAGCGCGGCCTGCGCACTTTTCGACTTGCTTGAAATTTTGCCTGCGCAAGCCCGGCCTGCGCGTACTTGTCTGTGCGTATGGTTGGGCGTTCAGTGTTCAAGCCACAGTCGAGTGTACTTTGTGTCGAGGCCCGCTCGTCGTTTCATGAGGTCGTTCGTCATCGTCACTCAAAAATGGCAGATTTGCGTACGTACAAACGCGAATTCACGTCTGAATTATTTAGTTTATACAAATCTCTGGCTGCACTCTGGAAAATTAAATCTAAAGATTATTCCGACCGAAATAAAAAGAACGATGCCTAAGAAAGAATGATAAATAAAATTAAAAAAATGAATGAATGCTGTAGCAAATCTCAAATCTTGGTATGATCTTCCAGTGGCCAGAAACCTTAAAGTAGCGGTCAGTCTTTCATGAGGTGATATGTTTTCACGCATGACCGTATTTTGCCGTTGAATGAGAGGCGTAACCAAACGTAACAATTCACCATAAGCATTTTCATCCATCCGTATATAATTACGAAAATCGTTTGGATCATCTCTTAAATCCTTAATTAGATTAATATGTGTATGAATTTTTCTATTCAACAGCCATTTTTTTGTTCACTTTAATTTTGACTTTTGCGTTGTCTTTTTTTTTAATAGCAAACACTTGAAAAATAGTAGCATAAGAAATGTTTCTTCGTTAAGAAACATTGTTTCCACGCTAATGAATTCGATAGGAATGAGGCTTGCGCGTACTTAACTGTGCTGTGTGGTAACGCACAAAGTGTACAGTTTTTTCCTACGAGATGCTTGCGCAGGCCAAACTGTGGTGAAGCTTGTGCGTGTGGTAAGCGCATTACCACACGGCACAGTTAAGTACGCGCAAGCCTTATTCTTATCGAAATCATTGGCGTGGAAACAATGGTGTCGATTCTAGCATGATTCTCTAAACCTAAACTTAAATTTGACAGCAGTATATCCTTGTCATTCTCTATACAGAATGAAAAGGAGAGACTGATGTAAAATTTAGTTTTAAGTTTAGAGAATCACTCCAGAATTGGCACCACTGTTTCCTAATGAAGAAACATTTCTCATGTTACTATTTTTCAAGTGTTTGCTATTAAAATAAAAAATGATGTGGTGTCGTGGGACACCAGGTAGGAACGAAGTTCCTTCGGCTAATGTAGAATCGACACAAATTGCAAACTCGCTTGTGTATGCGACTGTCGCGCCTGCGCACGTCTCATTTAACGGTTTTATTCCACGCACTTTTTTCCACGGATTTTTTCTTACGGTTTTACTATCACATTTTTTTCAGTTCGGTCGCGCAGCAAAATCCCTATCCCCTCCAAGCCTGCCGTAAGGAACTTTGTCGCGCCTGCGCACGTCTCATTTAACGGTTTTATTCCACGCACTTTTTTCCACGGATTTTTTCTTACGATTTTACTATCACATTTTCACATTTTTTTCAGTTCGGTCAGCTAGTGTTCGTAAAGATTGCTAGGCAGGACTGGCCCACAGATTATAATAAACTACAATGTCAAAATAATCCAGTAATGCAGCCCCGTCGCTCTGCCACCCCCTGGACTAAAGCACAGTTTAGTATAATATACGACAATAACCCAGTGTTGGTATAATGCCACAATAATTTGGGGTTGCACCCCCGTCGCTCTGTCACCCCCTGTTAAGTACTGACCATGTTATCATGTCTAGCTTAAGTTTACAGCAGATGATAGGCGTTCCTGGTCCACAGCTCGGTATAACGTCACAAATATCCAGATTTCGTGTAATATCACAATATTCCAGTGCTGCACCCTAGTAGCTGTGCCACCCCCTACATACGCACCTTATTATCATGTCCCGCTAGCGTTCGTAAAGGATGCTAGGCAGGACTGGCCCACAGTTTAGAATAAACTACAATGTCACAATAATCCAGTGATGCACCTCCGTCGCTCTGCCACCTCCTGATAAGTACTCACCTTGTAATCATAATCATGTCTCACAGGCGTTACTGGTCCACAGCTTGATATAACTTCACAAATATCCAGTGTTGGTGTAATATCACAATATTTCAGTGATGCACCGTCGTCGCTCTACCACCCCCTATAACTTCACACATATTCACTGTTGGTGTAATATCACAATATTTCAGTGATGCACCCTCGTCGCTCTACCACCCCCTATAACTTCACACATATTCACTGTTGGTGTAGTATCACAATATTTCAGTGATGCACCCTCGTCGCTCTACCACCCCCTATAACTTCACACATATTCAGCGTTGGTGTAATATCACAATATTTCAGTGATGCACCCTCGTCGCTCTACCACCCCCTATAACTTCACACATATTCAGTGTTGGTGTAGTATCACAATATTTCAGTGATGCACCCTCGTCGCTCTACCACCCCCTATAACTTCACACATATTCAGTGTTGGTGTAATATCACAATATTTCAGTGATGCACCCTTATCGCTCTACCACCCCCTATAACTTCACACATATTCAGTGTTGGTGTAGTATCACAATATTTCAGTGATGCACCCTCGTCGCTCTACCACCCCCTATAACTTCACACATATTCAGTGTTGGTGTAATATCACAATATTTCAGTGATGCACCCTTATCGCTCTACCACCCCCTATAACTTCACACATATTCACTGTTGTTGTAGTATCAAAATATTTCAGTGATGCACCCTCGTCGCTCTACGACCCCCTATAACTTCACACATATTCAGTGTTGGTGTAATATCACAATATTTCAGTGATGCACCCTCGTCGCTCTACCACCTCCTATAACTTCACACATATTCAGTGTTGGTGTAATATCACAATATTTCAGTGATGCACCCTCATCGCTCTACCACCCCCTATAACTTCACACATATTCAGTGTTGGTGTAGTATCACAATATTTCAGTGATGCACCCTCGTCGCTTTACCACCCCCTATAACTTCACACATATTCAGTGTTGGTGTAATATCACAATATTTCAGTGATGCACCCTTATCGCTCTACCACCCCCTATAACTTCACACATATTCACTGTTGTTGTAGTATCACAATATTTCAGTGATGCACCCTCGTCGCTCTACCACCCTATATAACTTCACACATATTCAGTGATGGTGTAATATCACAATATTTCAGTGATGCACCCTCGTCGCTCTACCACCCCCTATAACTTCACACATATTCAGTATTGGTGTAATATAACAATATTTCAGTGATGCACCCTCGTCGCTCTACCACCCCCTATAACTTCACACATATTCAGTGTTGGTTTAGTATCACAATATTTCAGTGATGCACCCTCGTCGCTCTACCACCCCCTATAACTTCACACATATTCAGTGTTGGTGTAGAATCACAATATTTCATTGATGCACCCTCGTCGCTCTACCACCCCCTATAACTTCACACATATTCAGTGTTGGTGTAATATCACAATATTTCAGTGATGCACCCTCGTCGCTCTACCACCCCCTATAACTTCACACATATTCAGTGTTGGTGTAATATAACAATATTTCAGTGATGCACCCTCGTCGCTCTACCACCCCCTATAACTTCACACATATTCAGTGTTGGTGTAATATCACAATATTTCAGTGATGCACCCTCGTCGCTTTACCACCCCCTATAACTTCACACATATTCAGTGTTGGTGTAATATCACAATATTTCAGTGATGCACCCTCGTCGCTCTATCACCCCCTATAACTTCACACATATTCAGTGTTGGTGTAACATCACAATATTTCAGTGATGCACCCTCGTCGCTCTACCACCCCCTATGCGCACGTCTCATTTAATGGTTTTATTCCACGAATTTTTTCTTACGGTTTTACTATCACATTTTTTTCAGTTCGGTCGCGCAGAAAAATCCCTATCCCCTCCAAGCCTGCCGTAAGGAACTTCGTCGCGCCTGCGCACGTCTCATTTAACGGTTTTATTCCACGCATTTTTTCTTACGGTTTTACTATCACATTTTTTTCAGTTCGGTCGCGCAGCAAAATCCCTATCCCCTCCAAGCCTGCCGTAAGGAACTTTCGTTCCAAAAAAAAGACAACGCAAAAATCTAAATTAAAGCGATCAAAGTGGACAAAAAAATGGCTGTTGAATAGAAAAATTCATACACATATTAATCTAATTAAGGATTTAAGAGATGATCCAAACGATTTTCGTTATATATACGGATGGATGAAAATGCTTATGGTGAATTGTTACGTTTGATTACGCCTCTCATTCAACACTCGTGGGGGGATGCCTATGGCCATAAAGAGATTTGTATAAACTAATTAATTCAGATGTGAATTCGTGATTGTACGTACGCAAATCTGCCATTTTTGAGTGACGATGACTTACGACCTCATGAAACGACGAGCGAGCCTCGACACAAAGTACACTCGACTATGGCTTGAACACTGAACGTCCAACCACACGCACAGACAAGTACACGCAGGCCGGGCTTGCGCAGGCAAAATTTCAAGCAAGTCGAAAAGTGCGCAGGTCGCCCTGTGGGGTTGGCGCGTGCGTGATACAGTTTTATCAACTACACGCATTGTGTTCCGTGTACAAACCGGCCTGCGCAGGCAAAACTGTGGTGAAGCTCGTGCGTGTGGTAGGCCCATAAGAGTTTTCGACCTATTCTAGATAAACAACGATATCGTGAAACGAATATTGATTCAAATTGAGGCCTCCAAGAATGGTTCAAAAAAAAATATTCACCAATTGGTATAGTTGGTCAGTGCATTGGCCCGGATACCGAAGGGTGCGGGTTTGAGTCCCGTCTGCTGCCTGGTCCGCGTGGAATATTTCTACTTATATTTTGTTTAGATTTAAACAACAAGCAGTTCAATGCTGATAAAATAAAAATTAATGACTGAAAAAAAAACATTTATCATTTGAATTTCATTAATTCAATTATTATTTCAAACATAAGATTAATCGGTTTATAGGTGATATTAGAATTTCTATCACATAAGAATCCGTTCTTAACTAGTTTTTTTTGCAAAATGCATAATTGGATATTATCATTTATAATTTCTTTTAAGTAATTATAATTATTCGATAATAACTCAATATTTTTGATAAAAGGGTTTTTTGAATGTTCTTGAAAATGCTTAACTCGTGCGAGACTAGGAGAACTAAAAGATTCTTGATAGATTGATCTAATGCTTAGAACAATAATTTTAATAATTACATTCAAGTTATTACTGTATGATCTAAAGTCATTCTTTTTTCTGAATCATATTTACAGATCTCAATTTTAACCGATTCACAATATCAATTGTATTGCAAGAATAGATAGGAAACTTCTATTTCTTTTCCTATTTAAGTATTGCAACTTTACAATGCAGTTGTTTTCTAAATTATTCATGCAAACAAGATTTGGATTCTGATATTTGATCTCTGCGTTGTGCGCTCTGGCTGACAAACATACATTCAGAAAATTAAGACAATCGATTTCGATAGTCGATAAAATCGATTTCGGAATCCCTAAAATGAAATGTCAAAATACTGACAGTGACAGTCTGCAAAATGGCATTGTGAATTTTACAAATTCTTAGTAAAAATATTAATTACCTTACAAAATGTATAAAGGTTTTGCACGAATATTAACTCATTCAGATAGATTACAATCATGTATTTCCCCTTGTCTCAGAAGCACAGTGCTGTGTACAAGAAAAGGAAAAGTTGGGAGTATAGGTTATGTTTTCATGAGAACTAAAAAACATGACCGTGGGAATCCTTCTGCTTTATTTGTGCCGGTGCCAGTGAAACCTAACTCTGACGACATAAATATAGGCGAAGAGTTCACAGGACGCTTGAAAAAACAAGATTTACTGAAAATCCTTAACAGATTTTATCAAAAACCTGAAGTGAGAGTTTTAGCATCAGAGAATGGATTAGATGACCAGTTGTTACACCAAGCGTTCCTGTCTTTTAGAAGGCATTGCTTGGAACATGATTTACCTCCAGATTTACATATAACTATTAGTGATATATTACAAGGTACAATGAAATCCCTTGAGATGATAGTATTATTTTATTATGCAATAACCTTATTCTTTTTGTTCTGGTGCAGATGCTGGACATGTTGATGATTTGTTTCCGTATTTCCTAAGACATGCTCGTTTGGCCTTTCCGCACCTGGACTGTTTAGATGATTTAAAGAAAATTTCTGACCTTCGGACACCTGCTAATTGGTAATACCAATTTAATGAACTAGTAAGATACTGTTGGGCTTATTGCAGATTTATGTGTATTTTTTCTTTTATTAATAAAGTATTGAAATATGTTTTTCAAGTAAACATTTTGAAATATAAATAGGTACATGTTCATTAAGTAATGGCTCGTAATCCATCAAATCATTTAGATGGTGTAACAAGTTTTGTATATGCTTTAACTGCTAACTTTACATTCTAGGTACCCTGAAGCTCGCAGTATAAATAGAAAAGTAATATTTCATGCTGGCCCTACAAATTCTGGAAAAACTTACCATGCTATGGAAAGATTCTTAGAAGCAAAGTCTGGAGTTTACTGTGGACCTCTTAAATTGTTAGCTACTGAAATATATCATAAATCCAATAAAAAGGTAATTTGTTTTTAGAATAACAGAAGCCCTTGTATCTTAATAGACACATTTGCGTTATTGGTAGGTAGCAACAAACTATTTGAGCAAAACAACCACCAAATAAACTTAACTTGTAGATGATTTTGTATTAAATTGCTACTGACCAGGCTTCCTTGTCTATGGTTGTTACTCAAGAAGTTTCCCAGGATGTATATCAAACAAGATTTTATTTATTTGGTTTAATTTAGGGCACACCTTGTGATTTAATTACTGGTGAGGAGAGAAGGCATTCCTCTCAACATACCAATAATTCTGAAGATTCTGTGATAGAAACAGAGACAACTGAATCTATTTTGACTGATGACTCTGACTTCACTCCATCTACTCATGTGGCTTGTACAGTTGAGATGACTTCTCTTAATAATAAATGTAAGTATCATGCATCTAGTTTGTATTAAAATTTTCTTTTGTAATGGTATATTTCTATTACTTAGTAAATTACTTCAGTTAATTTATTTTTTTGTAGTATACCTACAGTTATTCTGAGTTTAATCTGCATTTATGATAGACTATAAGGTATTTATATATGGGCATACAATGCCTGACTATAAATAAAAAAAATACAATAAGAAATGTTGTGTCTTTTAATAATAGTATAAGTTCTTGCTGAGTATTCACAAAGAGTTGACCAAAATATAAGTACATTATAAAATCGCCATTTATTTGTTGTGTATATTTTAAAATTTTTCTTTTTATCCTGCAGATGAGGTAGCTATAATAGATGAAATACAGATGATAGGTGATAGAGGCAGGGGCTGGGCATGGACGAGAGCTATACTTGGTAATAAAATCTTATTACCAGCACCTTCACATGCCTATTTGTTTGTATTATACTATAATATTTATAGTAATATAAGTTACTTACGGGATTGTTACCATGTACCTTGTTTTTAGTGAGTTTCCGATATTTCGGCACAACAGTGCCTAACTGCAACAGCAAGCTCCATGATCACGGAGTAACGGGTAACAATCTCATAAATAACTTATATTATAATTTTTCTGTATATTATGTTAGTGACCATGAAAGTCTACAACAATATATTATTTGTTTGTATTTTCTATTTGTCGTTTTGAAAGCAGGTTGTCCAGTGTCCATATCATATCTCTATAGTGAGGGAAACAGAGAGACTGTTATCGCATTTACAAATAGAAAATATGAATAGCAATGTGAAGAGATTGCACAATATATTGTATAAACAATCTGCTACCTATTTAACATTGTAAAGAGTGGTACACAATTTAAATGGACTAATAAGAATTTTATCTTTGTTATTTGTTTCTCTTATTATTCTCCTCACAAATTGCCTGTAAAAAATCAACTCAATCTTGTAATGACATTGACTGTGGTTACATCAACAACTATAAAGTTTGATTAAAGATAATAGTGATCTCCCTTTTTTTGCATCGGCAATGGAATAACACAATATTTTTACTGTACTTTATTCTCATCATGCTATAAAAAGAATGAAAAAGAAAGAATACTGTCTAATTTACTTTAAGAAAATTATGATAGAATTATCATGCATAAAAATTAGGCATCAGTTTTAATTTAACATCTGTAGCTACAACTCAATGACGATTCTAGCATTGCTTGTTTCTAAATTAGAAGTACTTTTAATTTATTTATGAATTTGATTTTTGCTTAGGACTTCAAGCTGACGAAATTCACCTATGTGGTGAAGCTGGTGCTATAAATCTCATAGAAGAAATATGTAATACAACTGGAGAGGAATTAGAGGTATTATGGACAATAAAGTGATGTTTCCAAGTCTTTGAAAAATTTTAAGCACTGATATTGAATAATTGTTTTTATATAACATTTTAGATACGCTCTTACAAAAGGCTTACAGAGTTAAAAGTTGAGGACTCAGCTTTGGGTTCCCTGGACAACGTTAGGCCGGGCGACTGTATAGTGTGTTTCAATAAGAATGACATTTACAGTGTAAGTCGAGCCATTGAACAGAGGTCAGTCCCACCTTGAGGCAGGTATCCAATATTAAGAGAAGTGTATAGTCTTTATAGAGGCGGTCTTATTGAACAACAACCCTATACTATTTATAGAATGTGATTGCATTCAACAAAAAAAACCATATTTGACGGTCCCTATGTAAGTTACAGATGTGACACTTGGGTGATTTTCACTTTTTTATTTAATTGGATTCCAATAATACAGCTCTATTGGCTAATGAAACAAAAAGTTAAAAAGTGCCAATTTTTTAAGATAGTGAATTGTTAAAATGGTATGTGGTAGTTACTTAGTTGTATGTGGGTACTAAAATAATAGTAACTGGTAGTTGTATCTATAAAAATTATTAATTGAAAAATATCATAGGAACATTATTAAATACTTAACAAGTGTCTATTTTATATTTAATTATAATTACTAGTTTCTTACTGAATTTAAACAACATTGCATGTATATTTTCAAAGTTATTTAAAATATGCGATTTTCACTTGGGGGTTATACATAGGGACCGTCTATATTTATTCCCATGTTCTTTGAGTATTAACATGAAGAATGACTTTCCTTGTAACTCTATCGCATCAGAGATGCTCTCAAAAAGACAGCCTCTGTATATTTGTTGGCAGTTAAATTAGTCTAAGTTTCATAGAATTTTCAATTAGTTGTCCTTTCATTGTTATAAAAGCCTTCTGTTTTCTCCTTAAATCATTTCATTGCATGATCATATATAGATAACATATTTATTGAACTCTATGTAGATTCCCATTTCAGGGGTTATGAAGTAGCCGTGATCTATGGCAGCCTACCACCTGGAACTAAATTAGCCCAGGCAAATAAATTTAACGATCCAGAGAGTTCCTGTAAAGTAATGGTAGCTACTGATGCCATAGGTCTTGGGATCAATTTGTAAGTAACATTGAATAGAATATTTTTCCATTATATTGTGTTACTTAAAACTAACGCAAATAGTCGTATCGCCTTTTATAATTTTTCGCCGTTCTACATAGACTTTTATCATTCTAAAAATGTTTACTCTTTTTTTTCCCTCACCCATACAATATTACTTAAATATACTATAATTTTCACCTTACAATTATTAAATGTTTTAGGAGTATACGAAGGATAATATTCTATTCCTTGATTAAGCCTGTGATTAATGAAGATGGTGATAAGGAAATGGATGTCATTAGTATATCACAAGCACTGCAAATTGCTGGTAGGTAACAATTTACATTAATGTGAGGAGCTGGCAAACAAAACGGTATAATTACATGAAATAAATTTTACAGGAGCTGTATAAAACTGAATGACATACCTCCAGTGAGCTTTTGGCATGGTTTTTAATTTATAAATTTTAACACTGCTTTAGGCGGTTTTGATTGAAAATTATCTGAGATTCAAATTCAACGGGCCCAAAACCTCTGGACTATAAAAAAAAGTAGTTTGACCAGATGCGCAATTTTACCGTTTTGTTCGCCAGCTCCTCATATACATTTATATTATGATCTCAGGAAAAAACTAATGTAATAAAGAGATATTACTACTTCTTCCCAATTTCAACTCAACAAAGTTCCAAATTAAAACTTAAATTTTCTGTTTATATCAACATTGACTAAAGTAGATAATTTAGCTACTGATATCTCAGTTATTTACGAGTTTAAATTATTTGTATTGTTTTTTTTTAATATGAATTATTTTAGGTCGCGCCGGTCGATACGGTAGCACTTGGGAAACTGGCTACGTGACTGCGTATAGATCTGAAGATCTTTCCACTTTGAAGACACTCTTGTTCAAACCCCCGGAGCCGGTCACCCAGGCCGGTCTGCATCCCACCGCTGAGCAGATGGAGCTGTACGCCTACCACTTGCCTCATGCGACTCTCAGCAGTCTAATGGTGAGTCATTTAACATCATATGTCACCATATAGGGCTGAGTTGAAGATACTCTGGTCCAAACGCCAGGAGCCGGTCACCCAGGCCGGTCTGCATCCCAACGCTGAGCAGATGGAGCTGTACGCCTACCACTTGCCTCACGCGACTCTCAGCAGTCTAATGGTGAGTCATCTAACATCATATGTCACCATATAGAGTTGAAGATAAAGCTGAGCTGAAGAAACTTGTCCTACCCCCCGGAGCCTACCACTTGCACAGGACTGTCAGCAGTCTAATGGTGAGTCATCTATCATCATATGTCACCATATAGAGCTGAAGATAAGGCTTAGCTGAAGACACTCTTGTCCAAACCCCCTGAGCCTACGACTTGCCTCTTCGCTTGAGTAATTAAAAAAAACTATTTTAAAAAGCAATAGTATTGGTGCTGTAAAAGTAACCTTTGCATGCTATACATACATGTGGTTCCACTTTTTTTAATTATTATTGTGTATTTTTTATAATTTTAAAAAAATAATGAAGATCTCGTAATGTGTACTTCTGATGCTCCAAACCACACAAAGAACAATTCTCCTTAGTGCTACATACTTACGGATGCAATTCTCTGCAAGGATACATTTGTCCACCTGTGCACCATAGACAACTTGCTCTATTTCATGTTAAACACGGAAGCGTTCAAGTTCTTAGCAAAAATTATGCAACACCTGCCATTGCCTTTGCGAGCTCGCTACGTGTTCTATTACGCGCCTATACGTTATTGCCCGATTTTATTTTATAGATTGATACGGAACGCTTATTCCCTGTGTATTTATTATTTTCGTAAAATTGATGCTCCATAATGCGCCTTAAAGCTACATATTTACAGATCAAATTGCCTTCCACAGGATATATTCGTTCACCTATGCACCGTGGACGACTCTCTCTACTTCATGTGCAATACAGAAGCGTTCAAGTTCTTAGCAGAAATGATCCAACATGTGCCATTGCCTTTGAGAGCTCGCTACGTGTTCTGTTGCGCGCCTATCAACAACAAGTTCCCTTTTGTGTGCGCTACATTCCTAAAGGTAAGTTCAACTTTATTTTATTTTACACCTTAATTTTAAGTTCCAATAGTCCAGTCAAATTACGGAATCAAATAAACATGAGCGAACACAGTTTGGGGATTTTGAGGATCGTTAGGGGGGTGCATCCTGAGCTTAAGTTCCAATTTGAGGGGCTGCACTGAGGTCAGCTCAAGGTCATTTCGATGCAAACGCGTTTAATTCGATATCTCGAGAAATATCAGTGTTAGCCAAAAAATTATAGAGACCTTTTTTCTTCTAAATGAAATTTATTAACTTTTTTATTTAAAACTTTTTTTTGTAACATCAATATTTTTTAAGTTATTACTCCCGCAAGGCAAAAATTTCATTTTTTTCCCTATTTTTCGTCGTTTTCTCCCCAAACATTCAATTTTATTGAATTTTACCGATCATCAACGTGTATATCTTTTAATTATGCACAATTTTGTTCTTAAACTTTTTTCTGTAACTTCAATACCTTCGGAGTTATATATTATTTTACCGAGTGAAATCCACGCCACTGTCGCAACGTGTATCCACAGATACATTGTTGCGTGTATTAGATTATTGTTTGTTCTTCCATCGACCTCGGGTGCTTAATTTTCCGAATTTTATAACCTATTTTTTGTATCAATAAATGTGTGAAACAGTTTTAATTGTTAATTTACTTGTTACCCAAACAAACCCATAAATTTACCCAAATTAAATACCCAATTTTTAAATAGTTTAATCGATTTACCCTTTTATATTGCGACAGTGGCGTGGATTTCGCTCGGTAAAATAATATATAACTCCGAAGGTATTGAAGTTACAGAAAAAAGTTTAAGAACAAAATTGTGCATAATTAAAAGATATACACGTTGATGATCGGTAAAATTCAATAAAATTGAATGTTTGGGGAGAAAACGACGAAAAATAGGGAAAAAAATGAAATTTTTGCCTTGCGGGAGTAATAACTTAAAAAATATTGATGTTACAAAAAAAAGTTTTAAATAAAAAAGTTAATAAATTTCATTTAGAAGAAAAAAGGTCTCTATAATTTTTTGGCTAACACTGATATTTCTCGAGATATCGAATTAAACGCGTTTGCATCGAAATGACCTTGAGCTGACCTCAGTACAGCCCCTCAAATTGGAACTTAAGCTCAGGATGCACCCCCCTATCGATCCTCAAAATCCCCAAACTGTGTTCGCTCATGTTTTTTTAGCCCTTTTTTTCCGTAATTGAACTGGACTACAAGGTCTATTTTAATTTTAGCTGGGTTAGGTCGCATTTTGAACGGTATGATTCTATATATTTTTTTCATTTTGTTTGTGAAGCGTTAAAGACGGTATTATATGATTAGCGGGGTATAATAATAATAATAAAATAATAATAAAAATCTTTATTGGATAAATACCAGAATACAAATCAGAATGGCTCCTAAAAATATAGGATTAACCTGTGTATTAGGAGCCAGTGGTGTCGATTCTGGCATGATTCTCTAATCCTAAACTTAAATTTGACAACAGTGTATCTTTGTCATTCTCTATACAGAGTGAGAAGGAGAGATTGATGTTAAATTTAGCTTTAAGTTTAGAGAATCAGGCCATTATCTTCCAAAAAATTACACATTTACATGGTAATTTCAGACGCGTATAAGGCAATGTTTAGTGTTGTAAAATTACAATTAGAAAGTTACTGGGAGAATACATGGTTAGTGTTTCATATTTATCCAGCGTGTGTGCGTGCGTGTGCGTGTTTGTGTGTGTGTGCGTGTGTATGTGTGTGTGTGCGTGTGTATGTGCGGGTATATATCATATGATCATGACACTTTCCCCAGTGCCGAAATATCGGGGACCATTTTTTATGTTAAAAGCACACAAGCACATGGCCCGCCTGATGGTAAGCGGCCACCATTGCCTATAGATGCTTGCGTACTAGAAATATCAGTCGCGTCGTTGCCTACTCTGACCTCAATCCTAGGGGATGGGGGTCAGAGTAGGCAACGGTAGGTGAGTAAGGTTCCAGGGCTCCACGAGGTAGGCCTCGTGGAGCCCTGGAACCTTACTCACCGACAGAAACGCCTATCGAAAGGTAGTGTTATTTTAGTGTGGTCTTCTGTAGGGTGAAGGTTTCTCCCCCAGACAGGTGCTCCAATTCAAGAGCAATATCCGCTATGACCTGCCTCTCGAAACTCGCAAAAACAAGGTACCTAAATAGAAGTAATCCCGCTTATTACTATAATGCTATATAATGCTAAACTTTCATGGTGAAAGTTTGAAACTATATTGTGTTATGAGAATAGTCCAAGTCTGGGTGTTTCCAACGCGTTAGCTTTTACAAATGTCTGTGGACTTAAAATTGTTCGCTTACTATAATCTTTCCACCTGTTCTGTTCATTAAATTACAAATGGCACTTGAGTGATATGAATAAAACACGGCGTAATTAGTATAAGCCTACTCCTTGTTTATTAATAAGGGGGTGAAAAAGTTACTGATCACGTCGAAAAAACATCTCATAACATTTACTACGCTCCCGTCACAAAAAATCAGGAATGCTGGGTTTAGACTCGTAGTAGTTGATAGAAGCTGCTCAATTTCATCTTTAAGGATTTTTTTATAGGTCGCGGCAAACTACTTGAGCAAAACCACAAACAAATAAACTTGCGCAGTTGACGTTTTTGTATGTAAAATTGCTACTGCGCAGGCTTCCTTGTCTATGTTTATTGCATAAACAGTCAATGTTTGTACTTAAATTATTAGAAGCTCTCCAAAATATGAATACGTTATCTATAAGAATATTGCTACTTTTAGTCCACAGTCTGTCACTCAAGCTAAAAATAATTCGTTGTTTATTATGTGATAAGAAACAGTGTGTACATAATTTATTTAACATTTATAGTGTACTCCTTAAACTAATGTTTATCAGCTTGTGCCTTGTGCTACAATAACGATACATTATGTTTATAATTACACCCATTAGAATTACAATTATATATTAAACTAGCAGCCGCCCCCGACATCGTACGCGTGGGGTTAGTTAGAAATAAAGGTTCACTGCTCGTTCCCCGTAGGAGATAGCGTGATAATATGTAGCCTATATGTTGACCCGACTTCTTAATAATGTTCGTGCCAAATTTGAAATAAATTCATGCATTACTTTTTGAATTTACATACAGGCAAACAGACAAAAATTATAAAAACTATATTTTTGGCTTCGATATCGATTGTAGATCACACCCCAATTATTCTTTTAAAATAATTATTCAATGTACAGTTTTGACTTTCCTACTATTTTATTATATGTATAGATTAAAAACAGAGACTAGGCGCGCACACACAGCAAGAGTATTTTTCATTGAACATAATATGATATAGTAACAAGATACATATTTCATAGCGCAATGATTACTTGCTACAGGCATGATGCTTGAGCATCTTTTTTCCTGGTAACTCTAAATATATTGCAAAGAAAGTGAAATTATCTTAAAATTTAAGAGCGGTAGGCCACAGCGGATTTTCAGCTAGAATTTGGGTGCCCCTCTAGGGGAGCAACTTCCAGAACCTTACAGAAGACCACAGTAAAATATCACTACCTTTTGGTGTTGTGTTTCTGCTGGTGGGTAGGGTTACAGGGCTCCGTGGGGTAGGGTTTAGGCCGGCAAGGTGAGGATGAGTGGAGCGGCACACCTTCTGCAGCAACATTTATCTTCGCAACTGTAGTCCACTTACACTAAACATTAGGTGGGGTGGGGTAAATTGTAAACTTTTGTATGAGCGACTGCCCTAGCAATGTTTAGATATTGTACTTAGTAATATTGTATGCTGAATGGCTAAATATTTTATATTTCTATGAAAAAATGAACTCAGGAACTTTTGATAAAGTTACAATACTGAAAATTATGAGAACTCCTACTACGTTATTACTTTGCTACATTTGATAAAAGATATTAACAATTATTTACAAATTCATCATGTTCGTATTTTCTATTCCTGCCATTTCTTAGAATCCTCTGATTAACACTTCACAAGAAGTGTTTTTAACTAAAATAAATACAAATAATTTGTTGTTGGCCAGACAGGAAATCTGTGAAGTTTTATTTTATTCATTTGCAAAAATCAAAGATTATTTTCATACAGCGTCGTCTCCAGTCTGATCAGTAGGCCTATTCGCTAACTGCTTTTGACAGATGGAAGTGATAATGACTGAGCTATATAGTGATGCACTTCTGCTTTACTATAACGCCACTAAGATACTTGTTCTGAAAAGCATCACACTGTAAATGTCAAAAAGTTAGTGAATAGGCCGACAGAAAGTATGAAATCTATTACTTTAAGCATACAATGATTTTTCATTAAAAAAAATAAAGCCAAGTATTTCACAGTTCTTTGAGGTTTGGAATTAATATTGTTTAATTCGATATACTTAACAAATATTTTTTGTGTAGATTTATTTTTAATTTGTTCTTGTAAAACGGGATATTTTCCTTTTGGAACAGAAATAAAGTCAATTTTTATACTATTAAATATTTGATTATTTCACGAAAGTTTTATGGGAATAGTAAATATTTAATATAAGTGCGAAAATTATACATGTTAAGGCCAGTTTCTTAGCCATGTCCTTTATGTATTTAAGTTTAGTTTTAAAACCAATACGGTTGCTTCAGATGGTCCGACAATACAGTCGCAATGAGCCCATAACTCGGAATTGGATGTGCAGCGCTATAGAATGGCCGCTTCCGTCGCCAAAGACGATCATGGATCTAGTCCACTTAGAATCGGTATTCGATGTGCTCGAGCTTTATCTATGGCTGAGGTAAGGCGTTTTGATTTAAATGGTATAATTATCATCAGCCTTTTAATTACCCACTGCCTTCCCTATGGACGGGACAGAGAGTCACCACGAGGGCCCAGTGCTATTCTATGTTTTAATAAGTTTAAAGTGTATTTAAAAACATGTCTCCCTAAAAAAGGTTACTATTCTGTTAAAGATTTCCTAAATGGGCACCTTGGGCTTAATATAATAGACTAAGTTGTTTTACTTTGCTAATTTGGTTGAAAATTGTTTAATCGCCACTTCTTAATTTAAAAATTTAAAAAATCAAAAAACCCAACTGCATAATTATACTTCAAATAAAAACTGAAAAGAAAAAAACAAGTCCAGTAGATATTCAAGAATTCATAATATTTTTCAATAATGGGTCCCGACTATTAAAGTAGCTTTGTTCCTTATTAACAGAATTATAGACTACTGGAATTGATTTTTTCTTTTCAGTTTTTATTTGAAGTATAATTATGCAGTCGGGTTTTTTGATTTTTTAAATTTACCTTTTTTATTTCACACTTTTTAGTAATTAGTATTTTAAGACGGTATATACCGTAGTCTTGTTACTTCAGTAAGGGAATTAATATCGCGGGAATTATTAAGTACCTTGCGGTGGTCTAAAAGATTGATTTATTAAGACATATAGAGACTATACCTGCGGGGTCAAGGCTACAGATGGGCCTCAATTTTCGCAAAAATGTGTGAAGTTAAATCAAGTCGTTACATAAATATCTAATGTATGTAAATTTTATAGTAAACTAGCACTTATTCAAAAAGTCATCTTTTATTTATGTTCTTTTTTGTAGTTTAGCAGTAAATATAAAATTCATTTACTTTTATTCGTCGACTATTTAAAATTGGCAGTGGCTGCATTGTCATGTCAATGTTCGGTTCTAAGATTGCGATATACACAAATGCAGTGTCATATCCTAGTCTCATAATTTGATATACCTACATAATTCACAGAAACCCAATAAGTAGATGCCAGAAGTTAACTTTAAATGTTGTTAATCACCCTATATACAATACCAATCAATGACTTACGTCGCAGGTTGAAGAAAGCAGTAATTCCTGTCTGTTGTTTTGGACAATGGTGGCAACTGCCTTAGATCGCTGAATTAAATAATTATGCAATCACCAAAGCAAAGTTTATAATATTTGATTAAATTAAAGGCGCATAATAAAATTTTCATAACGTTACGTAGAGCACCATAGTAATATTATTTATTATCAATTTATAGTTCCCTTTGTAGTTCTTTGTGATCGACCCTTTTTTATTGGTAGTGTAAAGCTCGAATGAAGAGTACTTCCACCTATCAAGCGTGCTGCTACCAGCCTAGTAGGTATTGAAAATAGTGCAATTATTTACCAAATATTTTTTTTGTATAAAAAAAATACCCATTAACTTATCACTGTTAAGCACAAATGCTAAGTAACTTTTAAAAATATAATCAAATAAACCTATTACTTACTTAATTTTTAAATCTTTTTTATCAATTAAATACTATTGTCCTAACTATCTATACTAATATTATAAAGAGGCAAGATTTGTATGTCTGTAACAAATAATCTGTCAAACTACTGAACCGGTTTCAAATATTAATTCATCATAAGGTAGCTACATTATATATTATTACATTTTTCTTTATTTAAATACATTTTGTCCGAGTGACATAGGCTATATTTTATCCCGATAAAATAAATTTCGCCCGTACAATGCCCGGGTGGATCACTAGTAAGTATAATATAATATTATAGATGCGAAAGTGAGTTTGTTTGTTGCGCTTCCGTGCCCTAATAGCTAAATCGATTATAATGAATTCCCATATAGAAGTAGATGGGAACTTGGTTCTTAGCTACAACATCGCAATTCTTATAGGCGTAGGGTGATGAAAGGGGTGATTTACCCATAAAAATCTATATTATTTACTTTGAATTTTGCAGAATTATCGTTTATACTTAATTACAAAACCAATATTATCGCGAGCTGATTAATAAATACAGGGATTCCAATAAGTATGAACCTACTAGCGAAAAATGGGTTATTTGTCATTATATTAAGTAAACCTTTTTTGTAACATTAAGTAATATCGTTAAAAAAAAATAAAAACAGTATAATTCCTAGTTTTTCATTAAAATTCAATAATCATTAATACCTATTATGATAATTTATTTTTCATCATTTAATAAGAAAGAACTGTAATCCAGTTTTATTGTTAGTACTTCGTATAGGATCAGATACAGCGAGTAGCCCATTTTTTTCTTTTTCGCCTAGGTTTTATCCACGTTTATAAACACCTAAATTAAATTTCTTCTCTTAGTATTCCCGCAGTCTACTCCTACATAGTACACCGCGCTATCACTTTGTCATCGTTGTAACTTTTTAAATATTTGTCGAAATGACATAGAGTAAAAGGCAAAGTTTATCGTCTTTAAATATCAAAAGCGATAAAAGTATTAGTTTTTATATAAAATAATTTGTTCATACAAAATGTGCATTTTGGAAATAGATATCAAATAATATTTTAGTTTTGATTCACTATTTTAGAGGTAATGGCTTACACATTAAAAATAGATATATGGTGTCACGGACTCTTTTTTAAGAACTATTTAAGAGATACATTTTCACTCTACATTACATTCATGTAACTTTTATTGTTTTTGCAGTGCAGGCCAAAATGGCTCGCAGATGGGAGTTTTTTTTCCGTTTTATGTGACACTTATTGTTATATTTTGGCCAATTCATAACTACATAAATTATTATATATATGTTATTATCATGTATGAGTTAAGTTTCATTAAAATCCATTCAGTATTTTTAGGTGAAAGAGTAAAAGATCCATACAAACGTAAGATTGAAATTAAAAGCGCAAGTGGTTAATATACAACTTTAAAGCGTTGTAGATCCTAAACAATCATATAAAATGAAAATGGTGTTAGGAACCTAAACATGATTTTCGATTATCTAGACAGTGATATCCCACTCGACATATTTTGTAAACTTATTTTTTTTACTTCGGCACAATATGGCGCCTAATTTTGCCCATATTGAATTTTGATTACTATCATATCTTTAGTAGCACTCCCATGATTGAGACGAATCGATTGATGTATGAATCATCAATATCAGTCCAGGCGTTTGGTCTCTAGTGTGCCACAAAGAAACAAACATACATATTATATAGACTGTTAAACACTATACCCTGTCTGCGCGTCGCGCTTCGCGCTCTTGCATTGCGCAGTCGGTTAAAAATAGTACCTAGCCATACTTAACTTTCATTAATTAATAATATTAATGTGATGAAAGTTGACATCAACACATGTTTTCAATTTTTGCTGTCATCTTTCAATTGACGACTCTGTATGAAACAAAACAGGGAGAAAAAAATATAGCCCTTGCTGAGTTTCTTGCCGGTTCTTCTCAGTACAATGTCTCCCGCCGTAGATTTACGAACCGATGGCGTAGCGTTTGACTTTTACAAAAGCTTGTAACAGCCTAGACTGAATAAATGAGTTTGAGTTTATCTATGTTAGGGATTTAGGTTTCCGCACTAAGTCCCTTAAGTGGACCATTGTGCGTGAGCCATGGCGGCCGGTTTCTCTAGCCAGCCCACCTCCCTCCAGGAGCATATCAGTCTTCACAGTCTTCTCGGGGCATTCGGAAGGGATCCCGGTTTACTATTTTGATATTTAAATCATTTCCGAAGACCCGGTGTAGATTATTTCAGGCTTCAGTAGTCTTTTAGGAAACAGTGTGTTTTCATGATTCTGTCATTGTGTGATGATTTTCATAGATAGGTCCAACAAATGACTCCACCCCACCTGATGTTATGTGACGGTGAAGTCCAGACGTGAAGATCACTAGTACAGCAGTTCTACATGCCACATGGACAGATATAAAATATAACACTCCTTTCTATATAAGGATATAGAAAGGAGTGAATTGGAATATGGAAAGTGGGGTTTGGGTAACCCTAGGCCTAGGATTTGGCTTTCCAGCACTCCTCTTATCCAGAGCCTCAAAAAGGCACTCCGGTTCTAGGATCGACTCGAACGGTCCATCCAATCGCCGGAGTTGGGCTATTCGCAACCTGCCCTCCTCCCCGGGTGGCACGTGAAGAAGTGTCCGGCAATCTGAGACCACAGGCCCGGGTAAACCAGTGCGGTTTTATGGGTGCTGACGACTGAAGATGTAGCCAATGAATGGTTTAACGTGTCGCAAGTTGCGATGCACGTAGAAGCTCGAGACAAAATGTTTGGTCACCCACCCGATTTGGCATTTGCGAAAGTTGCTTAACTTTCACGATGTTAAATATATGTAATATAATTAATGGCATATATGGTAATAGTCGCTGACAAATTAGGCTTTGATACAATCTTTATTACGACGCAGTAAACGCTATAATCTTAAGTAAAAACGTGCCTATAATATGAGCCTTGTTTATGGTCTCCAGTATCTTAACGGAACAGCAGTTGCAAGGATTCATTCTTAAAATTTAAGCCTCGGAGTCAAATGAGATTTCGGAAGAATGACGCTTTTTTATATTTTCAGCTATCGTTTCCCAGATATGTTTCCTGACGTGAGATTGGTAAGAGAAATGGAGACTGAATTGGATGATGTTATCCGGCAAGGAATATTCCAAATCACTAGGTATGTGCAAAATAGAGGTAAAGATATGTATATATATATATATTTAAATGTATAATTTACGCCCACTTCACCAAAGTTGTCAAATTAAATTAAAAACGAAATCATACTTCGAATACATTTTATGACTTCTGACTTCAACATATGATTAAATCCCGAAATTATTAAGGCATAATTTTTATTTTTTTTATGATTAGTCATTTAATATACATACAACCTTAAATTTTCACCCTTTTACCACCAACCCCTAATTTTATGGCGGTCCAGAGTTAGCTGGGTCATCTAGTTATAATAATAAGTAAATAAATATTTCCAACACTCACACCAATTAGCTTAGCCCCAAAGTAAGCACTGTAGGCTTGTGTTATGGGATACTAGGGTAACGGATAGAATACATATACTGTACATATATAAGTATATTTATTTGATATACATATTAAACATCCATGACTGGAGTACAAATGCTCGTATTCATCATACAAACATCTGCCCCCACCGGGTTCGAACCCGGGACCTCTCGAGTCGGCGACACCATGAAACCCGGCGTACAAGCCACTCGGCCACGGAGGTCGTCAAGTTAATAGTATAACGTGAATATTTTCAGATTATTACGCAACTCGGAGCAGATACTTCAAGATGAACCAGAAGCCATAGAGCATATGAGCAGAAAGAAAGGCATACGGCCCGGTACCTTCGGCCAGATTAAGGCAGACGAGCAGAAGGGAAAATTGTCAGAAATGCTCGTTGCTAAGGTGAGTTTATAATAATAATAGTAATTTATTAGGAATGATAGGATAATAGGGTGCCTATTTACCTAAACTTTGAAAAGTATGTATTGACAAAGTTGATACAACCGTAATCTCTAAAATAAAAATTTATCACTATTATCAGCCTATGTCCCTACTACTGGAGCACAGGCCTTCCCTACACATAGGATAGCTCGTACATAAGCGAAGCTATTCTACCCTCGCCCAAAAATTAGGCTTTCCGACTTCAGCATGCTTAGATAAATTTTAATATACATATAAAGGTATACTAAGCACATACTCATTTTGAAGAAAAATCGTCAGTAGTACACTCATCACTATGACTCAGTCCATTTCAAGTCATAATCCACACATACAGCAAAGTCATAGGGGCCCCATTATCCTAATATGCCCAGGGCCTCCAATAGGTTAAAGACGGCCCTGTTTGGGCCATGACTCAGCACGCGGGCCCAGTGCGGATTAGTGGGTGCTAACGACTGCAGATGCAGCAAAGACCAACGGCTTAACGTGCCTTCCGAAGCACGGAGGAGTTCGAGATAGTAAATGATTGGTCACCCATCCAATGACCGTCCACTGCGAAAGTTGCTTAACTTCAACGATCGCAGCAGAACGCGCTAACCACTTACGCCATCGGGCTCCGCATAGCTCATAGTATAAAAGTTTCTCTATATTAAGAAGAAATAAAAACAATTTGTCATTTCAGGGACTGATCACACCGCAAATGTTGAAAAAACTCCAACAAGAGCTTGCGACAGACAGCAAAGTGGACAGGAGTAAAAAGAAAATAAATAGACATAGAAGGAAATGATGATGACTCTGTTGTTGTTATTATATAGTAAGACAGTAATGTATGCGTATGACCGAAGTTTGAATGAGAATAAACTGTGACAGACATCTATTTTATTTTTCTTTAAAACATTATTACTAGACTTATAAAGAAAACTTTTACTAGATAATAATAATAAAATATTTATTGCAGGAAGCTAAGACCCATATTTAAAACATGATACAATATATAATATAAAATCTAATTAAAAATACACTTGCCATTACTTAAAATAAAGTCAATCGTCTATTTGCAATTCCCATCAGTGTGCACAGAAAGCCAATATCTATAAATTTTATTGTTAAGATCAGCGTACAAACATTTTAGCAGGGTTGCAAATTATCAAGATAATTATTTTCTCTGATAATAATCAGATAATTATCCAACTATCAAATCAAATAACATGTATATAAATGAAAATTTTTTCCTATTTTTTACTAAAACCTGAGAGTCTGAAACTACGTTTTTTTAAAAAAGTATACTATTATTAATGTTTTAAATAAATATAATGCAATTTAGTTACTCATAATTATCAAGACGTTAATTATCTTGATAATTATCACGATAATTATCCAGTGCAACCCTGCATTTTAGTATGTCGTTACCAGAGCAACGCAATCCTTCCCAAAAAGAAGCTATGCGCGCCCTAATAACAGCATAGATGTCCGATACCCAGCCTCCGCAAACATTGTAGAAGCACTGCAAAATCTCGGCAGATACGAAGAATCTCATATATAAAAGTCTCGTGTCACGGTGTGCGTAATTGAACTACTCCGAAACGGCTCGACCGATTTTCGTGAAATTTTATATGCATATTCAGTAGGTCTGAGAATCGGACAACATCTTTATTTCACCCCCCTAAATGTTAAGGGTGGTTCACACATAATTTTTTCTATTTTGGACAAAACTTTTTATTTTTTTATGATACATCATACAAAAATACATACAACCCTAAAGGAGATTGCTCAAATTGGCCCAAATGTATAAAAAATATTGACATATACCATAATTCTTGGCGTAATTTATATTTTATTTTACAGTCGTTAGATTTTTACGGACACCTTTGTATAATAAGGAAAGTAAAAAGGACTTAATTTTACCGGTTTGGAAAACATACGAATCATTTTTGATGGCTATGGGTGTTGTAACATTCAGCCAAAGACTGATCGAAGTTCTTTATATAACATCAAAACAAATCTATTTTGTAAAGCTCGATAAAATAAAACATTTTTTTGTTACACTGTGGTATTAATATCCACAAGTATATTATCATTTTTACTACATGCAATGCTCTAAGGCTAAGACAAATATTATAGATGGTAGGCGACATCATAAAGTCTATTTCCATACATTTTTCGCCAAACACCTCCATAAACACATTATAAGGTGTGATACACTAAAAATCTAAAATATGGTTATAATATAAACATAACAACAATAATAAGCTTTCTTTAGTTAACCAGAGTGTATAAATTCTATCGTATCTGTGGCTCATTCACACACAGATTCTGTCACAGAGTACCTTATTATAACCGGAAATGCATAGATGATACGTGATTTTAAAAGTTACTCTTATGCATAAGCTTTAAAAACAGGCAATCTATTAATCTACATGCTTTATATACCTGAATCTAATACATAATTTCGAACTTGGTTTGATTTCCCTAGTTTGCTATATAACTTATTTGTTTTTTATTATTTGAATACCTATGTACCTATTTGCAAACATAACCTCAAAATCATTTAGTGTATGTATATGGTTTATAGAAGTTCTCAGGGGTGTCCCGTCAATAATTTATGTATAATTTTGAATCTAGGAAACAATTTTTCATGATTATTGGTCTTTAGGCCAAACATGTATAGAAGCTGAGCAATCTTCTTTTCACCCTTCTACAACCAATCCCTATTTTTTATGGCGGTACGAAGTTCGCTGGAACAGCTAGTATCATTATATTATACTCTGATGCTACTATACGACCTCCTGTTGTACCGCATCCACAGTTGACTGGTGTAGAAAGTGACACACAATACGCATTAAACAGCGTTAATTTTACCTGCTTGCTACATCGACTAAACCTACGAGCGACTATATTGCCCCGAACAGCCATTGCCCTTCCTTCTCGCTCTATGTACCGGTCGTCTTTCATATCTTCGGTCAGTATATGTCCCAAGTACCTGAATTCGCTTACAACTCGAACAGGTGACCCGTTTAATTTTACATTAGGCCCGTGTCCGGACTCTTTCCTGCTTTAAATACCAACATTTCAGTATATGAGCATGTTGAAAATATATCGATGTATCGATATATCGATATTATTAGCCGATATATTTTGATTCGATATATCGATACATCGATACAAAATAACCAATATCGAAATTCGTATCAAAAACGATATTTTTTAATTATTAGCGGCATATCACGATCCAACTAAATTCGTATCTGGAAAAATCGTAACTGGATCTCAGATTGATGATATTCAACATATCTATGATCTGTGCTGTATTTAGTACTGTCTATGATTTGTAAATCTGTTTCGCTGGTGAATTGGTTGTGCTGAATTCCATTATATTCTGTGGAAGTGTGTGACTGTCTAGTCTTGTTTACGAAAGATGGCACCTGAGAGGTCCTGCAATCATTTTCATCATTCGAAAATAGGGTCTATTTTAGGTAGATAATTTTCGTTCCATTATTATTCCGCGTGTCATCTTTCGTGAGATACTGTACTGTCATGTAGTGTGGCGGCAATTTGGTACTTTGATAATTCTTTCTTCAATTATAATTTGTATTGTTATTATTAATGTGCTAGGCTTATCTAAATATATTTTTGGGAAAATTGGTCCGATATATCGATATATCGATGTTTTTTTCGCGATATATCGAAGCCGATATTGATATTTTTTAAAATATCGATGTATCGATATATCGATATTTTTTTCAACTTTCGATATCCCTATATGAGCATTGTATTTCAGGCCATGGGATATTATATAATTCTCACAGACCGAAAGTAGCTTCCCAAGGCCCTTAATGGAAGTACTCAGAAGTAATCAGCGTAACTGAGACTGTTAACACAGGTCCCACCCACGTAGGGTTACCATCCGTCCGGACTTTCTGCCGTTTGTCCGGCTTTTTTTAATTATAGGGAATATGAGTAACACAACTTATTAAGTTATATCAAATTAGTCAAATAATCTTTATTAAGTTCTAATTAATTTAAAACAAAATATAAATCATCTTTAAAAATCAACAATGAGACCCCCATCGAGCGATGCGAGCGTCTGCTACCACGCGTATAATATCACTGTAACTAAGTGGGTTATGTTTGAATTTTGTGACTAAAATTTCCGGACTTTTATCGAAATGTCCGGCTTTTTGTCAGGACTTTTCAAATAGTAACCCTACACCTACGTGACATCCAATTTTGATGCTCCTCAGCCGTCTCATTAAGTCTTTCATATACAAGTAGGAAAGATCCGGATGTTAGCCCGCCTTGACGTACACCGCATTCTACTCTAAGTATAACTATTGGAAGTCGCGTCGCCCCAGCAAACATAGTTTACATGATAAACGAGTGTCTCTGAGCGAGTATCTCTTATTTATTAGACAAGTCCGTCCGTCCGTCCGTCTGTGGTGCTGTTTCAGCGGCCAAACCGTAAGAGATAGATAAAGATAATGTTTAAGTTATAAGTTAAGAATAGTCTGATAATACTACAAACCGGATTTGAGTAACGTAGCACTTCCGGTTTTCGAGAAATCACTTCTTCAATCACACATACTTGAAAAAGTATTCATTTGACATTGTGGGTTACTTACAATGCGAAGAGATGGCGCTGCCTTGCAGCTTAAGGCTAGGAAAATTTCGACGCGGCTAATAGGGCCGTGGTAGCATAATGGTCAGTGCATTCGCCCGGATAGCGAAGGATGCGGGTTCGAGTCCCGTCCGCTGCCTGGTCCGCGTGCCTTTTTTTTTTCTAGTAAACTTTTCTTTAGATTTAAACATCTAGCAGTTAAATGCTTAAAAAATAAATAAAATCATAACTATAATTGCTATTTCTTCTTTCAAATGTTTAATACTTGAAAAAGTATTCATTTGACATTGTGGGTTACCTACAATGCGAAGAGATGGCGCTGCCTTGCAGCTTAAGGCTAGGAAAATTTCGACGCGGCTAAAAGGGCCGTGCGGGTTCGAGTCCCGTGCGCTGCCTGGTCCGCGTACATTTTTTTTAAACAGGTTTTGGTGAACATTTGGTTCACTGGTTTGCTAGTCATCTTTAATATAAAAATCAATTGCTGTTCGTAAGTCTCGCTAAAACTCGAGAACGGCTGAACGGATTTATTTTATCTTGGTCTTGAAATGTTCGTGGAGGTCTAGGGAAGGTTTAAAGGTCGAATTCTACACTAAAGCTCTACACCGAAGCGAAGCGAGGGCAGGCCACTAGTAAGATATAAAATTTCTATCTAAGAATAATATGTTCAGTGTTTTATTTATAAATTTCTGTACTTATACATATATTAGTAAAAATACAAGAGGGCCAATCAGTGTGGGGGGGCAACCATTAGTAAAGGTTCCCCTACCTGGAGTGACGGAGGCCTGCTTTAACTTAGTCTTTAATGCCATAGTACATGACATGAATCAAATTTTGATTTTAAGAGTACGGTTTTTAATCTAAGCATATGCAAAAATGATAATATTGCTGGCCCTATGTGTAGGTTGTTCTTATTTTATGATGGATTGGCAGCAAAAAATCCGTATAAGCGCGAGTCGGAGTTGCCCTCCGAGGGTTCCGTGCAAATTCATAGGTACGCAACATAAACTGCCGTATCTTTTTAACTGAGTTCTTTTCCTAGGCATTATAGTAATAGTACAGTCAATCTGTCGAAAAAAATATCGTTTCAGTGAAAAAAAAAACCTAAAGGGTGTCTTGTTTTTTCTGTTGCCAAATGACGTCAGTAAGCCACCTGGGCGATGGGCATGTTCAACTCGTAGGCGTTTTTTGAAAAACTCAAAAAAACCGTAAAAAAATTTTTGAAACACATTTTTCTTGTTTTGTATGCATTTTAGAGACTTTTTTTTCGAACATAATTGTAGAGGGCGTTGAGTACTACAATTTATGTCATTGTTGCAATCTCGTACAACAAAAAATGCGCAGGTATGAAAAATCCAATAGAGCGGTTTTGGGCAGTTCAAGTACACATTTGCAGTGCACATTTCAATGTACGTTTTACTATTTTTTATTTTTTTTCATGATTGAAAAAATGTGCACTGCAAATGTGTACTTGAACTGCCCAAAACCGCTCTATTGGATTTTTCATACCTGCGCAATTTATAACTTGAAAACGGTAAGTAATACAAAAAAATTGTTTATACAAAAGTTGTTGGTAATTATGTACGAAACAACTTTGCCATTTAAAGTTTTCCATTAAAATGATATTTTCAGGGTGAAAAAGTGAAATAACACTTTTTTGAGACTTCAGCGCCACCTACAATGCGCATTTTTTGTTGTACGAGATTGCAAAAATGACATAAATTGTAGTACTCAACGCCCTCTACAATTATGTTCGAAAAAAAAGTCTCTAAAATGCATACAAAACAAGAAAAATGCGTTTCAAAAAATTTTTTACGGTTTTTTTGTTTTTCAAAAACGCCTACGAGTTGAACATGCCTATCGCCAAGGTGGCTTACTGACGTCATTTGGCAATAGAAAGAACAAGACTTACCCTTTAGGTTTTTTTTTCATCACTCAACCTACAGATTGACTGTACTATAAAGAGGTAAAAGAAAAACCGTATAAAATTAAAACTTAATTAAAATAAACTGAAACGTAGTGATCAGGAAAAAGAAACGTAAGGTGAGTAATTATTAAAAGTCGTATGAAATATATGTCAAAGGAATTATCGTAAATGACTTCAAATACGCAACGCAGCATTCAACCGTTCCGTAGGGAGCCGACATAGAGAAAGGTAAATATACCAAAAGGGAGCCGACCACGCGTCTGAGCTGAGCCGCGCGGCATGGTACCTTGTAAACCAAAACAAAACCGCCTCCTCGTCTCGCCAGCGTCTTGTCTTGCGTGCATCAAGCGCGCGTGGATTTCCTTAGCAGAGTTATTTTAGAAATGTATTATACTGTCTAAGGGTGCGGTCAGAGTGCACTCAGATTCAGATTCCGAAAACAAGCGCGAGAAATAAACAGTGTAGTCGAAGGGTACGGCCAGAGTGCACTCCTGATTCAGATTCAGACTCAGAAAACAAAGCGCGAGAAAAAGCAGGCAACCTGATTAGACTACACTGTTTATTTCTCGCGCTTGTTTTCAGAATCTGAATCTGAATCTGAGTGCACTCTGGCCGCACCCTAAGATCTTATACTTACAATCATCAACAAATATATTTCGAAAAAGATTATTACAGGATTTTATGTTGATAAAAAACTCTATGGCCCATAACTCATTAATAGGTACCAACTCTTAACATCTTACACACGTGATAACTTTTAAACGAAATATCCGATTGAGATGAAACAAACAGTATTTTACTTCTACATAAATACTCTTGATAACATAGTGCTTAATTTCGATAAAGATTTAATATTACGATACATATTTAACGTAGTTTTTTTTTCTTCAGACGATTTAATAATTATTTTGAACACAAAATCGGTTATTGTGATTAAACCATGATAGCTAGATATATGTTCTCGGGGACTTTTTTGTAGGTCTTAATGAGATCTTCAAACCCGTAGTACATCAATTTGTTCTATTGTCAATAGTTTTTGCAGCGCACGCAAAAATAGGTTTTCGATTTTACACCTTGTGTTACAAAATAGCAATTTTATTACGGATCCCTAATTTTGAAAAAAAATATATAGCCTATAGCCTTCCTCAATAAATGGATTACCCAACAATGAAAGAATCATCAGTAGCAGTGTATATATTCTGTGCCAGTAGTTCCAGAGATTAGCGCGTTCAAACAAACAAACAAACTCTGCAGCTTTATAATATTAGTATAGATATTAATTTAGACATTGTATATACAGGAAGCTATAGCAATAAACGTATATCGAATAAATATCATAATTTTCAACAAGGATCCCTGTGATGTTTATAAATAAAATAAACCATCAATTGATTTGAAATCAAATACAATTCATTAATGAAGAGGACCCTATTACCCTATCACTGTCGGTGCAGTGATAAAACTCTGTTATGTAAACAAATTAGTTATTATGTAATTACAATATTTGTATACCAAACAAAATTATAATATCCTCATTCTCGGATATATATTTGACTGGAATAAAAAGAAAAGTGATGATTGCAACCAAACATTACCACAAATATACAATATATATTTTTATCGGCCACATGACAGCACAAATCAGCCAGATTTAGGCTTTCCTAATTTAGTTTTTAATACCATAGGACATGACAAGAATCAAATGTTGATTTGTACGTACGTACGTACGTACGAGTACGGCATCTAAGTATATGCTAAAATGTTAATATTACTAACGCACGCCCGTGACTTCGTCTGCGTTATTTTTAATTTTTTGAGAATCTCACAGGTAACCAACATTTTTTCGGGATAAAAAGTATTCTTTCTTAATCGAGGTCGTAAACTACTTAAATGCGTACCAAAATTCATCTAAATGCGTTCAGTAGTTTTTGCGTGATTGAGTAACAGACATACAAACACACAAACAAAAACTTTCACATTTAAATATTAGTAGGATTCGTATTTTTTTTTATGAATCTGCTATGGAAAATGTTAGACCCGTTTAATCAGGTTCATACCGAGCTTGGGTAATAATAATATAATGTGAAGTTATCACAACTGTACTCTTAATAAAGTAACGACCTATTGACATTTTACTATCATCAACTTTGAGGGTAGTCTGGCTAGTTTTGTAATAGCCGTCGGTCACTAACGCTGTTGACAAATTAGTGAAAATGGATGTGGACATTTTCATTTTTATTTTCACCGTTTTAAATCTAAATATAGTGAACATATACGGTACGCCCAATGATCAATATTTTTGTGCTTGTGTGCTTATAACCTCTTCGTGTTATCAGTATATTTGTGTCCAGGGTACAGAGTTTTCGACAGGGATGGAGTGGTCACAATATTGGCATTCGAAAATGAAAAAGTTAACATACAGTGTCAAACGGATATGCCCATGACGTATTGTGGATTTATACACCCCAGTGGCAAGAGATATTCGTAAGTATTTATAGCATGGTAAAACAGTACTTCCAGGACCCAAGAGGTGATACTCGAACCTTTTATGTATGGTCACAACACTAACCTAACCTAGTGTGAAGTATCACCACTTGGGCCCTGGACGTACAGTTTAGCCATTAAAAGTATAATTCTTTCGCAATTTTTACATAGGTACAACTTTTTGGTGGTGAATAAAAACTGTGTTGAGTTTTGCAACTAGTTCCATACTAAGTTACGGGATTGATATTAGTTAGACTAGAGTTCCCCTGCGTTTTCACCCGCGTTAATTTGCGGAAAAAGGTTATCAGTAAGAGTCAAACTTAAAAGATGGCCAATATGCGGTCGCGGACTTTTTATAGAACTTAAAGGGGAACTATTCCGTCATACATGATTTTTATGTAACTTTAACTAATTACGCGTAACGTACGTATGAATGGAAGCTCTGAAATGCAATATATTTTCCCGTTCTTGCAACATTTTTCATCGATGCTCCGCTCGTACTGACCGTTGCGTGATGTACTTATAGCCTTCCTAAATAAATGCACTATCCAACATATTTTTTTTTTCAAATCGGACCAGGTTCCTAGGTTTAGAGCGTTCAAACAAACACACAAATTCTTCAGCTTTTTAATATTTGTATAGATAGGAAGATCTTCATATCTCTAGGATAGGATGCCAGTTATTATCATTCACTATTTTTTTTATTCGAAAGAGTACACTTCCGAGGTGGTCCCATTGGAACCAAGTCAGCATCTAATGGTGGAATCCGGGGAAACCGAGGGAAACCTTCAAATTTCACGATATTTTTTTGCATGTGCACCCATTGTAAAATTGTCAATTGTGTTCTTGTTTACTTCGAAGATAATGAAGATAATTGTAAATGAAATATGTATATGTACATACATGTATATATTGTACACACACACATACATATATATATATATATATGGAGCTTAAGAATTTTCACTTCAGTCGTGTGGTCATAATAATAATAATAAATATAATAATAATATTTTATTTCAGATACTAGATCCATAGAAATGTTAGTAACAATCAAACCTTAAAAACTATGTTAGTACATTAAGTTATTTCATATATATACCTTCTGAGGCACCGGTCACATGAACATGTGTATGAACCCAGTGCCTCAGAATGGCACACTCCGGGTTTTTTGCGATAACATCGAGAATACAATTGGCGCTCCCACGAACCCTGTGCATCAACGATGCAATTCTCTTGCGCATCACTGAAGGGAAGTCGTCTAAGTGGGCATCTGCGAACATACCCGATGCACTACAATAGCGTTGGAGCCCCAACAACATCCTCAATCCATTATTATATTGGACACGGATAGCGTTGTATGTCCGCTGCGTATATCTGACCCACAGGGCGCACGTGTACAGAGACTGGCAGTAGGCCTTGAACAAGGTAATTTTAACATCTGCAGTACAGCGAGCGAACATAAGTATATTTTAATCACAAGAATCTATAGGCTACTGTGTCCGCTCACTATCAGGTGGGCCATAAGCTTGTTTGCCATCTCTTAAACATAAAACAAATTAGAAAGAAACAGCCGTTAATATAAATGTGAACAGGTTTTCAGGGCAGGGTCTTAATAACGGGCATTGCGCCGTTAGCGTCAAGGCGACCAAGCAGGACAGCGGGCAATGGAGCTGCCACGTCGGCCGGGAGTCCGTGGGTGTGGATATCATGCAGACTATACATCTGCGAGTCGTCAACCAGGTAATTAAATGATTGGCTGGAGTGATCGAAAATTATGATTCTGACTCCATAACCCCGAACTTCATCATGACCAGCATATTAACGTCCCCATTGCTGGGGCATATGCCTACCCTATGGATGGAATAGGAAGACTGGGCAGTGAAGTGACACACCACGCGGGCACAGTACAGATTGATGAGTGCTAACGACTGCAGATGCAGCCGGAACCAATGGCTTAACGTGCCCTCCAAAGCATGGAGGAGCTCGAGATAATAAGTTTTTGGTCACCCATAATGACTGACTATTGAGAAAGTTACAAGTTGAGCCGACCACTTCCGCCACCAAGCTAACATAAAAAACCCTACAATAGCGAGTAGGACACTTCCACCGAGGGTTATGTACTAGGGTCGCAACATAAACAGCCTTAACTTTTTCCCCATTAATTTAGAAATTTGATTTTTTCGCGCTTCAACAAGTCGACACCTCCACCCGTTCCCGAGAAAAAGGATCTTGACACACAGATAGACAGACGCAGACGAACAACAAAGTGATCCTATAAGGGTTCTGTTTTTCCTTTTGTGGTACGGAACTCTAAAAAAATGTCAAGATGCTGCAGAGCTCCGTGAAAAGATGCGAAAAATATACTTTTATTACGTAAAGTGTCGTTTTTTCGACAGATAACTAATTATTGTTTGTTAATTTACCGCATTTGAAGCAAATTTTGTTCTAATATAAGCTGATTTCATAGAAAATATTTGTAATATTCAAATGCATGGTTGTCGTTTATATTGCAGTCTTTTTTCCTCACGATCCGTACCTGTTATATTGCTAACAGCGCATTCAGAATTGCGCGTAGAGACAAAGAAATAAGGTCTGTATTCTTCCGCAAATAGCATTAATTCTTAAAATTTACGAGCTTGCATTTCGCACTGTCATAACTCTTTGACACATGCGTTTTAATTATGACCTTATACAGACCGTATTAAAGGTGACTTTCAATGTTTAAATAATGCCTTATATTGTTTTTGAGTACGCGATCATCTTACGGAGCTCCGTGGATCGTCCCATGTACCTTTTGGACTTCGACACGAATTTGTTCGTGTTGTTGTATCTAGGGTATTTAATATCGTTGGTTCAAACAGCAAAAAATTTCTTTCATTTTGCAAGGTGGCAGCGATCCAGCCCAACGTGACAGCAGTCCACGGGAAGCCGGTAACCCTCGAGTGCGCGACCGTTAAGGGGATGATCTCATTGAAGTACTGCCGTTTCGAGCCGCCCAACGACAGCCCATTCAGTTTGAGCTCGTCTGTTACAGCAGACAAGTATGTACCAAAATATCATTTAACTTGGATTTGATAAAAAAAGCATCGTCCTAAAACAGTTTTAAAGTTAAAAAAAAATTTCGCCTGCTCATACTTAGTAGGTACTTTTAGAAGAGAGTAGTTTTAATGTAAGCTTTTAACTTTACAGAAAATCACAGTTAAATAATGCTACTTACTTTTGGTATGTTTATTTGAGTGAGTAGGTAAGGTTTTAATTTCCTGGGCCAGCAAGCAGGGTAAGGATGGCTGAAGCGGCACTCGTTTATACCGCTTTAGCTATCTTCACGATTGGACTTCACTTACACTTAACATTAGTTCATCTTGCTGGTTCGTCGCAGTAGATATGTACTACGGTTTAGGAGGCAACTGGCCACTGGTCCACGGCCTACATTACATGGAGAAGGAACATTAGTGGAAAAGTTGTCCGAAAGCCTGGGCGGGCCAGAATACCATGGGGAAAAAATATAGCAGTCAAACCGACCCATTGGGATTTTATTTAATTAAATTTAAAAACAAGGTGCGCAATAAACTATAGTAAAAAATATAGTCTTTTATTTATACAGATGTTCGTAGTATATGATTACTGTTTTAAGTTATTTGCGTCCAACCGTCCAATCTTCAGTCATAGAGCTACCAGTAATGCCATGAAATATAAATTGAACATTGCTAAGTTGAATGTGTACCCCAAACACTAACAACTAAAGAGAAAGTATTCGCATCGCCATCATAGTGTATGAAAATTAATGCAGCGCCCCTACCGGATGCAAGAACAACTACTTAGAGAAGAGGGGCAACAAAGGAGTGGAGGCCCCAAACAAGGGCGATTTGCACCCCTCTAGTTGGCGACCCGTCCGAAATATGGTCATGTTTTATCCCTGTTGTGGGGCACCCTCTCATGTGGGCCAAAGCCCATCCGGCCCTGCTTGTCATAGACTCGCCACTAATATTATCAAAATCCTTGTTCAGCCCGATCCTCGGGAAGTACTACTTTCCCCAAAACAAGAGCATCGACCGCGGCGACTGCGCGGTCACCATCCGCAAGGTTAGGTACGAGGACGTGGGGCTGTGGACCTGCGGCGCCGGTCTCGACGACGGCAAGGAGCACATCGATAACATCATGCTTGAAGTCGAAGGTTGGTATAGTTATATATTGCGATACAAACTTTAAGGCGGCTGTGAAGGCAGAGAAGTATTGCTTTCCCCAAAATAAGAGCATCGATCACGGCGACTGCGCGATCACTACCGACCTGCGGCGCCGGCCTCGACGACGGCAAGGAACACATCGACAATATTATCATGCTTAAGTAAGTGCGCGGTCAAAATGTAATGGTGGCAAGTAAAGCGCGGTGCCCAATGACTTATGGGAGACAGTTGCCGTTGCACCCGTGTGCAAAGCACACAATACACTACACTATAGGAAAAGCCGCTTCAGCCGGCCTAATAACTAGCTTTTTTAAATATTTACAGCGTATAACTAAAGGGAAAATTGCATATCCATCGATGCTTTTTCAGGATAAGTATCTTAGCGACGTTATAATAATTTAGAAGTGGATCACTAAATAGCTTGGTGATTATCACTTCCATCTGTCAAAAGAACTTAGCGAATAGGCCTGGGGGTTGGAAGGCAGAAACAGCTTTACCTGTTAGGTCCGGATGAATCTATACTAAGTATTTAAGGAAGCCCTGAAAGTCACTTAAGATTGAGGAGCTCGATAGCGCAGTGCATTAGCGTGTTCTTAGAAGTTAAGTCTCTTTTGCAATGGCTGGCCGTTGGATGGTGTTCAATAAATATTATATTATCACCTCCTCCGCGCTATGGAAGGCACATTAAGCCGTTGGTTCCGGCTGCATCTGCAGTTGTAAACACAGCCGCAGCGATACTCAGCGTGCTCGCATAGTGGTGTGGAAGCGTGGTGGGCCATGCATGACCCAATCTCCCGTTCCTATCCGTACTGTACCCCAGCAGTAGAGACATTCATAGGCTGATGATGATTGAATAGTTTAGATAAAAGTATTTCAAACGTTCCACTCAGGTCTATACACAATGTCGACAGCATCAGCTACGGGCATCACATTCGGTGCCATCGTAGCCGCAGCGATACTTAGCGTGCTCGGTATAGTGGTGTGGAAGAAGAGACGGTTTCTAGGCTCGGCCCGACAGGAGGAGCCGGCCGTAATAGAAATACAGGAACTGGGACCGCGCCGGATGAGCCCTAGGCTCTCCCCGCAGACGACCCGTCATGTTCCCATTGTGACTGTGCAGTCTCCCTCTGACGCCAGTGCCATCTCAGAAGCATTATAAGAATTCTGACATTTTACTAGTAAGCCCTATGCAGTTGTTTAATGTTGAAGTCTTCGAAAAATGATGAAGGTATTTAAAAATTAATGAATCTCAGAATAGATTTCTTGTGAGATTATATTTACTGTATTATAGGTACCTACTCAGTAAGATTAAATAAAACTTTTCTGCGAGATTTTGGCTTGACGTGCTTAGACGCAGACTGTATTAGTCACATAAAATTTTTGTAGTCTGTTACATCTTTGATAGACACAAAGAAAAATTGTGTAATTTATATTTTTACCAATATTTTAAATTTTTGTTACGATGTAATTTGTAAATTAATAATCCAAATTGAGAGTCCAGAATTTTTTCTCGGGTCTGCGCTCAGGATACGGCGTGTAGATGTGAACGTGTGCGTGGTTTCTGAATAACTTTTTAACACTTTTTCTAGTTTGAATTTTCCATCATCAATTTCAATGTTGAGTATCTAGGTAGAAACTACTTGTACCTACATAATGAGGGCTATCGCGTCTGAAACTGCCGCTAGAGGCGCTTGTGTTGCGTGAGGTCTCCGAAATGTCAAATGTTATAGCTTGCGGGTTGACTACGCGGTTTTTTTCTAATTAAAATAATAGTGGTGAATATTTGGTAATAAATCAGACTTATTATGGCAAATATGAGTTACGTGTCAATGATTGTCAGTTATTTAAAAGCGGAGCTAAGAAAAAATCTTGTCCTTCTTTTTTCCGAACAAAACGGGACTGCGCAACACTGTGGCATGGGCGATTATGTTTAAGATACGATTCTTTTGTATTAAAATGTAAACTTTGATATCACGAGCGTGTTTACTAACTTTAAAAGTTACACTTCAGGACCTCACTCAACAGTGGCGCCATCTGGTGAGACAAAAAACGATAGCCCTCATTGTTTGAATTTTGTACTCCACAAACGCAGAAAAACGTGTCCGCTTGTGGAGAAAACCTCACATGTCTGCAGATGTTTTAAGATTTAAAATATTTAAATGATACTTGTATATGTACGTAAATAGATGAATGAGTTGTTTGTGATAATATTTAGCAACACATAATTGACAAGGATAACCAAATGGCTTCAATTACTTAATCCTGGTACCTACTTTAAGTGCATTATGTAAAGTTGAATTTTGTCAAATACACTTTTTTTTTTATCACAACCATATCTGTATGAATGATTTACATGAAACTGGTAATAAAACTATATAGTAAAAAAATACAGATGCGGGAGCTCAAACTGCCAGTACCAGTTAAATTGTACTCCTGCGATTTTTCTTCTATTGGTGATAAACATATATAGTAATAATATTTATAATAATATTTCCAACACTCACACCAATTAGCCTAGCCCCAAAGTAAGCACTGTAAGGCTTGTGTTATGGGATACTAGGATAACGGATAGAATACATATACAATACATATATAAGTATATTATTATAGAAATACATATTAAACATCCATGACTGGAGTACAAATGCTCGTATTCATCACACAAACATCTGCCCCCACCGGGATTCGAACCCGGGACCTCTCGAGTCGGCGACACCATGAAACCCGGCGTACAAACCACTCGGCCATGGAGGTCGTCAAAATATCAACGTCAGCCATAAAGTTATTCTTGTCAATATGTAGGAGCTTTTAATATTTTTTGTTAGATCATTTAAATAAATAGATTTTTCATTTGCTTGTCATAAAGGAAGACAACAAGAGCCGAGTAAATGCAAATATTGTTTTTAGATTTTTATGTGTATGTTCTTTATTATTTAAATTTGTGATAATTCTTTGTTTCTTCTTTTTTCTACTATAAATCTTTACTTGTTTGTCAGTCTGTCTAGAATGTGATTACTCATTATTATGTAGATGTTATTTTTATCAATCCATTATTATTGACATTTCCATTACATTTTGTTAGTGTTGTCATTACATTTTATTTATTGTTAATAAACATTAATTATTCTTTTAACTTTTTTCTTTTTGGATCTTGTTTGAGATCAAGAAGTAGTTATAGGGATTTCTTCATGGGCTATAAAATGATATTTTAGGAAAAAATATTATATGATTCAAAAGATCGAACCTTTCAATAAGTCAATTTGGGTAAAGTAATTTCATTTGTTCATTCAATTTCTTAATAACAGAGACTCATCTCTTTGCAGGCGCTTATAACTTATCTTTAGTGTTTGTCATTAAAGAATTGGTATTGAAAATATTGTCATTGTATAATGCGAGTCAAATAAGAATAGGAAAGCCAATGACCTCCACCTGTCAAATGTAGCTTGAAAAGTACGGTTTGCAAAAAAATCTCGGAACACTTTTTTAGCACTCAGCTGATTCTAGAATAAATTCAAACATTTTTAAACAAACAATAACAAATGTTGATAAATATTATTAGTCTTTTTTTTTCATTTATTGAGCTTTGGGTATGAATGGTTGATAACCTAAATCGTCAACCAAATTTCACTTTATGGTGTGTTCAAAAACTCGATTTAAAACTTTCGTTTACATATAGGATGCATGTTCGTGCCGGAGAAGTTATGAATAATCATGCAAGTCACATTGCATGATTATTCATAACTTCTCCGGCAGTAATGATTATTATTATTTTTTACACAGTCTTAATAAAGAAATACTATTAAAAATCGGTTGTGTTCTTTCTCAACCTTAGTAAATTAACTTTTTTAGAAAATCTGATGTTTTGTCTCACTTAATCTTATTAAATAAGTTTTAGTAACATTTTTTTACTCACTCTACCTATTTGGTTTGAAATGACAGCTATGATGTCAAAATATGGCGCCTAGTCGGTCCTATTCTTAGTTGAATCGCATTATAGTGGAAGAATTTTTAAGTACTTACAATTTTATTTGTCTATGAATTAAAAATTTACATGAATTTTGTTAACAAAATTTTCTGTACATTTTTATGTTATACATAATTTTTTTCATTATTAATTCATAATGGCACTGAGAATCTAGAATATAAAATTAAAACAAGAAACAGAAGTTGGGTCTTTTTAGTTATTTAATTCTAGCACTATGAGGACAATTGTCTTTGTTCTTATAGTTTTTTTTGAGTAGTTAATAAACAGTTTCATTGCAACAGTTTATTAAACATTAAAGTTTATAATCGCACTAATATTATAAAGGCGAAAGTTTGTGAGTGTGTATGTTTGTTACTTCTTCACGTCTAAACGGCTGAAGCGATTTTAATAAAATTTGGTATGGAGTTAGCTGGCACCCTGGATTAACACATAGGCTACGTTTTACTGCGGGAAAATATCCCTAATAAACCGCGGGTAACACCGCGGGGCACTGCTAGTACAAAATAAGTGTAGCTTTTGATTAGCTCATAGAAACCACTCAATGGTTTTTCACTTGTTAAACCTTTAATACAAAACTATATTTACAAGAAATTAGTATTTACAACTTTTACAATACCCATCAATAACTAGGGTGATTAAGCATTACTGCTAGCCTCTCCATATTCACAGCATACACTGAATGACATGCTATTATATTCCTGTGTGTCATCAAAGTGTTGTAGAACTCATCAATTGTCAATTTGTCATCATTTGGCTCTGTAACGGGTACACTGTGAAATGAATAATATGATGAAATAACAGTATTTTACAAGAATAAAAAGTAATAGTGTAGGTTCCACAAAAAAAAATGTTATTACCTGCATGCAATCTCAAAAGCAGCAGATTGTTCTACTTCATCAATTGTGGGGGGACATCTTGGCGCTAATGCATCAGGACCATCATCAACATTCACTCTTCCTTCTTCTTGAGGATCATACAGTTTACTCGTGTTGCGCAGCCACATATTAGGCATGTCACCTCCAACATCATACACAAAGTGATTACTACGGGTCTTGTAACCTTTGCGTTGGGTGACAATTGCTGTGATTATGTTCTTGAGGAAATTTTGTACAGCAACTACTATTATATCTGCAGCATCATCATCTGCTCCTTCTAGACCTAATTCCCAAGCAGCCAACATAAAACGGCCTACTACTAGGGCATGGTCTGGTAAGAATATTTCCTAGAATCAAAGTTTTATAATGTTGAAATTTTATAGTTGAAATAAACTTAGCAAATAAACTTATCTATACTATACCTGTGAAGCATATTTAACACCATCACTGCCAGCACCGGGGGGTGAATTGGGAGGCAAAAATTCTATTAAATCAACTGGTTCAAAGTTTGATCTCTCTGATGTTCGCGACGTTCGTTTATGCCTTCGACTGTTCCTTTGGTGGGAACTAGCTTTCTCTTGTGCGATAGTTATGGAAGTTTCTGCTAAGCCTTCGACTTTATTTAACAGGGCGAGCAAAAATTCGTTGTGATAATGAACTTGGTCTGGATTGAGCATGGCACGCGCTTCTGCGTCAAACTCTTCTTTGGTCAGCTTCATTCGAAACCATTGTTTCATGTGGGTAAAGTACTTGGTTGATTTCTCTGCAAGTGCTTCATTTAACTTTCGTCTAGCAACGTTGAGAACTTCTGATGACATTTTATGATGGACTTTTTTTACTAAATGGTTCAACCGGTGTATGTGCTCTCGTAGATTATAAACACTTTAATTTCATAGAATACAACAAAACATAGACATTTAATAAACTGATTATTAATAAATTAGTTTAAAAATTTTAGTACCACACTAACCACACAAAAAACAAACAATAGTATATTTTTTTAACGGTCTCCTTTTTCAGGCAAGGCAAAGGAAACAATGCCCATACAGCCTAGTCTCCAGTTTCCTTTTTTTTTACATTAGAATGTTGGTGGGGCGCATTCATGTGTTTCTTGGAGTGTTTGGGTGCGGCCAGAGTGCACTCAGAACAGTAAACAGTGTAGTTAAAGCAGGGTGGCCATAGTGGCAGCAGGCAACCTGCATAAACTACACTGTATATTTCTCGCGCTTGTTTTCTGAGTCTGAATCTGAATCTGAATCTGAGTGCACTCTGGCCGTACCCTAAGCAGGTTGCCTGCTTTTTCTCGCGCTTTGTTTTCTGAGTCTGAATTTGAATCTGAATCAGGAGTGCAATCTGGCCGTACCCTTCGACTACACTGTTTATTTCTCGCGCTTGTTTTCGAAATCTGAATCTGAGTCTGAATCTGAGTACACTCTGGCCGCACCCTTCGGGATGAAAGTTTCAATATACTTTTTAAGATTCTTCCTTTACAGGGAAAGCAAAGGGAACAATGCCCATACAGCCTAGTCTCAAGTCTTGTAAATCTTTTTTTCAATTAAAATGTCATTGTGACGCATTCTTATGTTTCGTAGAGTGTTTGGCACGAAATTTATCGAGTTGGCTTTTTCGACAAGCTCCTGTGAGTTAGACAACAATAAAGTACCAAACAAACCGAGTAGCACCAAAATTTGGCTGTAAGTTCTACTTACCCTCTACTTCAAAGTTGTCAATGTGCCGGGGGTTACTTATACCCTGGGGGTGGACGGACTCTTTTCGGAGATTAAAAATATTTTATTAAAAATAAGAATGGGAATGGCTAGACTGTTTTAACTATTGCTCTATAAAGTTTTTTCTTATTGACTAGCTACAGTAACCCACAATCTCCAAGTCTCATTCCCACCGCTCCAGAATCTGAAATACATACCCCACTCATGCCAATATTACAAATAGTATTTTCATCTAACACGCAATGCAATTTTAATAACCTTCAATTTCATCCTTGCCCCGTTTAGAAACCATTTTTATTTCAAAATTTAGATATGGTATGCTAAAGATATTATAATCTTATATACCTTTAAATAAGATATCTTATAACACAAGTGAATATTACATTTTCTGCAATAAGTACTATTGCATGTAATATCTGCATGTTTGGTAATTAGTGTGCTCTGATCAAGGATCAAAGCAACAGTAACATCCGTTACTGTTTTACCGTTTACCGTTACCAGTAGCTGAAAGACTCAATGCCATCCGGCATTTCAGCTGCTGGTTTTTTTACCAACACATGTCGCTATCTGCCTATTTCTTTTGATTTGAAACCTCATATAATTACCTACCTTCTATTTGAATTGCTTGAGCCCATCTCATCTTCTTCATGCAGGATTGCAAAAAAGGTCAAGCTAGCACTCGTTGCACAAAATGTAATGTTCACAAATGTGACGTATCTATGAGGAATTGAATTGTTTTTTAGCATACCTACCATACAACTTTTTTTTTACTTAAAATAGGCTAGTTTACTCATGTCGAATTGTATTAAATAAATGTTTATTTCTTAAAGTATTTGGTCTAAGGAACCTAAATATATCGATTTCACTTCATAAAAGCAGAAGATTGCTGTAGAAATTTAATTTTAAAAAATATTTTTTAGTCTATATTTTTTAAACACTAAAAACGCTGTTCGCCACATCCGGCATGATTTTGACGTCTCTTGTGGTAAACAATTAAATGTCATTCACGTGTTACTGTAGGTGGATTCTTTCGTCTGACTAAATTTATCTTAAAACACTTTTAACTTTAGGAAAGAAAAAAACAGTAAACTTAGTTTTTTTTGACAAAACTAATTATGGATGCCGGTTTTGTGAAAGCAGAAAGCACAAATCTGCCAAGAATTGACGCATTGATGGTTGGTGAATTTGTTGCACTAAACCCCGATTTCTGCTCTGCGGAGCAGAGAAACGACAAGGCATCTATGTAAGTACAGTGCATTTAGTATTACAGTGGTCTCGATTCTGGCGTGATTCTCTAAACTTAAAACTAAATTTAACGTCAGTCTCTCCTTTTCATTCTGTATCGAGATTGACAAGGATACACTGTTGTCAAATTTAAGTTTAGGTTTAGAGAATCATGCCAGAATCGACACCAGTGTAGTAATAAACATAAAACTGATACAACATATGAATAAGTGTAATAAAGTTGCGTAGGTTAATTTCTTTCGGCACTTTAATCCACAACTTTCCTGGAGTCTTCAAGGATGTGTTTTTATATTCTCGTACAATACAGTAATGATAATTACTTTATTTTTCGTGGTATTTATTAGAAATCATGTTTTTTTTATTATAAACTCAGTTTTAAGTAATTTTCTACGTGTTTACGAGTTTTTGTTTACCAGAGTTCACGTCATAGCATAGATAATCTATAGACTAAAATGGCCGACAGCGTTTTTGTATGTCCATGAAAAGTCTATTTTAAAATTAAAGATTTATAGCTTTCTAGGTTTAAAAAAAATACAACACATTTTTTTTCGGTCTAATAGAACATTTATTAACCATTTAAAACCTTTTTCCAAAAAGGGTCAACTAGCCTATTGTTTTTAAGCTCTTTTTTTATATTGGTTTCTTATTAGTACTTTCACCAACGATATAAAACGTACCTACATACTAAAATATAACATAAATACATATTTATTTTAATTTATATTTGTAAATAAATGTAAGTCCAAGTGTGATTTTGTATATCATACTATACATCGTTAACTTTATACTTTTGTTAGTGTTGGTGGCAATGTATTTTATAATATACATAAAATATTTCGAAACCTAAATAATCTATATTTTTTTTCCTAGTCTTTATGGTGGTACTATAATCGAACTATATTATTATTTATCTGTTTCCCGAACATTGCATATCTTGCGACCTTAAGGGCTAAGACAGAAACAGGCTTATGAAACGCGACGAGTCTTTTCTTAGGTGCATCGCGTCGCATCGGAATTGGATCCTAATGTGACTCTGATAATAGAAAATAGTACAAGTTTTACATAATAATAAAACTTGTATTATGGAGCAGACGTTGCACAGCATATGTCAGAGTGAGTGCGTCGACTTCCGGTCTTTTAATTTTACTTACCGCCATTGTCGTTGCTATGGTAACTTCCTTTAAATTAAGACTTTAAAAGACTTACATCCGTTTGGCGCCATTTGAGTCACCTTAAAAGGAGTTGTTGGTGCGCAGTGTTCTCATAGAAGTCTCTCACCAGGAGGCCTTAATTGGATGCTGTGCATTGTCTCTACTCCATAATACAAGTTTTATTATTATTTAAAACTTGTACTATTATCGGCATGTGACGATGCACAGCATCTGTGAGAGACGTGTTTATTAGCTCCTGGTGACTATGTATGATGATGACGCTATGTGATGATTACCAATCTGGTTTATATAAAATATACCTGTAACATGTCTGGTACATATATGTTAAATGCATATTTTATACATAACATAATAAATACAAATATCAGTATTTAATGTTTTATTTAATTGTTTTAAGGCACATGATCATATTTCAAGTAATTATTTGCGTGTAATCAATAATAATGTGACAAAATTAGCCTTACAGATCTAAGATTAATTTATTTAGAGAAAAGAAAAGTAATATTACGTGTATGACATTTCCTATTAGATCTGACAAATATTTTCATTGAATTGGTTCGAAGTTTTTAACCAAGGCATTACTTGTATTAGCCAAATCAGGTTTGCTTTTAATTTGTCTAAAATAAAATTTTGCAAAACTATTTTCACTTCGCCAATTACCCCGTGAAAGAATATCATTAACTTGTCCTTAAAGAGTTCAGAGGTAAACTTTAGCAATGTCAAATCATGGTCTCTTCTACCAGATGCCAAAAGCAATATACAAGCTAGTCTACGGGAAGCTTCAAACAGGTTCAGCCTGACAGGTGAATTAGAACTTAACCATGAAATTAAATCAGATGGATTCCAAATAGGAGCCTTTTCTTTTACAGGCTGTTGCAAGGAAATTGCTTTGAGCATATGTTTGAGCAGAATTGAGATCCTCTCTGGGAAGGCCTAGAGTTAAAATAACAGATTTATGCAACAGTATAGTGGAGTATGACATTTTTTTCTGTAAGTGCAAATAAGCCAAATATTTTGAAAGAGAACTGCTATTAGGATGTTTATAATCAAAAACGTTGTCCTTACACCATTGAGTCCAACAAAGCCAGGCTGGTCTATATGTTTTTAGAGTAGATTCCCGCTTTGCTTGAGTAGTGACTTCTCAGTTTCAGTCAAATCCTTTATTGCATCGGCCCACCCCCACCTTTCACAGGCCTTGAGGTGAATGGGAGACGCATCCCTGATATCATTTTCAGAATAGCCTTCGGAGCCTGATGCGCCTGCCACTGCCTCCGATACGCTCGGAGACAGCCCCCGTAAAAATGTCGGTTTAATGTTTGGTAGTCATTTGAATTTTTTTCTTATCACTGGAAGATCCTTCTTTTCGATTAAATTTTGTAAATTTCGAGACATTAACCGTTTCAGCGGCTGTAGAGGAAGGTTCTGCCTTCGCGATTCCTTGTTTTTGATCAGCTCGAAAGGACTTATTGCCACGGTCACGTGATGGTCTCGCCTTGGGCTGCCTTTGGACGACTCGCTTGAGTTCGTTGTCACTCCAGTGTCGGATCCACTTATGGATTCCCCCGGTGCTTTGAAAACTCTGCTTTGCAATCGTATAGATTGCAAAGCCGAGTTTTCGAATAAAAATTCCGAACTGGGAGGGATTCTTCGTAAGCCCTCACGTAAATATTTGTTAGGTATTTCCGCCAAGATACGCTCTCAACGTACTTCAATACATTCGGCACGTTTGTCACAAACTATTTGCACTATATCTTCACTTATTTTATGAAATTTAGACTGAGCATTAAACAGGTCCGATATTTTGTCAAACACGCTTGAAGGATTAAGCTCAGTGTTGGGCGCGGCTGCCCAGTTGACAAACTCCTGTAGTTGTTGTTTAAGGCACTCCTGTTGAGAAAGCAATCCGTTTGTAATAGCTGCCAAAGATCGCTCAACGGGGACCGCAAGATCCTTGCCTTTTATATATTGACGCAATTCGTCATTAATACGAAGTTCGACAAAACCCGGTTGAGCACTGTAGGTTTTTAAGGCATCTGAATACCGAACCTCTTTCCAATTAATATCGTTAAATTTTTGCAATTGCTCTAGTTTTTTAAGTCTAGTGGTGTTAGCGCTGAGTATCTTTGGTTCTTTCACCGAAGTACTCATTACTCCAATATTTAATTCAAGGTTATTTTCTGTGATAGTAGCGGGGCGTTGTAAGAACGACTGTTTTAAAGTGTGATCAGAAGACAGATCGTAACTTTTGGATGGAGGTATGTTATTCGAATTATTCATTAAAAGATTTGGTAGCACACTCATTTGATTTAAAAGCATACTGTAATTATCAATATCCGACGTAACATGTCTCTGTCGTCCTTTTACCTCCGATTCGGAAGAAAGCTCCGAACTCGCACGCCGCTTTCCGCCTGCCTGCTGCCGGACGGAACTACCCTCGTTCGAAGCGCGGTCGGCACATTCATCACCAACCACCATCATGTACACTTCATTATCACTTGAATTACATTCACTCATTTTTTATTTTAACTATTAACTTCAACAATATACAATTCAAACATTTTTTCTAAAAAGAGTAAACTTTCGAATCAATGACGAGCAGATTTTCTGCTGAAGATGTTGCTAGTACGAAAGTTGACGACGCTATGAGAACACTGCTTGCAGTACTTCTTCACGCGCTTCGCAGGCGCCGAAGGCGCCGCGGTGTGCGGGGAATCCGGTATTGGAGATTGTCCACATCGGAGGTTGCGGGGTCGCACTCTGCCCATGCAGAGTGGTCGTTGGGGTCCGTTTCCCCCCTCTCTACGTCTTCACGCACCGCGCTCGGCGCGGTCAAGCCCACCGGGTGAGACCCATGGGGGAGGCCCAGTGAGCGACCAGCGAGCAGCGGTGGACTTAGCGTGAGGGGGGATTAGGGCCAGTCTGGTTTGGGTAGTCGCAATCGTGTGTCGTTTTAGGAGAGTCAGTTCGGGAGGGTGGTCTTGTCAGGTAGGGCCCGCCCGCAGGAGTGCGGGCGGGGCTGGTGTCAGTCCCGTGGTGGTGCCTCGAACGCTCGCGGTGATCGCGGGCGGGAACTCGGTGGTGTCTCATCAGGTGAGGCCAGGAGCTTTCTGGGAAGCGGTCTGTCGCGGCGGGTTCGGGAGCGGACGTACGCGGGCGCGATGTCGCGCAGGTGCACGTACGTTGAGTGGTCCGCTCGGCTGAACATTTTGGTGGCGAGTCTGCTGATGAACTCATCCAAGGGCTCTGTTTTGAGGTCACGTTTCAGGGTTGTATTCCTGAGATAGCGTCCGGCATCTGCAATGAGGCGTAAATGTGATGTTCTGCTGGGCTCGGAAGCGTTTCCGGTGGGACTCAGCGACCAGCGCGAACCACGCTGGGGACGCGTATGTCAGGATGGATCGTAGGTAAAGTTTGTAAATAGCTACCTTCGTCTTGATGGGTAGCTGGCTGCGGAGTAGGGGGCGCAGCTGTGCGCGCGCCGACTTTGTTTTGGAGATGGTAGCGGTTACGTGGGCGTTCATACAGAGTCGAGCGTCGATCGTGACTCCGAGATACTTGACGATTTGGGCCCATGGGACTGTTTCTCCCAGGATGGTGATTGGTGGTGGGGGGCGATGTCTGCGTCCGGTGACCATCGCCTGAGTCTTGATCACGTTGACGCGCAGGCGCCATTTCTCAAGCCAAGGGCCGAGGGCGTCCAACGTGGGCTGGAGTTTGGCAGCGGCGTGGTTCGCGTTTATGGAGGTGCTGATGTACGCCGTATCATCAGCGTACAGGGCGAGTTTGACGCCGTCCAGGGCCGGGACGTCGTTCGCGTAGGCCGCGTAGAGGCTCGGGGACAGGCAACTGCCCTGTGGGACTCCTGCTTGGACTGGGCGCGAGGTGGAGAGCGCGCCCTCAACTGCAACTGTGATCTGGCGGTTTGCTAGGAATGACGATATTATATGCAGAAGGCGTGGCGGAAGGTTGGATTTCGATAGTTTGTAAATGAGCTCCTCGTGCCAGACTCTATCGAACGCCTTCTCCATATCCAACATTACTAGGGCGAACACTGCGCACCAACAACTCCTTTTAAGGTGACTCAAATGGAGCCAAACGGAAGTAAGTCTTTTAAAGTATTAATTTAAAGGAAATTACCATAGCAACGACAATGGCGTTAAGTAAAATTAACGGAAATCGCTAGACCGGAAGTCGACGCACTCACTCTGACAGATGCTGTTCATCGTCACATGCCGATAATAGTACATGATTGTTAGAATTACGTAAAACATGTTCAAATGAAATATTTATTTATTACAAATTAATTTTAGTCAGGTAAAGTTTTATCACGATATAGTTCATCAACATTTTTTTTAGATTCCTCGCTTTTTACAGAAATTTCAATTAAATTTAATTTGAAATTACATTTTTAGGTTTAATTTACTATAAAAATGAAAAAAGTAGATAAAATAATGTCTAATGCTTTAATCGAATTTAATGATTTTTGGCCTATCTGCCTTCAAAAGCCAATTACAACAAAAATAGGCTCATTAAGTACAATTTTTTTTTATGATTTTTGGTAGTTTAGAAGCATGCGGAGTTTTTAATTTTAGCCAGAAGCTATGGAAACTCCTTTTAGTATTTTTGTATTGAAGTTGAACGTTTGAGTAAATCCTACTAAAAACTAAAGATCCAACTTTCAAGCCTTTTTTGAGTAACTTTATGTAATTGCACGAAGTTGAGTTATTTTTTTATTAAAACAGCATTCAAGACAATTATGTCACAAAAAAAAGACTGCAAAATACCTACTGCGAAAAAAAATAAGAATTTTTTAAACCTCGCTGGCAGAAATCATTAAAAATACACAAAAAAAAAATAACTCGAAAAGTAAGAAAAATCGCGGAACATACATGGGGTATTTTCGGATACCCCCAGGTGCGAGGAAACTAAAAAAAAATGTTGACGTCACTAGTTGGACCACCCTGTATACAAGGGTAATAGGTATATTAGAGATTAATTAAACTATCAGTTTAATAAAGGTACAATTTCACGATCTTGGTACGATTTTTAGTTTAACTCCATTTAGAGAGCGTAATATAAGGTCCGCTGATAATTGTGGTTCTTCACCCGTTGGTAAAACTTTGAATTTCCTGATAATTTCCGAAATGGTAACTTTTATCTCCATCATTGCGAATTTCTGGCCTGTAAAATAAAAACAAAAGCTATATACAGTTTTCTCTACTAATAAAATAAGTCGAGATCCTATCCGTTAACGAAGGGAAATCATAGTACCCTCGTCCACCATCCATTGTTACTTAGTAATTTCAACTAGAAAATTCATAGTAAAAACATAATTTTAAAGCGAAACAGAGGCAACAGAATCTCTATTTTATTTAAATACTTACGTAGTTACTTACAATAAAGTAAATTGCTTATTAAATAAACCACACAATATTTTACTAGGTAGGTAAAAGTAAGCACTGTAAGGCTTGTGTTATGGGGGTAACTCGGTATAGGTAATAAAGATACTCGATATTATGTATAATACATTAATATACATGTTTACTATAATTTTAAATAAGTACTTAAATTAAAAAAAATAAAGGCGCAAGCAGTTTCGTCAAGTTTTCAAACGCTTCTTCAAAGTTATGCCATACTTACATACATACATACTTTATAAGATAGGTACTAACTAACTGTGATTAAATTATTATCGGCAAAAATATATAAAGAATATTGTAAAAGACATAAAATAAAATTTACCAATGCAGTTTCTAGGTCCGGCGCTGAACGGTAACCACGTGAAAGGGTTTCGTGCAGTATTCTCAAATCTCTCAGGCCTGAATTTCAATGGGTCGTCATATAGGCTCGGATGCCGTTGCATATTGAAAAAGTCGATCACGATTGAAGTGTCTTTTGGTATGCGTAAACCGTTTATTACTACAACAAAAGTTTACTGATCTTAAGTAACTAGGTAATAAATATTTCCAGTTTATGTTTTTTTTATTTTTTTTAAGCATTTAACTGCTACATATTTAAATATAAAGAAAAGTATACTCGAAAAATATCAACGCGGACCAGGCAGTACACGGTACTCGAACCCGTACCCTTCGCTATCAGGGCGAATGCACTGACCATTATGCTACCGCGGCTCTGACGGCGTGTCCAAAATTTCCTAGCCTTAGGCTGCAAGGCAGAGGCATCTCTTTGCATTGTAGGTAAAACACAATGTCCCAAACACAAAATTCCACTTTATTGCAAAAACAGCATGCTCGAAGTTATTCATGATAGATGTTTGTTTATGTTAAAGACGCTTAAAACTTGGTTAATTAAATGTATATAGGTGCTAGCGAATGTGTGGTAGGGTAGGTCTTAGGCCCGTATTATAGAAATATTCTCAGTGATTATACTTGTCTTGAGCATAGTTAGAAAGGGATGTCGCTATATATAGCACGTAGCGATATCCCTTTCTAACTGTACTCAAGTAAACATCAACACTTAATTGTCATTCTGTAATACGGGCCTTAGAGAGATAGGTCATAGTGGAGTTTTCGCTCGAATTGGAGCGAGCGTCCGGGGAAGTAACTCCACCTTACAGAAGATCGTAGACTACCTTTTGTTGGTGTTGTGTTTCTGTTAGTAAGAGTGAGCAAGGTTCCAGGGCTCCACGGGATAGGGGAATGAGTCAGGGAGTGATATTATTTGTACCGCAAGATATCTATTAGGCCATGGTGGCCGCTTATCATCAGGTGGGTCGTACGCTTGATTGTCAGCTTACAAAATAACAAAACAATAATAAATATTGATAATTAATATCGGTTGATATTTTTTTTTTCACTTATTGAGCTTTGGCCATGAATGGTTGATAACCTAAATCGAAAAAATGTCACTAAGTTGCGTTCCGAAACTCGATTTCAAACTTTCGTTTACATAAAGGATGCATGTTCGTATGTGACCAAGTAATAGTGCATGATTATTCATAATTATTCGCGGCGGTAATGCAAAGATGAGCGGAATAGAAGGGCTAGATTCTGATTAATGATTTTTCTCACAGACTTAATAAATAAATATTATTAAAAATCGGTGGTTTTTTCTCAATCTTAGTAAATAAATGTTATTTAAAAAAATCTGAAGCTTTTTCTCACTTAATCTTAGTAAATAAGTTTTATTAAATAAAAACTTTTTTTTGTTCACTCTACCTATTTGGTTTGAATTGACAGCTATGACATCACAATATGGCGCTCAGTCGGTCCTATTCTTAGTTGAACGCTTTAAAATGAAGTTTGCGATGTGATTTTGAAAGTCAGTACTTATGCAATTTTCATTATGATATCCTGAAGATATAAATGATTTGGTAGAAACAAAATCCAAGTCTTACAGCTGAGTGTCATTTGTTATATTTAAAGTGGAGTAATAATTATTTTGAGTTTATGACTCTTCAAATTGTACCAACCTGTATCTTCGGAAATTTTCCGTTGAATAAACGGCACCGAAGGGAATAATCGCAAAGACTCTTTTATAACGAGCTCCAAATATTTCATTTGTTGCAGATGACTGAAAATAATAAATTTAAATATTGAAGTTATATTAATAACCTTCTTCATGGAATGTCTAGCACTCCAGTTTTCTTTTCCTAAAGCGGTGTGAAATAATGTTCAACTGTATAGAAATCTTATTGAGTTTGTTCTTACGGAATATCACTGCTGGTCTTTCTGGTGTGAATAAATTAAGTTTAAAATTATTTCATACCGTTTTCAATGGGAAAGTGCTCGCCCCATCGCTGCTGGCCACTGACATTCCGGTCTGAATCAATACCTTTTTTGCTAGCCGTTATAGTAATATAGTTAGGTACTATTTCAATCTATTTTAACAAGAGTATTGTTAGTAACAAACAAAAACATACCCGCCGCTTATATTTCCACAGAAATCATTTCCAAAAATGGATTGTTGCTCTTCCAAAACCTTTTCTTGTACATCTTGATTTTGTGCGAGACTGTACAGGCAGTAGGTGATGCCAGATGTGGTTGTATCGTGGCCCTTAAGCAAGAAAAAAAGGCAGAAAGAAGATTAGTTATTGGAATAAAAACTTGTTTATTGATTTGACACACTGGTAATATTGAACTGTAATGAAAATATTACTTTTAATTCACATCAGATGCCATCACAATACAATACATAACGATACACTAATATAAATCTCAACATAGCTTAGGTACTAAATGTATGTAACGGACACCACTCTGACGCGTTCACGGCACAACACGTCAGACATATATAAATCCAAGGTGTTTTCATTAATCAATGACTTTTTTTGTTACCACACCCAGATACGTCACGTCGTCTCTCAGGGCGTTGCGTTTGTTACCAGCAAACTTAATTTATGATATTATACATGGGTCTATAGCTTTTTTCTCACCTTTAAAGGAAAAATATACGGTACCCCAAACAACAACAACTAGCGAGAAAGTATTCGTATTGACATGTTAAAGTTTCTATGGAAAAATCCACTTTGTTTTTACGTCCGGTATAGTAGGGGAACCCAAGAGGGGATTTTTGGATTTACTCGAGAGCGTCAGATTAATATATGGGGAACAACCTTGCCTCTTGTGAAGTACTTTTACTTACTTACCTTACCTCACCGCCTTACTCCATACCATTCTTAGACGTTCGTCACTACATAAATAGTGACGAACCTCTAAGACAGCAAAAACAAAAACAACAAACGGCCACTTTTGGTCGCGTCCAAATCGTCAGTATTTTGAATTGGAGGTACTGGAGTGTTCACGTAACGTTTCTGAGGACGGAAAAAATATTAATCTGTTGGTTTGCATGGTGCGGCGGTGGCATATATACGAGTGCGTTAGACATTGAGAAGGGACGTTACGTGAACCCTCTTGTACCGCCTATTCAAAAGACTGACGATTTAGCGCGACCAATAGTCGTGGCAGTTTGTTAAATTATATTTGCTTCCCTAGACGTTCGTCGCTACATAGAGGGCTCAGGTATGGTGGGAGTACTTCACAAGGGGCAAGGTTACCCCATACCCCTTCCCCCCATTTGTTTATCTGTTGCGCTCGATAAATCCAAAAATCCTCACTTGGGCTACAGGGACGCTGCTTAGTAGGGTGGGCCGCTTTAGTATGGGGAAAAAAACTTGTTATTTCAAAAAGTTCTAGTGGGGAAAACTTGTGTATGGCCCTTTATGTATGTATATAATAAATATAAAAAGAAAAATTATTTATTTTATCATCTTCAGGTTCCGCAAGTAAGGTCAATATTAAAAAAAAAGTCGAATTTCCGTTAAGTTTGTTATTTAATTACTAATAAACAGAAATGGTTATTATAATATTAATTATACAAAAATGTTCTCAGAAACATGAATTATATGAAAAAAAATTGAGTAGTAGTTCTGTTATAAAAATAAAGTAATTATTCGGGAACGAAATCTTGTTTCGTTTCGATTTTCGGCATCATTTTCCGCGAGTTTATGGTGGTTGCTATTAGTCCTTCTCTGTTCTTTTTTCCACAAACTTTCGAAGCCGATTCAGTAACAGCCTTCACACAACACTCTACCGATTGAGTGTGACAGGGATAACGTTCAAATTTCAGATGAACTGATCCGATATCGGACATCAAACACGCCTCGAGGTCTTCTTTTGACACGTTTTCCAATATAGGTGGAAAGGTAATAGATGTTTCCGACCATGATATCATATCAATGTAAGACTTTGCATCGAAATTCAACTTTGGTACTTTGAACTGTCGCAGTGACTCTTCGGCTGTCTGTTTGGCTTTTACCAAGCGTCTAAATCCAAATTCTCTTGTCGTTAGTGATGGATCTGTTATCATTGTTAGCAGTATATTTTCCGGGTGAGCAAAATATGCGTTACGTTGTATTACGGGTTCAATTATTGATTTTAAGTCCCTTGAGAGATAGCGGGAATGCTGCTTGATATCAAACCACACTCGAGCGTATACCTTTTGAATAAAAGTGGACATAATTTTTAAATTTTCTGAAGGAGCTTCAGACGCAATGTAAAGTCGTAGGATACGATTCGCTGTAGTAAGCCACCTTGCATGGGACATCACCCCTGGATTCCTTCTGGCCAATTCCTGATTAAAAAATCCACTTGAAACTGCTCTGACGATCTCAAATAAATATTTTTGGTCCGTACTCAAATCCGAATAGAAATCAGCGGTTGAGAACTCGGCTTCTATTTTTGAAAAAGTTTTCACAGGCAGGATGTGGCAACTTAAAAGAGCTGAACCAATACGACCAGAATAAGCATGAGGCCCTGAGGTTGTACCATCCAACTTTATAAGCAAATGACGTAAAAGCAGTTCATTGCAATGCAAAAGGCAAATCAGCCATTGCAATGGTCGGTTTAGTTTGGACTCTATTTTACGAATCACACCGCCAGAATTACCGGTATTGACGTTAGTCCCATCACACCCTATAGCTTTCAAACGATCGAGGGGTATAGCTTTCTCTTCAAAGTAGTCCAACATTGCTGTGGCGATATTAGCAGCAGTACCGTGGAGTCACATGGGTCAAAAAATGGGAACCGGGTTCAACCACCATTGATATATGCTCTTCAATTATTGAAGTTTTGTAAAACTTACTTCCTTTTTTGATAACAGCCAACGTCTTGTCTTTTCTTCCGTCAAAAAATAACCCTGTTACTTCACCCCAAGCTTTTGTTTTTAATAGTTGAGATCGGATCCTCAGACGTGCTCGACGTAGTCTGTTTTTATCAATTACTTGTTTCGTATTGGCACGTGTGATATATTTTATAATCGTTTAAAATAGCAGAAGCAACTGCTGCACCAGCTCTATCTGAAATTCTGAATCGGTCGCAAACTTTTGAGAGCGCTGTTAATGACAACGTAGACTGACTGGTTGACGGTGTTGTTATCGAAGAGATGGAGTAGCTTTCATCGTATTGTTTGTTCAATTTAGAAATTGGAGAAGAAGCTTTCGATGTCGACTCGGAGCTGGAGGAAAACGGCATAATCTCGACTGTTTCTTTTGAAGGTGTTTCCTTCATTTCAAGAGCTTTCCTTTTCATGCGGCTTTGTAATTTCTTTGAAGATTGTTTGTCAACACCTCCGATAAACATATTTCTGTCTTCTCGCTGATCTGCCAAAAATGATCTTTCTGCTGGGGCAACCTTTCTTACTGGGGCAACAGATTAATACAGTCTTCTTTGCATTTACACGAACAAATATCAAAAAGTTTTGAGCTTTCTTGTTTAAACTGTGCTATCTTTTCTTGAAACGAAGGTGTATTCTGTCTATTTTTAAAGAATTTTAATAAATTTTTGTACTTCATATGGTAAGCTTTAATCATTGTAACTATCCTGATTTTCGACACTGTTGGCAAAGAAGCATTTTCCCACAATAACAAAATATTTCCTGTTACCTTCTCAACAATATCTCGAAATGAAGGATCCTTACCGCCATGTTCCGATTTCAATTGTAATCGTTCCCATTCACATCATTTTAACACGTCTTCGTATGTCGGCAACACATTATTTCGAAGTTCAGTAAGAGTGCCGAAGATAGGACACGTACTCGACTGTCGAGTTTTAATTTTACTCATAATTACGTCGCTAGAATCGTTTTATAAACCACGCGCGGCCTCTCCCGCCGAACGTTATATTCGCATTAAAACAAAACGGTCGGGGGCCCCGTCTGGGCTCACGGCGGGGGGGTGTTACCCCGTTAGAGATGTGAAAAATTACAAAGCTAGTTCCGCAGACTTAATATAATCGTCAGAAACCACAATAAAATTATTTAAAATCGATGTTTAAGGACGACGGAAAAACGAAAAAAAAATCTTTTTTTCAAATTTCAAATGACTGGCGAAACCTGAAGATCTGCATAATATAATAAAATATTATTATATTTCGAAACGTTATCAACAGACACAACTTTTTGACACTAGTACTTATGCAAATTATAAAAAAAAATCGGCCCACCCTACTGCTTAGTTTCTATAGAAACTTTGATGTTGGCGAGGATCGGATAAAGTTCGTGCATGGTGTAGGTAGAAAAACCAAAAACAGGTGTACATGAACTCTTCTTCTTACCTCAAACAAAAACGTGTCAACTTCTTCTCTTATCCACTCGTCGCTTATTTTTTTACCGTCCACTTCTGCCAATAGGAGTAAATCCAAGAATGTATGCTTGTTTTTGATGCCTGGAAATAACATAATATAATTCGGTAGTTTCATGTCAGTAAGTATTAACTAAGTACCTATAGATTTAATCCAATTTTCGGGCAATTCTTTTTGGGTAGAATTTAAATGAGCGTTTATAAATTAAAATAGATGGCATTAATACTGAATTTGGCTTAGTGATTTTCAAAATAAGCGACTGACTCCGAGTGATGAGTTATCAATAAAACAGTATGTCTTAAAATTAAAAAAAAACGACCAGCATTTTAATATTTTAGCGACCTGATATTTGTTTGAGTGATAACATTATGCCTCGCAATTTTTCAATATTTGGCAAATGATTTTTTTTTAGTCTGTGGCAGTTTATGTAAATGAAGTGTCTCCAATATAAACCCACTGAATCCCCATCACTAAACTCTCTATGGTCAGACTTACCTTTCTCTTTGTTGTCTTTTGGTCTAAATTTGAAACAGACTATACAGTACAGTTTTGGATTGCTCGGCACAGATTTTGTACGCAAAAGCCGGACAAGTGCGAGTCGGACTCGCGCACCGAGGGTTCCGTACAAACAAGAATTTTCAAAAATATTTTTTATTATATGATTTTACTAAAACTTTATGGTTTTCGCAATTTTTCCTTTATCTGTACTATAAGACGTCACTTCGTATCAAATTTCAATATTCTAAGTTCACGGGAAGTACCCTGTAGGTTTTGATCCCGTGCGATTTTCGAAGCGGCATAAACGGCTGTATCTTTTGATTGCTTTGGCTTAGAAGTTTGATTTTTCACAGCTCCAAGGGAAAGTAGACCTGAGTATTAGATATGAATTTCAGTTTGATACCTCCATGCGTTCCTGAGAAAAACGGTCTTCACAGACGGACGGATGGACAACAAAGTGATCCTATAAGGGTTCCTTTTTTTCCTTTTGAGGTACGGAACCCTAATTACTATGAGCGTAACATATCTAAAGTTTATAATAAATCACTGATTTCATCCACCGAATTCATTCAGCTAGTTTTTTTTATTAAATTTAAAACAATCCACTTCTCTAGCCATCGCTTACAATAGATAGTATCTTCCATGTTGCTCTATGTTATTACATATTACTATTTTCTATAACACTTGTAAACCTCATCATCATTATCATCATCAGCCTATTAATGTCCCCACTGCTGGGGCAGAGGCCTTCCCTGTGGATGGAATAGGGAGATTGGGCCATGACCCACCACGCGGGCCCAGTGCGGATTGGCGGGTACTAACGACTGCAGATGCAGCCGGGACCAATGGCTTAACGTGCCTTCCGAAGCACGGAGGAACTCTAGGTAGAAGATTTTTGGTCACCCATCCAATGACCGGCCACTGCGAAAGTTGCTTAACTTCAACGATCGCAGCCGAACGCGCGCCATCGAACTCCTCAGTTAACCACCTATATCAATAGAATAAATTATCATGTCTGATTGCGTCTGACCTGTTTTCAATATTTTTAGGTATGATTAGAGGACACGTACAACGGAAGATTAAGTTACCGGTTCGTCCAAAGGTCGTTTGAAGTTGTATTCTAGGTAGTAAAATGCTCCATGTCATGCTAATAAAACACGTCCTAACTAAATGACACAGTAGACAAGTGAAGTAATTGATGCTGGCATTTATTTTACCTTTCAGCAAGACATCCTGTGTATTAGTGTTTATGACCTGTCATTTCAGGTCGTAAACTATATGCGCACCAAATTTCATCCGAATCCATTCAGTAGTTTTTGCGTGATTGAGTAACAAACATAAACACTTTCACATTTCTCATATTAGCAGGATAGATAGTACATATTGTGTTTGCTTCTGAACTGACCAAGATCAGAATGTAGTTCCAGCTCTGTTAAATTCATCTTCTTTAAGTCCGCCTGACGAGCATTTATTATTTTTATAGTTTGTCCGTGAAGAATTTTCAATGCCTTTTCTTGCGCTCTCCTGTATGGCGTCAAGTTGAATACAATATCGAGGAAGGGATTGCGCATTCTTCGAGATATTATTGATGACATACTAGAAAAACAAAATTAAAAAACATAACGTGTAAGATGATTTGATAAATTCAATCCTAGGGATTTTGCGACAACTAGGATAATTACACAATAGCGATGACATTTCTCAATCTTACTGAAAAAAGGAAGAATTTTTGCGAACACGTGAGTCGCCTCAGTAAGATTGCGAAAAAGACCTACTTATTTGAAATATTCTTGGATTTTTATGTTCACACTAGGGTAGGTTACGTTAGTGTTGTGACAACTTTCACTGTGGTCGGTCATTGGATGGGTGACCAAAAATTTACTATGTTGAGCTCCTTCGTGCTTTAGAAGGCACCTTAAGCCGTTAGTACCGGCCTGGCCCGCGTGGTGGGTCATGGCCGAACCTCCCTTCTACCATAGGGAAGGCCTGTGTCCCAACAGTGGGGACATAAATAGATGTGGCAATGAAGCGTGAGCCGATCGAGCGAAGCAAGCATGCTACGGCAGCGGCGGCAGAAGCGCCAGAATAAAATTTTCGTTAACAGTAACATTGAACAATGTCATCGCTATTGTCTAATTATCCGTGTTTTTAATTCATCATATTTTATCAATTTTGGCCATATTCCGTACTATAGAGTTCTACCCAGAAGGGATAGAACCTGGGAGTGTAGACGTTAATTGAAAAATACTGATAGAGATAAATTATTTATTTCTTTTTATCATTCAGGCTAATATAAAAGTATTTTATCTAAATACGAGAGGAAGTTCTTGGTGCCTGAAGATCTAATCTTGAATGGAACCTTCAGACGATTCCTTATTTTAAATCTTAAAATCATGACATTATCTTTTTAATATAACTGCCAACCGTAGGCATTGCAAAAGCAAAGAGTTTACCTAAACAAGGAGGCTGTAACGTTTCGGACGTCACATCCCTTCGGCACCTCTAGAAAAAAAAATTGTTTTGTCATACCAGATGACCGAACAAAATTTTTTTTTCCTACCTACTACATCGAGAGGGTTCGACGGTCCTAACTAAAATCCCTACCTGCTTAAGGATATAAATACAACTGGGAGGTGGCCTTTACGACAGACTAGCCCTCACAATAAGTTTGCAAAACTTGCAAAAAAAAAACTTTACGGGAAAAGAACCCTAACTGTTTGCAAAGTTTTATTGCAAAGACTTTACGGGAGCAAAACCTTAACAAAATCCCTCGCACATCTCCCTCCTAACCTTAACTTTACTTTACTTTACATCGACATCAGTCGGCAAAAACAAAAAAACAAAGCTAACCCTAGCTATAACTTAAATTACCCAAGCAATTTTTATTTTATCCCATCTATCAGCAAAACTTTACCCTATCCCATTTATTAAACCATTAAATATCAAGAAAATTTATATTTTGAAACTTCATTACTTCCCATACTAAGTAGATGTACGAAACGAAATTCAAACTATTTCCTAAGATTCGTAAACATTAACTGGATTTGAGCAAAACCTAAAAGAATTTATAATTAATGTTTACTTTCGTACATCTTTAATAAAGATACAGACGTGGTCCACCACTTTATTGTCTTGTACTTTATTAGACACCCATGATGCGCAAACGTAATAGAAATTTTGGGTAAGGACATCTAGCATCAAACAAGATTAAACCCAATTCCCATGGAATACTAAGGGTTCCCTACCCCCAAGTCAAACTACTACAAGTGACGATTACGACGAACGCGACGCGACCAAATTGAAACGAAAACGACACGAATTCGTAGAGGGTGTCTCCATCATCTTCAGGGTGGATCATCGTCAGTATCGCTGACGTCTGCATGAGCGCCAGCCTGCTCTCTCTCGGGAAGTCCGCATCATGTGGTAGTACATAAAACAATCAAGAAAATATTAGTAAAATTCTTTACACCATTTTACTTCAGTCGGGTAAGTTAATATTCAAGAAAACATTTATGATAAATCTTTATAGCCTCTTTTCCATAGTTGGATAAATTTTCAAAGTATAACATTATTTATTTTTTTAACCTTACAGGGAATCGAACCCGTTTCCTTTTTTATAATAAGGGAATTTTCTTTATGGACCTATATTATCCTATTATACATTATTAACTACACACATCAAAAGTGTCTAGGGATCAAGCATTTTTATGCGGATTTCTTGAGATTGAGATGTGGCTTTGTAATAAATTTATGATTTTATAAATTTATATGGATCCTTTTTGGTGCATTTCATAATTTGAATCAGGAACTGTGAATCAAATTCGAGTAAAAGATGAAAATCAGCTGTCAATATTTTCCCTATAAAAACATACAACGCATTGAAGACATTATTAGTGCTACTGTTTCCCTACTACTGATTAAAACCAACGTTATTATGGAGCGGCGACGTCATTTAAGCAGGGAAGAAATGCTCAGAGCCGTGGGAATGATAGAAGCTGGTTCCCGGCAACGTACTGTGGCTTTAGCTCTGAATACAAGTCAGAGTGTTATCAGTCGACTTTGGACACGATACCGAAGCACTGGTACCGTGGCTGAGCGCCATGGAGGACGGTATCGCTGCACCACACGGAGACAAGACCGATACATTCAAATCTTAACTCGAAGAGCTCCAACAATAACCGCCATGATGTTAGCCGTGAGGCTTCATCACTCTTCAGGGAACTTAATTAGCGACCAAACAGTCAGAAACCGCTTGCATGAAGTGAACCTTCATTCCCGAAGACCGCTACGGGTACCACCTATAGCAATGCACAATCGTAGGATTCGATATCAATGGGCTCTTGAACACAGAAATTGGGCAGAAGAACAATGGCGTTTCGTGTGCTTTTCTGATGAGTCTCGTTTTGGTATGAGACCGGATACAAGACGTATACGACACTGGAGAACCCCTGGACGCCAACAGCGATTAAAATCCTGCCAGGAAGTCCATCCTTATAGTGGTGGAACCATCATGGTATGGGCGGGTATTTGGATCGGCGGAAGAACTGAGTTGATTTGGATCAGAGGCAACCTCAACGCTCAAATTTATGCTGAGACGATTGTATCAGACGTCATCGTTCCTCTACAAGTGCAAATCGGTCCCTTATTTCAGTTAATGCATGATAATGCACGACCGCACACCGCAAGAGTTGTAAGACAGACTCTCGCCGCAGCTAACATCAATGTCCTGCCCTGGCCTGCTCAGTCGCCAGACTTGAACCCGATTGAGCATGCATGGGATATGCTACAGAGAAGAGCTCTGCCGAATATGGAGGGTATCCAGTCGCAAGAAGACCTTTTTTTGTTGTTGCAACGAACATGGGCGGCCATTCCACAGCGTGATTTGGATGAACTCATTTTGAGTATGCCAAACCGATGTTCTTGTGTTGTTAGTGTTCGCGGTAGAAATACGGATTATTAATTGTTTAAGTTACCCAATAAAATTTTAGAGAAAACTGTTATTTCAGTCTTTTTTTCGAACTTTTGTGTTAGTGGTTCAAATGTCAAAAATCCCTTTATTAGGAAAATGGCAAATTTCTTTATTAATGCAAAGGTGACTTGGTTTATCGTTACTGTGACAAACGAAAACACTTTATTTGATGAATCCTTAAAGAAAATTTTAATTAATATCAATCAGGAGAAAAGTTATTGCAAAAATATATGTTGATCCCTAGACACTTTTGATGTGTGTATATATATTCTATCCTAATACTGAATTAATCCTATCAATGATCATATTCAAAGTCAATTGAATAATTCCAAGTTGAACAGAGAATCGAACCTGTTACCTATCATTCTTATGGTTATTACGATATCAATAATACACCTACTCAACAAATTACACTAAAGCTAACAATTAAAAGAAATGAAAATACTTTAATGAAACTACCTATTGATCTGTCATAAACAAAATATGTAAAAGTTCCTTATAATATGTGTATTGAAAAAAATTTCTAATAAAATGGCAAAGTTATATTTAATATGCTTTTGAAATAAAATTCTAAAATGACTATTATATTGAACCTTATTTACATACCACCATTGCTTTAAAACATTCATATAAACAATAAACTGAAATAAAATCTCATTAGTAACACAATATTATAATACTATCAACCTATTCGGCATAATATAAATTTTCATCATACACCGAATTATCACTATTCCTTTCGTTATTCATTTTTTATATATTGTCTTTTAAACTTGCACTTAATATGTTTGGTCATTAATTGTTCATTATAAAAGTCTACTATCGCATTATTTCGAAGTAAGAAATCCTGTCCTAAGATGAGATTATGCCTAATATTTTCTACCACAAGAAAATCATGAATGAATAACACATTGTCTATCAATAATTTAAGGTTAACTTTCCCTATAACAGACAATTCTTTACCATCGACAGCTTTCAACTTCATATCGCTTTCATCAATTTGTTGATGAATTCGATTAACTGTGTCCTTCGACACCACAGACACTGCAGCACCACTATCAATGAGCCCCACAAACTCCTTATCACGACACGTTATATTAATTAAAGGTTTGGACTCACTTGTATGCTGAATGTTGTTTTCTGACGGTTGGGAATGAAAATCTTGTCCATCAGCCATCGTCATAACATTTTCTTCATAAAAAATTTTCTTTGGATGCTTCTTCTTCTTTGATTTATACTTCTTTTTGTTCGTGTTACTGGAACAAAAAGTGCGGGGAATCATGTGTTCGGGAGGGACAATGGGATGAGAAAGGACACTTTGGGAGGAAATGAAGTTGATTTCCTTCTCTTGTTCTTCTTCATGCCTTATTATAGGCGAAATTTTCGCCGCTTCGAAGTTTGTCATTGTTGTAACAAACGATGGTTGGATCGGCAGATTCCAACAAATTTCGGCACTTTCGTCTCCGAAAATATCCTGTGCTTGACGTAAAATATTTTTTAAATGTGTTTTATCACTATATAATTGAAATGCGAAAAGATTTTTTGTATTCAAATTCGCATTTTTCAAGAACTGTCTAATGAAACATCTGTCATCGATGACAGCTCCCGCTCATCCAATACATAAAAATAGTGCAATGGCTCTTCTGACAAGCCTTGTCTTTGTGAGAAAAATTTTTCCAACGCATTTATCGATGATGGAAATTCCTCACGTATTTTCTTTTCTAAAATCTGAAAATTCTCACAAGACTCATTAATTTTTTTATAGAATAACAATGCAGGTCCACTTAAATATGCCGACAACACAACTCTTTTTGTATCCTCGTTGAAATTATTGATGGCGGCGATGATATTAAATTGACGAAAGAAATCAGTTACATCACCTTTTCCGTCGAATGTGGTCCTGGTCTTCATCTTCATAAAACTACTTCTTTCTTGATTTAAAATTATTTTTCACTCGCGGTACTTGAAACTAACGCGGCGCGTCCACCATATAGAGTTCTACCCAGAAGGGATAGAACCTGGGAGCGTAGACGTTAATTGAAAAATACTGATAGAGATAAATTATTTATTTCTTTTTATCATTCAGGCTAATATAAAAGTATTTTATCTAAATACGAGAGGAAGTTCTTGGTGCCTGAAGATCTAATCTTGAATGGAACCTTCAGACGATTCCTTATTTTAAATCTTAAAATCATGACATTATCTTTTTAATATAACTGCCAACCGTAGGCATTGCAAAAGCAAAGAGTTTACCTAAACAAGGAGGCTGTAACGTTTCGGACGTCACAGTACCTACATGTTCCGTAAATCATAGTAAGGCGCCGAAAGATATCAAAGTGAAAAATCGTCTCGGTAAAATATGCCAAAATTTCGTATAATTCGCTAAGTTCCTAATTTAAAATCGTATCCAGGCAACAATAATTGAAGATTACGAATATTCTAGTAGGTGTGTTCATTATTGTACATGTACGGACTTAACTTCATAAAGTTCCTTTTACTTGGTTTACCTGCAGATCCGGATATGCGATTATGGATAACGAAGGTAATAAAGTTCTAATCTTCTCAGGTAAATACGTACTTTTTTCAGTGCAGTAAGTGCGATCAAATTCAAACGTATTTAAATTTCAAAAGAAGCATTAAGAAGCATATCAAATTTGTGAAGAAATCGACTCATAATCTAGGTTACAACACTAAATTGCTATAATTATGAATATGCAAACATGAAATCTAGAAATAAGGTAAATTTACATAAAAACAACAAAAAAAACAGATTTATAAAAAGTTATCTGTTTTTAAACACTATCATGTGTATAGCTGTTGCTTACGTTCAATCTTTCTTGTTTTTGTTAAAACAAGAATTCGGTAGACATAAAGTCTAATTATCGTCTTAGTTATAGTTTACTTACGTATCGACAGCCTTTACAAATTCAGATTCGGTGTCTCTTTGTGCGTTGAACGATACAGCCATTATAGATTCTAGAAAATGAAACGACAGTCTTTTCAAAACAAGGCAAAATGATGAAAAAAAAGGCATAAGTGTTAGCAGCTATGAAAAAGGGACGACCAAATTAATTTTGCAATTGATCGTATTCTAAAATTAATTTTCCAAATATTAATATCAAAAAATATATAATAACACATAAATCTCTATATTGTCATCGACTTAAATGTCTAGTGAATGAAAAACTAAGCAGGTTATTGAAATAGCGATAATTATCTAGTTGTATTCGGGCAAAAGCAATTTCTACTGAACTAAGATACTAACCACTTTTTGGCCGAATTCTATGAGAGGCAGGTAACTATTGTTTCTGCGATTTCATACTCACCAGTAACATTGTCTAATGCAGCTAAAGCTATGATAGGGAATATGTTTAAAGAGGATTCCTTCGTGGCAAGTTTGCGGAGTTTCGCCGACAAAATTTTGGCATTCTTGCAAAATATTGGTAGAAACTGTTGCAAAATGTTGAAATGAAACGCAGGAGTTAGGAATTTGCGGTGTGCTTTCCATCTAGGACCTGTATAAAAATAAGATTTTTTGAAAGAAATATGACTTCAAAGATTAATAAACTAATGTTGTATAATAGCCGGGACCAACAGCTTAACGCGCCTTCAGAAGCACGGAGGAGCTCCAGATAGTAAATTTTTGGTTACCCATCCAATGACCGACCACTGCGAAAGTTACTTAACTTCAACGATCTTAGCCGAACGTGCTAACCACCTGCTCCATCGAGCTACTCTTCTCCTTCAATCCTTTTAAATATCCAGTGAAAATTGTAAGTACTTATTATAATTAAATATTTAGCTTTCGCTGTCCGACAGTCAGCTGCAGGTACGCATTTTACAGATTTTAACGTTCGGATATCAGTTGGTGAACTTTGTAAGTGTGGCGGTACATTCAATTTTATAAATATTTTTGTGAGATTAAAGTATACCTACCTGAGGACGTCAGCAGCCCTTCTCCAAGCCAAGGTTTTACATATTCATACGATATGCCTTTCTCTATAAGTTTGGTACTTGAAACGACTTCCTGAAAAATAAAAACATAAAATAGTATCTGCACCTCTTGTGTAATGGAAATCATCCTCATTAAAAGTACTGCGATCATCCAGACACGAGAAAACATAGAAAATGATGTACGAGTGTACAATCCATAATACTTTATAATCTATCTTTATATAAGTAATTGCGTACTTTTGTTTGCATTAGGCCTTTGCCAAATGTAACTTTCAAATGTAAATTTTTGGAGTTTACTGTACCGACTTTAATATTTTTGTAACTTTCAAATTTATAAATCTTTTTGGAGTCGTGATTGATATTTAAAGTAATACTTAATTGAAGATTTTTAACTTTAAATATTACAAGAGATTTATTCAACTTTTTCCAGGCACAGTTGACTAAAAAAGATGTACCTATACATTTAAAATTTAAAATAATATTATAGTCGGTACAGTCGACTCCTAAAAGATGTATACATTTGAAAGTTACAAAGATATGTATCCATTTATGATGTTGTAATTGTTTGTTACAAATACTAGTTTACACATGATGTAGGCCACATTTATGTTCCAATTAAATTTGGCAAATTTATGTACACAGCGAAAATTACCCTGTATTTTAGATTGATGATTCTGTAAAATAAAATTTCATTTCCGATTTCGGTAGCTGCCATTTTAGACATTAGTTTGATATGCATTGCGCGATTACACGGTAAAATATCGCTATGTCTGTACCTTTCTCAGAAATCTGATTAAATCAGTACCCCTTGCACGACCCATTATCGAATTCGAATAGTTGGCAAACCGAAATGTCAATGTCAAATTTTGTATGAAAACTAGAACAGCAGCGGCACAAAGTCCGTAACGAGAACTAAAAATCAGTACAGATTTGACAATGACATTTCGGACTCGCAAACGTTACGAATTCGATATTGGTTCGTGCTAAGGGTACTGATTTAATCAGATTTCTGAGAAAGGTACAGACATAGCGATATTTTGCCGTGTACCCCTAGCACGAACCATTATCGAATTCGAATAGTTTGCAAACCGAAATGTCAATGTCAAATTTTGTATGGAAACTTGAACAGCAGCGGCACAAAGTACGTAACGAGAACTAAAAATCAGTACACATTTGACAATGACGTTTTGGACTCGCAAACGTTACGAATTCGTTCGTGCTAAGGGTTTTGGTTCGTGCTAAGGGTACAGATCGTAAGTAAGATTGCATCTTACAGATATGGGTATTCTGTAAGATGCAATCTTACTTACTTACTGGTCTGATATAAAATTTTGAAAATTTAGAATTATGCGGAAATACTTGTTTTCTTTTTAATTTTGTCCACGACGTTTTTCCCCAGTCATTTGTTTATCGAAGTATTTTTAAATTATTTATTATTTTTACAAATTATTTTCGCCACTCATTTCCATTCGTTTTCAGCCAATTTATAAAATTCTATGTTCCCTATTTTTCCTATAAAAACTAAACTTAACATTGATAGTAATTCTACTTCACATTATGGCATGAAATTGTAATACTTCTTCGATACCTTAGGGTGTATAAAATATATATATTTAAATATACTTAGGTATACCCTAGATTAGCACGATACATTTTGCTATCAACAAAATAAATTTATTAATAAATGTTATCTATAATATTTATATTGTTTTTTAGTACGTTAGCATTTTACTGCTTGTTTAGATTTAAATGGTATCTATTCTTGTAATGATAAATGATAAGAGGAACTATTATCCACTAGTTAAAAAATAGTTTATCATACAAACTTCTACCTCCCTTTTTCACCCCCTTAAAGGGTGATTTGTAGGATATAAATAATCTTATGTATGTTCTTTCCCGGGGCTCAAACTCCGTTCAACTGATTACTTAGGCGGATTAAACGTGAAGAGATAACAGACAGAAAGACAGTCAGACAGATACACTTCATAGATATAATATTAGTATAGATGAATTTATATCATAAAACAGAAAAATACTGTAACACATATTATACTAGCGGGTGCCCGCGACTTCGTCTATTAGCTATTAATGCGTGAAGAGGTAACAGACAGACACACTTTCGCATTAGATTAGTATGGATGTATGTAAAGAATTTTCAATAGTTTTGACAGAATTTCTAAAATTTAAAATTAGAATGATGGTTAGTTATACATATTTTTGTAACAAAGTGTAATTATATTAATTTGCTTCAGAGCGTACACATTATAGTGTCCATGATACTGTATACATTAATTTGACACATTGAGTGAATACATACTTATATATGCGTCATATTTTTTTTTGACGATGAGAAATCCCTTGGCGGACCGCACCGTGCGCTGGCGAGGCGCACGGCGTGTGTGGGACTCACCCGGCGCGGAACACAGCGCCGGCTACCCACTAAAACTCACCGGTACCCTCCTACGCCCATGTGGGAGCATCAGTGGACCGGGCGACATGCCTCTGGGGATTGCGCTAGGGTACTAAACAATCCCCAGACGGGTGGCCTATGCCGAATGGCACGTAGGGCACGCGGCGGCCAAGTCGCGCCCAGACCACCTAAGGAGGCGGCAGCCTTCCAGGCCATCTCGCTACCAAGCATGGATGGCAACGAGAGGTCTCCACCGCCGAGCGCCGCAATCAGAGTGCGGCGCTCGTTTCGCCAGGCCAGGCACATGATTAGCATGTGCTATATATCCATCATATCAATGTCTACAATAATTTGCAACGAAGTATGTACACTTATTTAAATAGGTACATACATTTTGTAACTTTAGGTGGTATACATCCATTTGTAGTCGACTGTACTAAGCTGCAACTAGATTTGAACCACCTATCACTACTAGATTTAAACAAACTGCGTACAAATCTATCAAAATCAAAGTTGGATTTGCCCGAAGTTAATCCAATCACACCAGGAGGAAGAAATAATCAGTTCTCTCAGTTGGAAACTAAGTTTTTAGATCTTATGGTAGACATTCAGCTCAAATTGAAACTGGAACATAGAATAGAACTCTCTTGTTTGTGTCCTAGGACAAGGGCATTTGCTGCTACTATAGAAAACATTGACCTTAGGACGTGACCTTAAAACTGATAATATAATTTTTAATCTTGATATTTATCATATTGGTGGTAGAATGAATTATTTGAACATTTTGAAGTATTTTATTACAAATTTGTTGTTTGTAAATTTTTGCTTACCTAAAATTTCCGTGTAACGTGCAACATAAAAAATATTATGTTGCTCAGTCTGCGTCAACTTTATTTTTTTGAGAATCCCACATGAACCTATTTTTTTTCGGAATAAAAAGTTTCCTGCGTTTCAATCCAGGTCATAAATTAATATATGACATTAAACTTGGTCAGTACTTTTTTCGTGATTGAGTTACAAAGTTTGTATACTTGCATATTTATTATACTAAGATTACGTGAAGGAATTAATACTGAATTTAAACTTATCAAAACGAATAGCGAATCTAAGCCGGGTACTCATTAGCGAGCTGTAACCGTAACCGTTGCATGCACTGTAACTAAAAAGCATAGTGTGTACGTGGTTCGCTAACCTGCTGCGAACGGTACGCGTGCGGTTTGCAGCCGAGCCGACGACGTTTACAACTGAGTTACACTATGACTAAAACCTCGTACTGTATCACGCATGTTACGGTTACAGCTCGCTAATGAGTACCCGGTTTAGGCCAGCGGAGGGAGCAGGGTAGAATTCAGTCTTTTAACAATACCTAGAACGAGATGAATTATTTCAAGTGTTATTTAATTAGGTACTTTCAGGGGCGTATTTCCTCTAGGGCCAAGAGGGCCATGGTGCCATATTTTATTAAAAAAAAATTAACCATTTGTATTCTTGCTATATTTTACCTCTATAAACTTGGGGTTCGCTGTAAGTACAAAACGTTGTGAAAACAGATATATCCGAGTAGTTTGGTCATATTCTTCTTCCAGGCGTTGAAACACTCGTATAAATTCTGCATGGATAAAAATAACATATTACTTTTTTATTTTTAAGCATTTAACTGCTAGATGTTTAAATCTAAAGAAAGTATTACTAGAACGAATTCCACGCGGACCAGGCAGCAGACGGGACTCGAACTCGCACCTTTCGCTAACCGGGCGGATGCACCGACCAATCATGCTACCGCGGCCCTAATGGCCATATCGAATTTCCATTAGTTCTTCTTAGGCTGCTTAGGCTGCATGGCAGCGCCATCTCTTCGAATTGTAGGTAGGTAACCTACAATGTCAAATGATTAAGCATTGTAGTGTTGTTGTTCGTTTGTTATTGTTGCCTGGTCCGCGTGGATTTTTTCCTAGTACTTTTTAGATTTATTTTATTAAAGTCCATTGTAGCTATGGCTACCGGTAGCGTATACTCCTCGTCAGTCCGTGGTAGCAATAATTACATTCGTATTTCCACGCGGCTTGCTGTTTATTTTTAAAGTACGCCGAACGAGATTTACTATGAAAGTTTCTATTGAATGATTTACACAATAAAAATGTTTGTACCTACTGTGTAGGTTGCTATAATTATGGTATCATGACAATTAAAGAACAACAGATATGTACGTAGACTTAAAAGGAAAATAGCTACAGCGCAAAACTCGTTTATTTAATTCAAGGTTTTTCTCGACAACTCAACGAAATAAACAAATTGTTGACGAGTAAACTTGGCGGTTGCAATTGTAAAAAGTAACTTAACTTTGAGAGTCCATAAAGCAATTATTTTTTAATGTAAAAATGCACTAAAATGCTTTACAACATGGTCAATCTGATGGTAAGCGGCTACCTTAGCCTGTACTAGACGCTCACTATTCACAAGTAGCACTTGCGCAGTTGCCTGCCCTTTTTTTTTCAATGACGTGACGGGGAGAAAAAATGCATTATATCCACGACAATGACCAACGCCGCTTTATGCAGAGGGGTCTGCATCCCGTGGAGCCTTGGAAATCCTATCCCATGTAACGTACAAAAACGCAACACCACCACAAGGTAGTGTAATTTTTCACTGTGGTTTTCTATAAGTGAGGTGGGGTTTCGCCCCATTTTGAACGGAATATCCTCTCTAATCCTATAACTAAGAATTGATACTAAAAGAAGTGTAACTATTTCTTATTTCTGTTTGAAAGTGAAATATATTTTCCGGTTACAGTAAGTATTACTGTAGTATTAGATGATATCGCTTTTTTAAACAAATTTAAAAAAGGTGGTTATTCTCGATTCTTCGGAACAGCGACTTAGGTTTTTTTTACAGAATGTTCCAAAGTTACAAAACACTTTTCGAACTTCAAATTGAGCTATGAAATTTTAATTTGGTCATATTGTTTATTATTAGTTATGTTTATTATGGTATTTTTATCGCTTTATTTCTAAATAATTCCTGTTTTTCTTTTTCGTGACAAAGCTGAGGGTACATAATGCCTGCCTAGAAAATACAGCTTATGTAGCAGTCAAGTGCCTCGTTGAAAGAAAAATAAGATAATCCTAACGCATCTTCTATTTTTATACGCAGCCTAAGTTGTGTCAAATTATAGAATAAGTGGTCCTATTATAAATAAAAACGATTTTGACATAATGGACTAACATACAAAAAATATATTTATTTACCTCATTATTTTATAAAGGCCTACAGAGCAAGGCAAACATAGGCATCACAAAACGCATCACAGAATCATTTTTAAACAAATCAACAAAACATACAAAACACTTGTTTTGAATTTTTTGTGATAAATAATTTGTTTAATACCCACCACAGTGACTGATAATTCTAAAAAAACAAAACGGGTCTTATCGCTTTATTTCTTATGAGGACAGCGTCTTTTTATAGTTTTAATTAAACTGTTTAGGTCGGTACCTGATGAATCCACGGCCAACAAATGACCATTGCCAATCAGTGGATATGGTGGAGGTCCTTTCACATCGATGCATTTCTTATCCAAATAAAAATAAAACCAAGACAATAGTAGCACGAGTAACACCAAAACTACAGATAACAGCACTAACATCTTTTAAACGGCCGGCACGTGCGTATATGTTCTCGACTAAATTAAAACTGAACTTAACCAACTCAGCTTGAATAAAAAGTAACAAGTGATTAATGATGAATTATTGTTTATAAGACTGTTGGTATTGGATATAGGTTATAGGTGTTGTATATTTAATATTCTGTACCTTATCAGTATGATAATATTGTCAATATATAATGTTATTTTGATATCTGAAGTACCTAAAACCTTAAAAAACCGTGAACCGTTGACCGTATGCAAAAACTCTTTATCAAAACCTCTTAAAGTATAGACTGAATGTTAACCCATTTGACAAACCAAGAAGGTTTTTTTTTATTCGAGGCGCAACAAATTACTCCACCCCACCTGATGTTAAGTGTGGAGTCCAGTCACGAATATAGATGATGAGGCAGAATATGTGCCATTCCTGGCATCCTCACCTTGCAGGCCTGAATCTAATCCTCTACCCCGCAGAGCCCTTGAACTAATAAACTCACCAGTAAAAACACAACACCACTAAAAGTTAGTGTAATTTTACTGTGGTCTTCTGTGAGGTGTTTGTCTAGACGGGCGTTCCAAGTTCCAATTCGAGAGGGAAATCCGCTGTGCGTCTCTTATAAGCTATTTAAGATAAGTATCGGTAGTTGTGCTGTGATATTGTGTAAGCTTTATAAGTAACTTTACCTTGACCCAAAGATAAATAGGTATATATGGGCAGCTGTGCAGTTACTGTTTGTCTATAAAGTTGTGACATGAATGTTTGAGGAAATAACACTATTCATGTGTCTGGCAACACCAAACTTATGTATACATCAGCTGTCATCGAGTTTCAGTTGTGGAACACTTTTCCTTTTGTATTTTTTATTGTTTGGATTAAATTGTAATAAATTAAGACGAAACTACGCAGAAAGGTTTAAAAATGAGTAAAGTAAATCGAAGTGGCACGCGAGAAGTGATTTTTTTAAGTTTCCAGCGATGTTTCGAAGACTACCAAGCTGGACGAATTTTGTGGGATTTGGATGATGTTTATGGGCGAACAGCATCTATGACGGGTATGTAATCGTGTAACTATTTGTTTGTAATCTGCCTGAAGTTACAAATTTACTCAATTTACGATTTTGAGACCAAAAAGGCATTGTTTACATTGCACATTTTTAGGTTAGATTGACATTGTAAATAGGTAATATTGTAGTACGACCATTTCTTTTGATACGTTATTATGGTTCAACTCGGTCAGGTTTTCTACCAATTTTGAATTAATTGCTTCATCATCATATCATGTCAATAAGTTATTGTTTCTATTCCGTTACATATTTTTTTACTTTTTTTCAGGAAAATCAGAGAGTCGGATAGTCAACAAAGGTTTTAAGAATGATGGAAAGTTTGAAACTCCTGGGAAAACAGGCAAGGTCGACCAAAGAAAGAAATTGTCACATATAGAACCATGGCCAGATGCTTTTAGTGAAGATACCTATCACTAATTTTACTAACTGCACATTTACAAAATGTTTCTCTAAATAAACTTTTTATATACTAAAAAATGATTTTTAGTATTATTTTCTTAACAAGTGTGTTAAAAAACGTCGTATGATGATACTTGTGTGTATTGATGATTACCTAACGGCTCTGGTCTCAATGGCACCTCAGCCACAGAATATATACACTACGCGAAAAGAAGCGACACTTAAGCATGTGTGCTCGTAAAATCGCCCGCGGCTATGTGTGGGTGTCTGGAGGTGCGCGGGGGCGTTGCGCGGCGCGCGGGACGTGGAGAGGGCAGTCGCCGACTGCCTCGCTCGACCGAGGCATGGCAGTAGCGAAATAGTAAAATAATAGCGTTGCACTGCATTGCACGCACAAACTGACTACGCTACGCAATCATTATTATTTAAATAATAATAAGAATTATAAAACGAATCGAAAAATGAGAAAATAAATAAAAGTTAGCAATTAGTTATAGTACCTACATTAAAAGTTAAAAATTGATTATAAAATCAAACCTATTCTTCATTATTTACCCCAGTATCCTTGAATCAGTTTACATTTAATAACTTAGGTACTATGCATAAATATTCATTGGCACAAGTCTAAATTCCAAGTTCAACCTTAGCGCATACACGCTCCTGCTCAAGGTCACTGACGCTGGAACTCTCACATACAGAGAGTGTTACCGCTGTGCCTCAGCGGTAATCACCAATATTACACACTTTTACACTATAAAGTACTATTTTATCTATAATAATTTTATTCTGATTCAATTAAGTATGCTTGGCTAAACTTTGTATAAGCATAGGTACCTACTATATATAAAACAGAAACAAAATACAACTGTATAGTGTGTCTTATTAATTACCTATTTTACTTGAATGAACTGCTAGAGTTCATTCCACTTTATAGACATGGGTCATCATCTCACTTAAAATAAAGTGTTATTGCTTTTAAATTACTATGTAAGGCCTGACGACGGAGCGTGGGTACCGGTCATCACCGGCTCATGGTATACCTTGATTTCGAGGAAAACAAACGAAAGCTTGAATTTATGATTTACCTACGTTCCTACTTAAAATTGTTTTATGGTTGTTATAATAGTCCAGTCATTGAAGGCTTAACTTTGCCATTTTGAGTTGATCACCTGCAACCAACGCGAAAATTTTCGCAAGGGTTCGTAGATTAATATACTAAAATTGCAGGGTGCTGCATTGACGGCAAAGGGTGAAAAAAAATGCGAAATGGTGCAAAAACGAGTTTTTCGTCAATATCTCGCGACTGGCTGGAAAAATAGAAAATCTTCCTAGTACAAAGTTGTAGAAAATTTATTTCCTACAAAAAAGGTATCAATATATTTTCGCGTATCTCCCATAGTTTTTGCACAAAATGCAACTAAAGGTGCAAAATAAAAAAAGAAAATATATTGTTAATGGTTTTTTTTCCATTTTTAAACGATCCTACGGGTCAAATTCAACAATCACCACTTACTGAAATATTTAAGGATGAGTTTTCGGCAGTCCACTGAAATGAAAATTGTCTACCGAAATGGTAAAAAAATGACCACCGAAATGATACAGCCAAGAACATCGCCTTTGTAGTAGAAGGGTTCCCTATTTTGAATTTAAATAAATTTCCTTATTCTTTGTAAATATTTTTGTTCATTATTTTTTAATAAGAATTGTTAATGAAGAATTAATTAATTGTTACTCCTATTAGTTATTATTAATAATTATAATTATTAATATGTACATTTTCAAAATAACGAACAAAGCGCGTTTAGAAAGCGAGAAGTTTATTAGTTAGTAAATCGTCCCCTTAATGCCAAAACCGATTATCTGCACTTTTCCGCTACTGAACTTTTATAATACCAATCGACCCGTCTCATTAAGCCGCATCTACAGGTAAAACTCATTATGCTGTACGACGCATACTTCCTGAAATAGCTAATGAATAAACAGAATAACTGGAAATTATTTCCAAAATTCTTGATTTAAAACTTAATAAACCCATTCAAAACACTTAAGTTTGTAAATGTATTACCGCTGAAACTAATTTTCGGATTTAAACTCATTTTTCATGTAGACACTTAGAGTAAATATCCAGTGAGTATCCTGTAATTGGCTTTGACTGCTTGAATTTTACCAGATATTTTAATTTTACTAGATGAAGTAAAAATTAACAGACCTAAGTCGCTTTTTTCAAAAACAAATATGTAGTATATTTGCGTAATATTTGAGGCAATTGAATAAGATACCGAATTTCAATTTGTTTTTACTTAATAACTTTTATTCAACGCTTTATAAATTACTTCAGCTAAAATCAATGTTTAACCGTCTCTTCCGTACACAGATCGCGCGCTAGGGAGTGAGTTGCTCACTTTTATTCATTTATTGTTGAATCGCACGCTTGGCAACAATGTTATTTTTTTGTTTAATTAATCACTAATAAACATTACTGGGTGAACTATTCTGTGTATTTGGTTTAAAATGATAATTACTAAGAAAGATAACGAAAAATAAACTTGATAAAAAAAATGATATCAATTTAACTTTAACATTTATTTTTATTTCATCGTGTTCAGCGCAAAATTTGCAATATGCAATACATATTCTTATACATTATCATATAATAAAATTGAAATCATTTTTTTTTTCAAGATTATTGTATGAAGAAGGAAATAAAAAAATGCCTGAAACATATTAATTAAATCCCAATGAAGCATGTAGAGGTGAACTCCCCAAGCAAAAAATAAAATACACGGCATTGCTCAGAGCGGCAGTGCAATGTGCTGATTTATGATTTTGACTTTTTTTCTTAGTTAAGTAGGTACTTCTCAACCTTGTCAAAAAGAATTATTGAATAATGGGCTCTATTCCATAAAATAAAAAAATACGAAGTGGCATTTTATCATCACGGTAACCTGTCTTAAACCCAATTCCTCTCGTAAAATTACTTCCCCTGTAGTTACATTTATTTTTTCGATTGAAATTAACTTTTATATCATTAATATATAATATAGCCTATCAACAAAACCTACTACCTACTGTTTGTTTACCTTCTTCCTTATACATGTAACAAGCACTCAACTTTTGTCCTGGAAAAAGTTATCATTTCCATGGACAGTAAGTTTTTGTGAAATAGGTTCGTCTACATTGCGTTGTTGTGTCCCGCTTGTCAGTGCTCACTTCGAGCCAGTCCACCTTCGCTGGAGCACACGCACGCGCAACAACGTCATTGTGGATTCCCGCCAAATAGTATTCATCATTTCAGTGATATGGGGACAATTGATTCGATGGACAGTAATGCCGATAAGAGTCCAGGGAATGAAAGTATCGCCGAAATGATACATCCATAAGTTTTTAGAGATCCTTGAGTCAATATAGGTATATTAAATAGCTTCGGTTTATGATGTACATTTATCTAGATACTGTAGGTTCGATATTTCGGGTGCAGTAGTATTTCTATCTAAAATATCTAGTTTAAAAATGTTTATTAAAGTTAAAGCGGACGAATTCGTTGGCGGCCGATAGTATTCCTAATTAAATAAGTGTAAAAAAATCAGTATTATTCATCTGCACTTGACTCGCTTATACATGATGAGTTATCAGAATGGTTTCTGAAGGAAAACGACCA